TCTCCTTCACTTTCTCGCCTTCTAACATAGTAACTTAATGATAAAAGATTATAAAATATGTTTGATGAGAAAAATATTAAAAACCCAAAACTGAAAAATAAATATCTTAAAAAACACAGTTTCTCCATTTTCGTATAGAATATTTTAAGATTATATAAATTAAAAAATCTAGTACAATAAATTTGTAACCTAATTTATTATCAATTAAGTTTTCATTTATTAATTAATATAAGGATAAAAACGTTATTTAGCATCATTTTTTCATACATTTCTGAAAACATCATATAATTTAAAACAAAAACCCTTTAAAACATCATATAAAAAAATAGAGAGAGTATTAAATTGATACTACTACTAAAATAACCAGATCATACTTTAAATTGATAAGTAAAGAAAACATAAAACAGATCAAATATGTACTTTAATTTCTATAATAGTCAATAGCTCATAGATTAACTAAAGCCAATCATTTTCTACAGTTGTTGCTGAAATTTGGAAACTTTAAATTATTATTTACCAGATTCATTTGCACATACAGTATTTGTTTTACATTTCTAAAAATTATTCATATTTGATTCTACAATTTGTTGTAAATTAAAGATCCAAAAGTTTTAACCAAAAAAACTGAAGATAGTTTCCAAGATAGCATTATTTAAGGTGGATTTGTTTTTAGGAGCAGGAAACTCTAGTAAAGAGAAAGAAAATAAGAGAAGAAAGAAGTTTGAGATTGATTTTATTTTATCCATAATAAAAAATTAATTCACCACACACATGCGTGGTAGTAGTAGAAATACTTCATATATTCCAAAGTTAAAAAATTATGTTCTTAATAAAATAATTAAAGAAATGCATACCTAATTTAAATTCGATAATTAAAAAATGATATTGTCAATAAGTATAAGCAACAAACAATGCCTTACCAATGCTTATGAGAGCATGAGGCAAAAATCAAATAATTATCTTTTATATATTATTAAACAGTAATTTTAATATTTTTTTTTCAAAAAGTTTGTTAAAGTGCCAACAGAAAAAAAATGAATGGGACTTATTAAAAAAATAACATTTATTTTAGTATGGTGGTTGGTTTTGAACTTAGGAGTGGAATCTCAAAATAACAATCATGTTTTTACTATTATATTATTATTATTTTTTAGGAATTAGAGTCTCAAAATTATTTATTATCTTTAAAACATGAGGCAAATGCATTTTTTATAACATGGTAGGCACGGCTCTCGCAACAAACATGAAATAGTTTGTCTTTTAATCAAAAATAATATGGACATTTCAGTTATTTTGCAACAACAAAATATATAATATGCAAACCTTCAATTATATATATATATATATATGCAAACCTTCAATTAATATATATTGTTTTCTGTAATTTACAATTGGAAAAAGTATCTATTTATTTTGAACAAAAAAAAATGTCTACTTGTTTTGGGCTTTTAAAGAATATCATTTGTTTGGGTTTGGATAAATGGATTTAGTAAAAAAAATAACAAAAATCAGTATATAAAATAATATGATGTGTATTATTGAAATGTTTTGATTGGTGAATTTTTTTGCTGAAGTGTCAGCTTTAGAAAGCTTGAAAAAGCTGATGTGTCAAACTATGGAAAGACACAAGGGTTATTGTTGTATTGATAAATCTCAACTGAATTATATTTACTCTATTTCATAAAAAAAATATTTTAAAGTTTTATTTTTGTTTTACAAATAATGTTGGTTTTGATTTTCCATTACATAATTTTGAATAGAACTCCAATATTAACTTTATCATTTTAATACAATTATTTAGGATATTAATAAGAAGTAAAATAGAGTTTTTAATAATTTTTTAATTTGCATAAAAAGTTATAAAATAACTTTCTTTGTGAAATTTCACAGATGAAATAAATAACTAAAAGAATAAAATTAAAGTTGGTGGAGTTAACTACCTGATAAATGCCCAACTCACATTCACCTCTTTTTTTTAAGAAAAGTAACACTTTAAAATTCCAAAGCTTAGACTTATGAGACTCACATTTGATAACCCTTTAAAAATATAAACATCTCTCCAAAATCACAATGAAAAAAGTAATTAACCAATTGGGAGCAACAGAAATAATCAACTACATACTTTGAAATTGCTTATTCAGAAACGGTTTGCAATATTATCATTTAATACAAGAATTGAGTATCAAGTTTGTACTAAGTGTGAACATGAATATGATTGAGATCTTGTAAGCTAGCCGAGCCAAGAAAGTTATAAACGTTTCCTCTTAAAGTGTTTGTAGCATTTCCTCTTAAAGCGGTGGCTAGCATCTGCTAGCTGATCCAAAAAAGTTTCATCGCTTGAGCCATCAAATTCTTCGGAATGATGCGCTTCGTCTTCTACTCACACTAATAGTCTACTATTATTGTGAAATAGTGAGCATTGATTTCAAATAAGACATGATCAAAGAAAAATCTAAATAATCTAAAAGTAAAACCAAAATTATACATTACTTGATTACTTCTTATTCATGACTTATCGATTTTGTAATATGGGCTCTTCATCATCACTTAAAAAAATCCATATCAGCACTGGGAAGAGGACGTGGCAACGTCTTCTACCGAAAACCAATGGGAAAGCTCCCTACTAGACACGTACAACACACTGTTTTGGTTTGAGTCAAAACGTTAATTGAATAAAAAGCAGATGATTTTGATTATTAATTCTAAGATTTTCTTTGATGATTAAATTAAGTACAAGGTTTAATGGTTTTATTGACTCTTGTCTCTGACCAACACGTAATCTTAAAAATACAGATAATATACGATACCACGCACCAGGATTTGTGATTATCAAACAACCGTTCAATTTGCGCGTGACGATACTACAACTTTCCTGCAGGAAAAAAGAAAGAAAAGTAAAGTGAAAGTCACAATAATTCGTATAATTAGTCTGCATTAAACTACTAATACGATACATCAAAGATGAAGTAGGAAAATTCTACGGAAGGATGCGCTTCTTCTTCTTCTACTCACACTAATAGTCTAATAAACCCCTTAATTCAGCTAAAATATTATCAGACGTGAAGGATCCTGCAAAATAAGAAGCAATATGCCTTGTAAGTTCGAAACTCTGTGAGTCTTTCTTTTAGCTTTTGTATCATTACCTGTGAAACCATGCATGGGATATTGACAACAAAGATTGCAGCCAGTACACTATCGTAGAAGAGAGCGTAGAGATAAACATCATCTGAGCTCTGTGCAGGAAGGGGATAATACTCCACAGTCAAGCAGTGGCTAGCAGATGCTAGCTCATCCGAGAATATTTTTTCGATTGAGTCATCGTCGATTATCACTGTAAAATGGCATTGATTGCAAATAAGACTAGATTAAAGGAAAAACCTAAACAATCTCAAATCGAAACCGAAATTCTACACATTCGAAAACCTAAATCTTCGCCTAGAATCTAGGATTAAGGTGAAATTCTTAAACCAACTCATAATATTCACACTCACCTATAGAGGCCAGTACAAAAGCTGTCGCGATTAGCAATAAGCTAGTAAAACTCGTCTTCTTCATCTCGAAAACCCCAATTTCTTTCTCTCTCATTCACAAAAAAGAAAGAAAACTCTGAGCAATTTTGAATATGAGCGATTTTGTAATATGGGCTCTTCAATGTTCATCATCACTTAAAAAAATCCATGTCAGCACTGAGAAGATGACGTGGCAACGTCTTCTACTGGAAACCAATAAGAAAGCTTTCTACAAGACACGTACGCACACTGTTTTAGTTTAAGTCAAACATTAATTGAATAAAGGGTTTTCTGCAAAAAAACCTTCAACTGATTTTGTTTTGCAACTGTACCCTCAGTTTGCAAAAAATGCAAGTCAAACCGCAATATAACCCTCAACCGTATATATATTTTGAAAATTATATAAGACTGTATATAATTTATTAAAATTACGTTGTTTTAAAATCTTTTTTTAAAAGAAAAGATGAGGTGTGAATCGAACCTATAACACCTAAGTAGTTTAGCCTATATACATTACCAATCGTGCCAACACAATTTTGATACTAATGTAAATATAAATATATAAAGATATTTTTAAAAGTTCTTAAACAAGAATTCCTCAATTGTTGTTGATGTTCCGATCTGATGAGGCAGAAATCGTTTCTGATTCAGACAAAGACTGTAAGACACCGAATGATTCCAGACAGAATACCAAATGATTCCAGATTTTGATTGAATTTTTATGCTTCGAAATTCCCCTATTTAGCTAAACAATAGAGCAACTGTTTTCTGTCCGAACAAACTTAATCCATTCTTCACCAATGAGAAAAATCAGCATCATTAGTTGAAGACAGAGAAGTAAAAAGAATTGAAATTGATTGTTTTAGATAGAAAACCTTGCGATTGATGAATTTTTGTTGGACTTTTGACAATACTTTTATATATACATGTATAATTATACATTTGGCGATGTACATATATCACTTTCATATGGTCATGAGTTCGATTCCCTGATATTGTTGCTTTTTTAAAGAAAAGTTCAAAACGACGCAGTTTTAAACTATATCGAGTTTTAAAAGTTATTCAAAACGACGCAGTTTAGAATTATATACAGTCTTATACTATTTACAAAAACTACAAAAGAAAGCAGACAAAGAAAGAGAAACTGTAGACAGTTGAAAGTTATACTGCAGATTGACTGTAACTTAATGATTTGACCTACATTTTTTGCAAATTGAAGGTATAATTGCAAAAAAAATTAGTTGGAAGGTTTTTTTGCAGAAAACCCTTGGATATTGATTATTAATCGCAAGATTTTCTTTGTGATTAAATTAAGTACAAGGTTTATGACTCTTGTCTCTGACGGTCTGACTAATACGTAATCTAAAAAAATCTCGATCAAACAACCGTTCGATTCGCGCGTGACAATACTACAACTTTTCCCGCAGGAAGGAAAGAAGAAAGAAAAAAAAAAAGGTAAAGTGAAAGTCACAATAATTCGTATAATTAAATAAAAAAAAGTCTGCATTAAACCACTAATACGATACATTTCGTCAAAGAAGATGTAGGAAAATTCTCTGGAAGGATGCGCCTCGTCTTCTACTCACACTAATAGTCTAATAAACCCCTTAATTCAGCTAAAATATCATCACTTATCATCAATGGCGGAGATTTCGATTCTGGGTTTAACAACTCTCGTCGTCTTCTCATGGGCTGTATCAATCTCTAACTCTCTTCCAGATTATGGGTCGGACGACAATAATGGAAGCTTTTTCACTGTCTCGAGCTTCAGGTACCCAAAATCCCAAGTCAGGCCCTACGATACTCGCTACATCAGAGGTCCGTTAATCTGATCAATACCCTTTTTTTCTATCGTTTCAATAATCAGAACCTTCTTCTGGGTTTGATCTTCACGAGTTTTATGCTCTCTGTTTGATTCCGGTACAGTTGATTTACCTCCGTGGTTCTCATCGTTGAATTTAGCTATGGAATCTGATGTAGACATCGTAAGTTTTTATCACCGCTCAACAGATTCGATTTGATTGCCTTGGAATTCAAAGAATTATTATTGCTTCTTTATTGATTGATTTTTTTGGAATTTTCGTTTCTGTTTATTCGTTAAGACTGCGAAGAGCATATCGAAGATTTCGAAAAGTCTTCTTCCTGTAATATGCTTCAGAGACGGTAGTCCTCCTCTGCCTGATGCCTCAGCCAGTGCTCTGGAAGGTTTAGGTACGATTTAGGTAAATCTAGTTTTGCTTCTTTGTCTGCTTAAAAGGAGATCACATTACCTTACTATATTGGGGGAATTAAGAAAGAAAGTTTTCTTCTTCTTTGAATGTTTTTTGTAGAGCTAGGACGGTTATTCAATGGATCTTTTGAAGGAGCTCAAGATGTTGAGATTGCAGAACAGTGTTACCCCATGCAGAAGAATATATCCTTGAGGCTGACCAATGAACAGGTAAGCCTTTTAAACTTACCCAAAAAACTCTGTGTCATAGTTAGGACATCTTAGTTTCTTGTCTGATGTTGTTGCTTTATAGATATCTCCTGGAGCTTGGTATGTTGGTCTTTTCAACGGAATTGGGGTTACTAGGACTCAGGGGAAGATGGTATGTGTGTTAAAAAATGATTTTGCTTTCAATGATTTTTTCAATCTTTTCCTTTCTAATATTACATCTCTGATACAACATACTCGGATACTGCACAGATTGTTCGCTCCTCGGCGTTTTCGTTTAGTGCCAACATTAGCGTGGAAGGTTGTAAAACCGCTACCATGTGGGGACCTTCCTGCAACCAGACTATCTATCCGCTTGCATGTTCTCGGTTCGCTAACCAGACAGGAAGCGTTGTTTCTTGCTCAGATTCTGTTCCTAGCTCTTGTCTGACCGGTGTTGAGACAAAGACGTATGCTTTAGATGTAGATGGAATAGCGGAACAGTTAGTAATCATGGCATCCAATGTGAAAGTAGACTCCAACGAAACGTATCTCATGTGTTACGCCCGTTTTGGAGCTATTGCTACAGAGACTCTACATGATTACGCTGGTAACATACACAAAGTTCCTCTAGTTATTAACAAACCCAAAGTTGGTCGATGGTATATCGTTGTGAGTTTCCCCGGACGAGAGAATAGGCTTGTACAGGGCACAGATTCCAGTTCTAAGGTCTGCTTTTCGATGAATGTTAAAGTGTTGGGATGTCCCGAGGGGAAAGCAGGACTAAATTGTGGGCAGCAAATCTACATGCTTCAGGTAATTTGCTCTTTTGAGTATGTCAGAAATCAAGATTGAGGCTCTGTACTAACACGAATACATTTGTATGCAGGCAGTTATGAGGAGAGGATCGTTGACACCTTTTGAGTCATACTATTTTCCGGTCAATGACGATTCACCTTCAGGCTCGAGCACAGATTTCCCCCTCGAACCCATTTTCAGCAACGTTTCCTCTCTTCCGGAGTTGGACGCAAGCACGTGGACTTATTTTCTCATGAACATCCCTCAAGGAGGTGCTGGTGGGCATATCCACTTCAGGTTGACTTCAGATTCCACGAGACAGTATGAAGTATATCTTAGGTTTGGTGGGCTGCCCACTGTCGATGACCGGGATTACTATTATGCGAATCGAACAAGTGCCAGCCGCTCAATGTTCTTCTCGCTGTATAACTCTAGCCAAGAAAAAGTTGATTTCTATGTCTTGTATGCTCGAGAAGGAACGTGGTCATTAGGTTTAAGGCAGCTCAGTGAATCTACTGCTGTTACTGATTCTAAAGGTCCACCTACACTTGTGTCTCTCTCTCTTGAAAGATGCCCGAGAAGGTGTTCGTCTCATGGGAATTGCCGATTTGCTTTTGACGCTAGTGGATTGACATCCTACAGGTTTCTTCTACCTTCTTGACTTGACTCGAAATGTGTAAATATGTGGTGAGTAGATTTCTTTTGGATGTTTTCAACTCTTGTGTTGTGTTTTCAGCTTTTGTGCTTGTGACCGAACCCATGGAGGCTTTGACTGTGGCATTGAAATTGTATCACACCAAGGTATCTTAATCTACTTAGTGTTTAGAACTACACACAACTTTTCTATGTACTCATGTGCTTAAAACCTGATAATGATGCAGGACATATCATTCAGTCTATTGCTCTCATCGCATCGAATGCAGCAGCTCTTTTGCCGGCTTACTGGGCTCTTCGTCAACGCGTAATTTTCTTGGTTTTTACACTTTTAATTCAGTGCTCTGTTTATTCCCCTTTCCCATCCAAAAGCTGATAATTCATGTTATTAACAGGAGTATCCAGAGTGGGTTCTGTTTACATCTAGCGGAATCTCGAGCGCTCTGTATCATGCATGCGATGTAGGCACCTGGTGCGTGTTAACTTACAACGTGTTACAGGTACGGGCTAGTTGTTTCTCTGCATCATTGTCATCTTCTATGTGAAAGTTATTCTAAATTACAAGATAGTAAATTTGTTTTGCTTCAGTTCATGGATTTCTGGCTCTCTTTCATGGCGGTGGTTGGTACCTTTGTGTACTTATCTACGGCTGATGAAGCAGTCAAGAGGACCATACACACAGTTGTTGCCATTCTCACAGCTTTATTGGCCCTAACTAAGGCAACTAGGTATCTGAGATGTTTGAGTGAATGCCGGTATTGATGATTAGCACCTTGAAGCTATTTCTAAACCTGATACATTGGCTTGCTATCAATTTTGCAGGGCGTCGAATATCATCATTGTATTAGCAATCGGGTCACTCGGTCTCCTCATTGGGTTTTTGGTAGAGTTTGTTACAAAGTATAGATCATATTGCGGATCAGCTGGATTTTCATTGAACATGCTCGACAGGTAACATAATGTTTCCTGAGAACATTATAATTGCCACAATGTGACAAATCATAACGTATCTGAGTTCTGTCATATGCTTGTCGTAGGCCACGGGCAGTCAAAGAATGGTTTAGTAACTTAATCAAGACGCTCGAGAAACGGTTTCGTTGGGGCTTTGTGGTGGCTGGTCTTGTAGCCTTTACGATGGCAGCCGTTAGTTTCAAAGTGGAAACCAGTTCAAGCTACTGGATTTGGCACAGGTGTGTGTGTGTGTTTAAAGTTTTAAGAGTAACATCGATTGGTACCACTTTCTGAATATTGACATATGAGAACTATGTGCAGTATTTGGCATTTCACCATCTACACATCTTCATTCTTCTTCCTCTGTTCGAAGATTCCAATTGTAAATAACGAGAACCAAACTCACCAAGGAGCTGACAACTACGAGTTAACAAGGCAAGACTCTCTACCAAGAAACTAAGAAAAGCATAAAGATACGGGACTTTTTACTGAATTCTTGAATGTACCTTCTCCTATATCTTATACCAAAGAAGTGTTAAGAGCAGAATCAGACATGATGATGGGTAAATATTCAGGTTTTTTTCTCTCACTTGTATTCGCTCAACATGGCATCCGGACCTCACTGCCAGCTCTTGTGTCTCTGTAATCTTGTATGTTTATATTCACATAGTGACAGGAAAATACCACTCGAGTTGTTGTCCAGTTGCATCATTTGTGTTACAGTGAGAGGCTTTAGCATCTTTGAACAATCTACTTGACCAAATAATCGCTGTGTTCATAAATCATGTTTATAGCTGCTAGACTGACTACTCACCAAGCCAACTGCAACCTGGAGTTTTCGGATTATAGCAATTTCTCCTCTCTGTTTTACGCGACAGAGCCGCTTGGTTCCAATGGCCTTCAGAGACGTAAGCGTTTGACAAGAGAGAGTAGTTCACAGGATTGCTAGGTTCGATTTCAAGGAGCTTCTTTGCGCCCCATTTCATAGATTCGCTCTTCTCATGGATGTTACATGCTCCTGTGAAAGCTGCCAAAGCATCTGTGCCTGGTTCTCTAGGCATCGACTTTAAAACATGGAAGGCCTCGTCGATGAAACCAGCTCGACCAAGAAGATCGATCAGACATGCGTAGTGCTCTTCCTCTGGTTCTATCTTGTAAACCTCAGTCATTAGTTTGAAGCAACGGAGCCCTTCTTGAACTAGTCCTCCATGGTTACAAGCAGACAGAACCTGTAAAAAGGTGACCTTGTCTGGGTGAAGTTTCTGCAGCATACTTTCAAACATTCTCAAGCTTTCTTCCGCGAATCCGTGAAAAGCTAGAGCTCCGATTAGTGAAGTCCATGACACAAGGTTGGGTTCTCTGATCGAATGAAAACAGACGAGTGCTTCGGATAAATTTCCAGTCTTGGCGTAAGCATTTACCAGAGAATTAGCCACGGACAGAAAAACTGCAGAGCCTTGTTTAGTAACAGTGGCTTGCACTTGCTTAATCTCTTGAATCGCTGAGAACTTTGCGCAAGAACTTAAAACACTTGCAAAGGTAAGCTCATCTGGTTGGAGATTCTCACGGAGCATCTGACCAAGAAGCCTCATAGCTTCTCTTCCCTGTCCGTTTTGTCCATAACCCACAATCATCGCATTCCAAGACACCACATTTCTCATTACCATCGATTCAAAACACTCGCTAGCGTCTCTCATGTGGTTACTCTTGGCATACATATTGACCAATGCAGTAGCTACTGGAACATCGAGCTGAAATGATAGTTTGAAGACGATGGCGTGTATCTGCTTCCCTTGTTCGATCCCACACGCACTGAGAAGACTCGAGAAAGTGAAACCATCACCTGTGAAGCTGTTTCTTCCGGATCCCATTAGCTTGAGTAAACCAAAGGCTTCATCGATCATACCGTTAAGAACATAAGCCGAAACTAAAGCGTTCCATAGCACTAAATCTCTATCCAAAGCCGTCTCAAAAACTCGTCTCGCTTCAGGGATGCAACCACATTTCCCATAGAAATCAACGAGAGTCGTACTTAGAAAGCAATTTGAATCGAGACCTTGCTTCAGTATCAAACTGTGTAATTGGATACCAGCTTCTACATGGATTGAATCAGTACACAGCCGTATCAGCCCGATGAATGACACATGATCCAAACTCACTTCACTGAGAAGAATCCGACTCAAGTAACAGAAACCTAGACGAGCTTTTCGCTTGGTGTCGCCGTCTCGGTGAAGAACCCCATGGATCAGTATGTTCCAAGTAACAATATTTCTCACAGGCATTTCGTCGAAGAGCTTATCTGCATCATCAAATTCTCTGCTTTTCGTGTAAGCTTGCAAGAGCTTGTTTTGAAGGAACAGAGAACTGTAATCCCCTCGTTTTACCATGAAGCCATGATCTTGTTTCACCTCAAAGAGATGAACCAATCTAACAGATAACTTCGATGCAGAAGAAATTGCTACTCGTGAAGAAGAAGAAGAAGAAGAAGAAAGGTTTCGCTTAGTTCGCGACGAAGATAAATGGTTTTTGAAATGGACGGTCACGATCGAACTTGATGGGAGCCTAAAACGCATCTCAACCGGAGGTGGGAAAAAAAAAAAGACGGCATGGTTTATAACAAAAAATCTCTGACTTGGCTCGAAGGTCTTGAGTCGACTGAATCGAGCCGAACCAGCTTGAGCTGAGTTGAGTTGTCTAGAAGCAGAGTACTACTCTTTAGTTACAGTAAATGTAGTTAATTCGTAACTAATCAGTAATCAGTCAATCACTAATGACTAATGAGTTTGTCGACAGACGACAGTAATGAGTCGAATGAGTAATGGCGTCTTAATTCTTATCCTTTTTTGTCCTTAACATTTATGAAGTCGTTCTGTTATAAATTACTCCTTTTATTTAACTATTTATCATCTCGACCTTAATTGCTATGAGTTCAATGATCACAGTGTTAAATCACAATATACGAGGCTTTGATTTAGTGCAAATGGAACATAGATAGCAGTAGTTTAAAAACAGTTGGAACTTAAATTTTATTTTCTAAATCTTTAAAATTATATTTTACCCAACCAAATTTTAGTACATACTTATTTTAATTATTTTTTATTTGTAATTAATATACTACTTTCTTTAATATGAATAATTAATAAGTTAAAAGGTAACAATAAAATTGAAAAAATTATTACTCCTTCCGTTTTAGTTTAATTGTCATTTTTAACTTTTCGTTTTGTATAAAAAAAATTGTCGTTTTCAAATTTTTATATAAAAATTGTTAAATAATTCTAAATATAACTTCAATTAAAACTCACACAAATGTAGCTAAAATAAAATTGGTAATTAATAATATCATTTATCAGAAATAAAGTAGTCAATTTATACAAATTCTTAATCTAAGTATAATTATATAGAACGATAATTAAACTAAAACGGAAGAAATATAACTTTGCATTAATAACCAAAAATAATAAGTATTTTAAAAAAATGAAGCTTAGTATGACAATTAAAACCAAATGAGAAAAATATATCACTATATTTTTAGATATTCTCACATCCTAATTTTATATTTTCAATAAAACCAATAGTTTTAACTCTTTAAGAACTCACATTCACATAAACTATTTATTCTGGGACCAAGATTTTTTGAGGTTAAAAGGTTAAATTTGCGTTAACATATTAATAATAAACGATTTTTTTTTTTTTTTTGATAAACTTGTAATTAGTCATCATAAAAGTTTCACTTCATTGTACATGGCTTTCTAGTAAAAATGTTGCAAGGCCCAAAGTAGAGCCAATAAAACCACAAAGTGTAACCTCTCAATATCTCATGCCTTTTGGTTTGTTAGTTGTTTTTGTTGGTTGCTACAAACTTTTTTGGTTTGTTAGTTTTTAACTCAACCCTGCGGGTTAAAAATTAACTAGAGTTAATACGTCACATGACAGCTAATGTTAAAATATTTGATGGAATGGGTCTCTCTCATTTCCGATGTGTCTTCGTATATATAAAACCCGTCGTGCTTCATTCAATAAATCATTTGTTAAAAATACCAGCAAAAAAATACAGGAGAAAATTTTAATTGAGAAAAGGTTAGTGTTTTCGCAATTTTAATAATCTCATCTCCCCTGATCTCTCTCTCTCTGTTTTTTTTTCTTTTTCTTCTCAATAATTTTCTTTTGCTAGCGATTTTCTTTTCCACATTGTTTACAAACAATTTAGTAACCCTAATTTAGGGGGAAAATAGTTTATGTGATTTGTGGAATAAGGGTCTGTATCTGTGAAAAGTTTGACTTGTGACCCTAAACTTCGTCTTCGGTCCCCATCCATCGAAACCCAAACCTCGCGAGAAAGAGAGAAATGGCGGGTCAATGGAAGTGGGGTTTTGCGAAAGGAAATAAAATGCCCTAGTTTTTTTGTTTTCGATTTTTGTGTTTCCCGCTAAAAAAAAGCCCTAGTTCCGCCATGGAATCTCAAGGGGTCTTAATCGTAAGCTTACGACTCTTCAGTTACTAGATCCCCTTGGGATTTTTTGTTTCTCGTTCTCGTCGTCGACGAAGTTTCCTAGGTTTCCCATTTCTCTGTGGATTACCGCTTATCTTGTTCGTTTGTTCTTGTGCTTCAGAGATAGAGAGATAAAATGGGATCTATAAATGGTTGTAGGGTTCGTTGTTCGTTGTCGATGGCTGGATGGTCGATGGTAGCAGACGAGGATGCCGTCGATTCTTGCAAATCTTCTTCGAAGAACATTGAAGCGAATAAGTCTCCTGAAGGCGTTAACTACCCAGATTCTAGAGGGTTGGATTTTGAAAAGAAGATTGAGGAACTCGTCTCCTTGTTCCGACGCTTGCTCGAATCTTTCCTCGTCGAGTTTTGTTCGGCGGATAGTTTCCGACCTCTTCCTCCGACGACCGGCGACGGGAGACAAGTCGATTTGTTCAGCCTTTTCCTTAACGTGAGTCACAGAGGCGGATTTGATGCCGTTTCCGAGAATGCGTCATGGGACGAAGTTGCTCAAGAGTCTGGGTTAGGGTGTGATAACTCTGCATCTGCGAAATTGATCTATGTCAAGTATCTCGACGCACTTGCTCGGTGGTTGAACAGAGTCGTCGCGGGTGATACCGATGGCACTAGCGTGGAGTTGTCTGGAGTCTCAGATGATTTGATGGGTAGGCTCAAAGATTTTCTATCGGAAGTGAAGAGGAAATATGAGCTGAGGAAAGGCAAGGCTGCAATGGAGCTAGGTACAGAGCTCAAATGGTTTGTATCGAAGACGAAGAGAAGATATGATAAGTACCAAATCGGTAAAGAGTCTGTGAAAGAGATCCAAGGTTCGAGAACGAGTGATACGAGGCTGGAGAAACTTATGCTTCTTGATTCTGGTAGCAAGGATGGATTTTCGCCTGGGAAGAGAAAACGGGAATGTCCTTTAGAGACATTGAAATGGTTAAGGGATGCTGCGAAGGATCCATGTGACATATCTATTGGTGCTTTGCCAGATAGATCCAAGTGGGGATCTTATGGAAGTGAAGAGCCATGGAAACAACTTCTTCTGTTTAGGGCATCAAGAACAAGCAATGATTCAGGTTGTGAAAAGATTTGGCAGGTGCGTATTCAAGAAATTTGCATTTGATTTTGTGAAAAAGAGCCCATAGGAGTTAGTAGCACCAACTTTACTGCTTTAGTGATTTGAAAATTCATCATTGATTATTGAGTTCGACGGTAGAGTCATGACTTAGAAGTAATTTGATTTTCTATGTGTGATTGAAATAGAAACTAATTAATCCAATGGTGATTGTGAATCTATGCAATTTCACCACTGTTGTTCCATGTTTTTGCCATTGAAGTCTTGATAATTTGCTCGTGTGTTTCAGAAAATCCAGAAGCTGCATCCATCTCTGTATGAAGATAGTGCTGGACCTAGTTACAATCTAAGAGAGAGAAGACTCAGTTTCGATGGAAGTCGGGAGAAAGGCAAGATATTTTCGGAGAATGGCTCGGGTTTAAACAGTTCAGATGAAGAGGATGGAGAATATGCTCTGATTGGTTCAGAGTTTCAAGCTGAAGTACCCGAGTGGACTGGCATCACCTCTGAAAGCGATCCAAAGTGGTTAGGCACTAGGATCTGGCCACTGAGCAAAGAACAGAACAACAGCAATCTTCTTATCGAAAGAGATCCTATTGGGAGAGGAAGACAAGATACTTGTGGCTGCCAGAATCCAGGTTCTGTTGAATGTGTCAGATTTCACATCGCTGCGAAACAGGAGAAACTGAAACTCGAGCTTGGTTCAGCATTCTACATGTGGTGCTTTGACACTTTGGGTGAAGGTACTCTGCAGTATTGGACAGGGTTAGAACTGAAGAAGGTAAAGTCTTTGATGACTTATCCACCTACGCTTAAGCGATCTTTCTTCGATGAGCTCAAGAGTATACTACCTTCGAAGAGCAGAGGGAAGATTGTGAGCTACTTCTACAACGTGACACTTTTGCAGTTTAGAGCAAATCAGAATAGAATCACTCCTGAGGAGGTAGACAGTGATACTGATGAACTCTACAACCTTGCAACAGAGAATGAAGATTCAACCGCAGAAGCAAACACGTGTCAGAAACCCGTCCTGCTTACGCCAAAGAAAAAAAGGCGTCGATAGAGAGAGAGAGCTAAGTAGTAGCCTTTGATGATTCACCCTGGAGCAGCTTTTTTTCTACCTTTTCTTCTCTTCTTTCCATCCCCTTTTTGGGGTATCCATTGATTGCCATTGAAACTGCTTTAAACTGTGGGTGAAAAGGCTTCATCGGCTCAGCAAATGCTGGTTTTGGTTTTTGAGGTAAATACTAAAGGAGAGTATTCTTTTCTTTGTTTTGGTTGGCTTTGCTTGAAAGCCTTTGCCAAAACTGATTAATCACAACAGAAGGATTAAAGTACAGTGAAATTTCGGGTTCTGTTTCGTGAATACAACAGAGGCAAAATGTAATTGCTATTTGTTTTTTTTTTTGTTTCTTCTTTGTTTCTAAGTGAAAATATGAAATGAGTCCATACCTCACACAAATGCACACATAAAAAAAACTCATCGGTGGCTTGCTTATTTGGTCTTTACTTAAGAGGCTTAAACCAATTTATAAAACTCACGTTTTCAATCATGTGTTTATCATTTATCATTTTAAATGGTGGATTACAGAATACATTGGTTGCCCAAAAAGAAGCGACTGGAAATTTTTCATGGCCCAATTATTTCCGCGCCAGCCCATAAAGGAATCCACGGAAAACCCATACCATTATAGTTAACCCACGCGCATCAAAAACGCGTGGTTATAACTACAGCGAAAATGGGTCAAAATCCAATAATTTTGTTATTCGGTTTTGCCTAACCGTGAATGTTAAGAAGTTTTGTGCATGTGGACACGTAATTCTACTTCAATAAAAATTAGACACGTAATATATTGTCCTCACGTCTGTACAGTCGTAACTCGTCGTAAGTTTATGGCTCACGTTTCTTTTAAAATAATTCATCTTTGATTATAGAATAATATCACCGAGCAATGTAATATCTAAGTCACAACTCCACGCAATTGTGCGTTAGATTCTGGATAAATTCTTTTGATCATTCAAAATTTCATTTGCTTCTCTATATATAAATGATGGTTATAAATGCAAAAAAAACTAGAAGAATGAGTTAGCCTATGATTTGTATAATTAATTTACTAATTGTTAGGATAACGCTTACGGCAACAGTGGATAAGACAAGATGCCAATTGTATCATCATCATCATCTTGCCAGGTAAATCGAGTAGTGTGTTGGTGTTTGAATTTGAAAATAAAAGTTTTTTTTAAAAAAATTAGCCCTTTAATAAAAAAAAAGATTCCCAAAAATGTATAGTAATGTAGTAATCGAGAACAGAAAGAAGTAAAGAGAATAGTATATAATCTTTTTGTGGCCTGTTTAGTTATTGTTTGGTTAATCAAAATCTTCGTTCACATATATAATTTTGAAAAAAAATATAAGTTAACTTTTTTCATTTGTCTCTTAACTAGAAGAATAACCTTTTGGAAAAGTTTAAAGAGTAACAAAAAGAGAAAATACAATGAAAAAAACAAGGAAAAGGGGTAAGAAAGGAATTGGAAATGGATAAATGATTATATTAAGGCAATGTCCATTTCATTTTTTATTGATCTTTTCTTTCTTACATTTTCTCTCCGTCTCTTCTTTCATTTTCGAATCTTTTTTCTCTCTCTCTCTCACACAAACCAGATTCTAGAAAGAAGAACGGAGAATCGCCATGGCTTCGCCGAGCAAACGCCGAGAAATGGACATGATGAAATTGTCGGTCAATTTTTATCTCTCGATTCTTGAAATTTCATCTCTCGATTTGGTTCTTTTTTTCCTTACAAACTTTCCCCTTTTTTTCCTGGGTTTTTGATCTGTTGATGATAATCTTGTTCATATATTTTGTTTTCTATGACTGGATCAGGATGATGAGTGATTACAAGGTGGATACCATCAACGACGATTTGCAGATGTTCTATGTGACATTCCATGGACCCACTGACAGTAATTTCTCCAAACTCTGCCATTAATCCCTTTGTTTCTCTCTTTTGCATTTCTGCTCATAAGCTACTTGTTGAAATGCCTGAATGAAAAACAAAAGAGTCTTTTGTAGATTTGGTCTACAACTTCAGATTCATCATCGCTCTCTATAATAGGAACTAAATCGGGATTACTTAGAGAATTTTTGATAGATTATGTATAAGATCGTCACAGATGAATCTGAAGTTAGAAAAGAAAAGAAAGTTTAAGTCTTGTGTGTTTTCTGAAGGTCTTTATGAGGGAGGTGTATGGAAGATAAAAGTCGAACTTCCTGAAGCTTATCCATACAAATCTCCATCAGTAGGATTTGTTAACAAGATTTATCACCCAAATGTGGATGAATCGTAAGTGAGAGCAAACCGTATTTACCACATTTTTCATTGCATTGCAAGATCTATTTCGAGATGTGGTTTGTGTTTGCGTGCTCTGATACTCGGTTTCGTGTTTGTGGGCAGTTCGGGCGCAGTTTGCTTAGACGTAATAAACCAGACATGGAGCCCAATGTTTGGTAAAAGATAGTGTTGTTTTTGAATGCCTTTTTGTGATATATCTGATTGTGTTGCAGCCATTAACGTTGTGCTTGTTTAGCAGATCTTATCAATGTTTTCGAGTCATTCCTTCCGCAACTGCTTCTGTATCCAAACGCATCAGATCCATTCAACGGAGAAGCTGCGTCTTTGTTGATGCGAGACCGCACAGCCTATGAGCAGAAAGTGAAAGGTAATAAAAATCTCTCTTTTCTTCCGATTTGATTCTCTATTGGACCTCTCAATGACACAGCATAAAAAAATCTTTGACATTTTGAAGAATATTGTAAGACATATGCTAAGCCAGAGGACATTGCACCTGAGGAGAACTCAAGTGATGATGATGATGATGATGAAGATGATAGCATGAGTGACAATGGTTCCGAATCTGACGACAACGATGAAATTGCTGGAAAAGCCGATCCATGATGACTGTTCTAAAATCTTTCTTTGCACTTTTCCATTAGTTCATTTTCCAAATTTAAACCATTAATGTGTTCATTTGCAAAGAGGAAAAAAAACTGTCCTCGTGTAAATTTGTAAAGACTTGTTTATTCTTTAGGAGGAATATCGAAATTTCTTTTGTTTTAACTGTAAATAAAATGTAACAATTGCAATCATCAATAATACACATAAAACATGAATCCATTTCTCATTTGTTTGTTTTTAATTTATCCACCAATTTCTTTTTATACATTAACATGTTTCTCAAGATGGATAATATACTGCAGACAAAAGGACTTTCTTCTAAAGGTTGCTGTAAACTTTGTGAGCAACATAACAATAAAGTAATCATAGGCCTATAGATTTATTTGTTTACTTAAGGCCAAAGACTCCGCTGCTAGATTGCTTTCAATTGCCACATTGTAATCACATCTGAGCACTAAGGACAAAAGAGGCTTTAAGTTAATCCTTTTCAAGAGTCTGTCTACAAATGGCTCGGCCTTCTTTTACCAGAATCCGTCCTTAATCTCTTCACCGGATTAGCCCATCCCACTGAATCACCAGCCGCACCGCTGTTGTTCGGATGAGTGGCTTGGTTTGGCCACCGTTGCTGTTGAGCTAGCCTTGTTTCCCTTGTAACTGAACCAGACACAGGACTTCTCAGACCACGACCTACCATAGCTGGAGGCGAGACCGGACTGCTAGAGCCGGCGGCTCGGGTTCTTGGAGCAGACTTTTCTCTGTCTTTCCTCTTCTTCTTGCAGATTACTAATTCCCCTGGATGAGCTAAAATTGGAGAGTCATCGGATGTCCCGCCAAGCTTTGTTTCTTTCTGCGGTATCTGTACTCTGATCCTTGTGTTCTCGCGTTGCTGAAGTCTCTGAGGAGAGCTTGGCTCGGGTTCGGGCTCATTTACTGGCTTTTGCTTCTTGCCCTGACTAATACCTGCTCCTCTTGGGGACGGTGTGGATACCAAAGTTGGAGTTGGGCCGGAGAAGGAAAGAGCGTTCCTTGCTTCCCGGAAATCTGTGTCTGGGAAAGACATTTTCAATAGATCAAAGAACAGATTGTGAACCTTCCTAGCTTCAGACCTCACCTGCAGACAATTTTTTACCACACCTTTAAAACCCATTTGGCTTTATATATCAACAACACAGAATCCACTTTTTATTCTATATACGATGTAAAAATCAAACCTCGTGTGAGAATCCGTAGAACTGCATTGCTCCCCTTAGCATAAACTGCACGTCAGATGCGAGTTCCATAACTCCTGCATACTCTAGCCTTTCTACCCGGTGATCTATCTCTCGAAGTTCCAAAAGATTATTTACGCCTCCAGCTGCATAACCATTCTGAATTCTCTTCCACAAATTTGTCAGCATAGGTACAATCTGCTGGCCTTCTTTGTCGATTCTCCTTTGAAGCTTGCTAATCACGTTTTTGCACTGCAAAGTCAAGTATACGTTCAGACCAAAGAAACAAAATAGATGCAGCAACACATCGACAATATAGGAGAATGCAAAAGAAGTATAATCAATCCATATGAAAGAACATACCCGTTTCTGTATGCCGTGAGACATTCTTACACCAGCATTTGAAGAGCCAATAGGACTAGTTCCATCCCATGTTTCTCTGGCAGCTTCGGCGTTGTCCTCCACGGAAAGCTGTGTGGCATTCAATCTACCAGATTTTGGTGATGATACATGCAGCTTGGAAGTATTCGCTACCTTCTTTGCAGGCAAACTCCTAAGTCTCGAGGATGAATCACTCTGATCTTGTCTTGAACCATGTGAGTCAACAACTGTCCTCAACTTGGATCGATAGCTACGATCGACTTGCAACGGCTGAGCTACAGCCATATCACTACCACCTATTCTTTCTGCAGTTTGGCGGGGTCTTAGACGAATACTCCGTTTCCGTTTTATTGTAGGTTGCAAAACCTGTTCTTCTTCCCCTTCATCACGGTCATGGGCCCAACTTCCTGATCGTTGGAGATCTATGTGAGAATCCCCCGATGCTGCTATTTCCCCTTCTTCTAGGTCATCCACCTGTTCAACATAATTAAAGAAACAAACGTTACACAAACCACAAAGAAGAAAAAAGGCCTGCAAGACAAAATCAGGTGCCTACCAGTCTTTTTGAGACAGAACCTGGCCTAGTGTCCAATGCAGACAAAGAGCCAAACTTTTGTGAAGAAACAGGAGAAGCCATCTCTTTTGATCTATGACTTTCTGGCGAAGATCCTGAAGAACCGGCTTCATCCCGTGGAGGAAGTTTTTTATAACTACCAGAACCCGGAGGATAGTCATAACCACAGACAGGGTTTTCTCCATCAGATTCGCGCTTGTTGGTTTGGTGATCACTGAGAGCACCAGTTAGTTCATCATCATCAAATTGTCCAATGTCTCCCTCTTCTTCATTCCCAGAATCGATGTTCCTTTCCTCAGAGCTTTCTTCAGAGTATCCTCCACTGTCATCTTCAATTTCCTTGTAGTTTATTTTTTTGCTCTTGGGCCTTCCCCTTTTTCTCTCACCTCCAGGCCCACCAGTTTGCACAATCAGGTTACTGCTTGACAACATGTTCTTTGACGGTTTCTTAGACAAATCAGCAACGGCAGTTTCTACCTCTCTGGTACTAGCTCGAAGCCACTTAGGCACCTGCTCATGACAAGTCATCTCCTCGGTCCAGTCAAATTCTTCATCCATCTGATCAAATAACTCAACTTCCTCCTCGCTTCTGGCAATCATCCTGTTTACCTCATGGAGAGAAGGTACATCATGGACGGTTTCTTGATATCTCTCTTCATCATGCAATAAAGTCTCCAATGTCATTCGCCGCTCTTCATGAGTCGTCCTTTGGTCAAAACGCCCAGCATTGATGACTTCATCAGCCATGTCAATCTTATACTGTTGAATATTATTCCTTATGAGACCCTCTATAGATCCTATATACCGGTCCTTCCCAGCCAAGTCATCCTCCAGGTCTATTGAACCACCACTTCTAAGCTCGTCCTCCTTTTGATGGCTGGAAATTTTTTCAACAACTGCCTCCATATAAATCACCTTGACTTCCCTTGTCTGCCCAATACGATGCGCTCTGGCAACTGCTTGTTCCTCATTCTTGGGGTTTGGATCCGGATCATATATCACAACTGTGTCAGCAGTCTGAAGGTTGAGACCCCTTCCAGCCGCACGTATACTGAGCAGGAAAATAAAGCAATCAGTATTAGGATCATTGAAATCCACAATAGCTGATTCCCGATCTTCTAGGCTGGTAGTCCCATCTATTCTTCTGTATACAAGCCTCCTCCATTGCAAATACTCTTCCAAGATATCAAGGAGTTTAGTCATTGTACTGAAGAGCAATACACGATGGCCTGTCCTCTGTAGCTTTATCAGAATTCTATCCAGAATCCAAAGTTTTCCACATGACCTTACGAGAAAATCCTTGGACAAATCGTTGAAATATGGATAATTGAGTAAAGGATGATTGCATGCTTTCCTCAACTCCATGCACCTATTATTTAAAGTTCTATATATCTTGGCTTGGTAGATCGGATTCTTCTGAGCCCTAAGTTTTTCATCGTCCGGATCAACTCTAAGAGTTCCAGTAGCTTTAATCCAATCATAAACGGCACTCTGAATAGCAGACATTCTACATCTTAAAACAACGGAAACCTGCAACCGAAAGCATTATCAGTATTATATCTCGAGTCTCACAAAAATATAATGGCAGAGAAATAAGACAGATCCTACCTTAGGAGGAAGTGAACCTTCCACATCCTCAACACGACGTCTGAGCATGAACGGCTCTAAAATTTGATGAAGCCTGTGAATGACTATGACCTTTTTCTCAGTCTCCAGCCAGTCATCCTCTATATTATGTGCAGGACCTTCTCTTTGAAAGGGTTGCGCGAACCAATCATGAAATGCTTTTCGATTGTCGAAGACATCAGGAAGGAGGAGATTCAATAGTGACCAAAGCTCTTTCAGATCGTTCTACAAGATTTAATAGAAACAGAATATAACCATCTATTTCACTCTCAACATAATATGAACAGCTAAAAGAATCTTGTTTTCCAGTTGTTAGGAGTCTCTAATTTATGCCCAAGTAGCTATACTGATACCAACCTGTAAAGGTGTTCCAGTGAGAAGTAATCTCCTCTGGCAGCGGTACCGGTCAAGATCTCGGGCCAAAACAGATTCTCTGTCCTTCATCCTTTGTGCTTCATCAATTATAATATATTTCCAGTCAACTTTTGAGAGTTTTGATCGATCATACATAATGAACTCATAAGTCGTAACAAGGACATTGAACTTCATGGCGCAAACCTCCTGTGTTAAAAAGAACAGGGAATGTATCAATCAACAAGTTCATATCCAAATCTGGAGCAAATGCAACTTTTTTCAAAAAATTACCTGAGAAAACAATTTTGAACGTTGATCCTTTGTACCAACATAATATATGCATGAAACCGATGGCAGCCAAGTATGGAGTTCACTCTGCAAAAGAAAAAAAAAACAGTTAACTGTGTGATAAGTTATCAGATAGAAGTCGACAATAGATAGCAAAAACTTAAGTATTCTAAGGAACACAGAAGAGTTCATCAACTGAAATGGCCATGTCAGCAGAACCAACAGCTAGCTAAAGTCAAAGTTAAGCATAAATAATGAATAAAAAAGACTTGTGGGTTATGGGGAAGTGAATTTGAGTACTTATGAGTTGGGAGACTTATGGTATAATCTATTGGTTCTAATCCATTGTATCTGTGAAATTATACAAGTTTTATCAAAAATTCTAACAGAAATCACAAACCTTCCAATTCACCAGAACAGCATTGGGAACAATGATGAGATGCGGTCCATAATTCCCCTTAAACTCCATAAGGTAAGCAATCAGTGCCATTACCTGAACAGCGAAGACAGAAAACAATCAGCATACAATGCCGGCAGAATATAATGCTTTATCGCTCGCCAAAGGCGAAAGTACAGTAAATCCAGGAATCCCTGAAAATTGAGGACAGATTTGACCTGCACAGTTTTTCCAAGACCCATCTCATCAGCCAAGATCCCATTTAATTTGTTATTATACAACGAGAGCATCCATTGCAATCCAACCTGAATGGCACAGAGCGGAATACCTTAGAAACCATCCAAATGTGGCACAACAGAGAAAAGAAAATCACAATACAAGCACATAGAGCCTGGATGAAGGAGATACCAGCTGGTAATCACGCAAAGTTCCAGCTTGAAGCATTGAGGGTTGTCTCACAACAACTTCATTTACAGCATGAGCCAGAGTATAATACCTAGAGTTAGACATAACAAAACGATGAAGAAAACGCTTAAGACAGTAAGCAGCATCCAAGGAGCCTATTCCTAATTGTATGTTGTGTACAATCTGAGTGTCGGTAATTTACAGATAACCACATATTATTAGCAGTCAGCTGCATTGGCTTATACATTATGAGCAAACACTAGTAATTTGCTATTTTCCCGTCTAAATTATTTTTGGTGTGAGTAATGACTTACTTGTTGACAGATGAATTATCTTTTGGCGCATTCATTTCCATAAATCTATTTCTGATCACAACTTCTTCTCGAGCACAAGCGGCTGCTGACCTAACCTCTTCTTCTGACAGGCCCTGCATCAAAAACGGGAACAGATAAGCTAAATATCCACTATAACTTTGTAGAGGAAGAGTTCTATTATCTGAGACATGAAAGTCAACATTTAAGCTGAACTTGAAGATTTATTTACAGAGACTGACGAAAAAATTAGAGGTGGAGTATAGAAAGCAGTAAGTATACCTGCAATCTCGCAGCGACTGCTGCGGCATTCGCTGCCTCCTCCACTTCCTGTTGATTCTTTGTGGCCGTAATCTTACCTCCAAGTTTATGGAGATAATCTTCGGTCTGGGTCAAAAATGAAGAGAGAACAGCATATCTTTCAGCAGCATCACCAGGTATATTTGTTTGCTGTTCCAGCAACATCTCCCTGTACCTTTCTACATCATTATTTTTCAAGGCCTCCATCCTTTTGTTACGGCCATCATCTTTTCTCTTCGAGAACTCTCTCAACATTTTTTCATGGTATTTGGCCACTCCTCTGTTACGAGCAGTGCGTGCATCACGTATAGCCCAGTGAGTCTCAAGGAGTTTCTTACGCCACTGAAAAATGGTTTTCAGCTGCTTCTCTCTAACAGCTTTCTGGTTGGCCAGAACTTGTCTATTCATTTCAAGGCGTTGTCGTTCGCACAACCTCACAAATTTACGGTATGGCCTATCAGGCATGGACATTATCTCCTGTTGTTGTCGATCCACTTCATCCCTAACCCGAGACTGAAGATCCGATAGCCTAAGCTTTTTCTCTTCAATTTGAAGCCGCAAAACAAGATCAGGCCTAATCCTTTTCCTTTCCAAATTTTTTGCTAGTATACCATTTATCTTCTTCAAGCTGTCTGTTCTTTTCTTATTAAAGAACTCTGCACCTTCTTCACATATCAGATCTTTGATATCATATGCCAATGTGAGATTGTTATTGGCATTGGCTGTTGCGGACCCATAAGAGTCATGTTTTCGAGTGAAAAAGGGAAAATCAAACAACGGTCCGTGATATTTCCTGGCAGAGGCTGCATCCTTGGGCTGCTGGGGAGAGTTTGCTTGTGGAGGAACATTAGATTGGCCTCCATCAGATGCAACGGCTTTTCCCTTATCAGCAGTAGAATCATTTCTAGGAGTCTTTTGAGTACTAGCATCTGCTCCTTGGTCTGACTTAACAGGGAATATATCAGTATGTTGCTCCTCTTTCGTAGCCACGTCAGTAGAAGCAGCTTCTTTTCCCAGGTTTTGAAATAAGTGGCTGTGGCCCGTCGCCAAAGCTACTTCTGTATCTCCAACATTATCCTCCTCTTTAGAAACAATTTGTCCATTTGAAGAAGCAGCAGCCTGAGACTCTTTGCCACACTCCAGCGACCTCGCTTGGTCTTCTACAGTTTTGTCTGAAGGTCTTTCTTGAACGTGTGCTTCCACGGGAGAAATTTGCCTCTGCGTCTGCAGTTCAAGCGGTGGTGGAGCAATAGCGTGAAGAAGCTGCTGAGGCAAAGAACCTTCTCCTTTCTATCAAGTAAAAAGCAAACAAGAAAAAAACAATCAATCTGATTTGCAGAAAGGTTATATGAAGGCAGTGATACACCGCCAGCAAAATACACATTAATAAATAATTAATACCTTCAAACGCCTAAATGCCAGTATCTGGGCTTTGAGAACATGGAGTTGTTGTTTAGTAAATCCTGATCGCTGTTGTGCTTGTTGGGCCCCCTGTCCACTCTGAAGGGAAGGGTTGCTGAGTGAACCAGCATCAGATGGAGCTGCTAAATTTGGAGCCTGTGCATTCAGTTGCCTAGGCTGCTGCATCTGCAAATGTTCAGCAGAACCTAAACTTTTTTTTGTAGACGCATTCTGATCCAAAACATGTGTCTCATTTGCAGACGTCTGCATGGAACTTCCTGCGGGAAACCCATTTGTAGGCTGAACTAAATGTCGAGGATACCCTGCATTATCTCTCCCTTGGATAGAGAAGGGATTCGCAGCAGGGTTAACCATTCTGGGACTGGAAGTCGAGGCAAATGAGCTGGTAGATATTGCATGCCTGGTCTTGGCTGATCCTGACTGCCCAGAGATATCACTAGCGGAGTTGGTACGAGGTGAGTGGTCACCTGGAACAGCTGAAGATGAAGCCGGCTGGCTAGAGATTGGAATAGATGGTGACTGCGAAGCCGCATTGCCTTCATTAGCCTTCTGCTGGGCAGCCATTCTTGCCTGAAGGATGTGCGCCATTTGGCTGGCGTTGGCAGGATGTGAGAGATCAACATTATGCTCACGCGCCCACGCCTGCATCATCTGCCACTGCTGTGCAAGTGCGAGTTGGTTGGTTCCCAAGTTGTTGACACCCTGCGGAGCCTGCATCGGCCTTGTGATATTCCCAGGCATTAGTTGTCCCGTTCCCAGCTGCTGAGGATGAGGTTTCGTTTCGTCCCTTTGCTGAGGACCTGATTCCATCTGGCGAGCAAACTGCTCACCCGACGGCTTAGACGATGAGGCATGGCCCTGACTAGATGATGCCTGCATCGGAATCATGTCTTGCATGTTCAACATCCCCATCCGTGCATACTGATCCTTTCCAACGCTTGAAGAACCCAGCATCCCCATTCTAGCTTGCTGCTGTGCTTTTTGTTGCTGAGCCTGTAAAGCAAACTGCATATACGCTTGCTGCATTGGGTTGAAACTTTGCTGGCCCTCTTGAGAAGAAGAACCCTGTTGCTGCTGTTGAGTAGACTCAAAGAACTTCCTAGACTGCTGAGGCTGCTGCATAGAGCCCGGAGACGAAGAAGCAAAGTTGCCACCTCCCATCATTCCTTGAACCCCACCACCATGATACGCAAACATGTTATCATTCCCCTCTGAGTTTCTCAGCTGCTGCTGCTGCTGCCATATATATATATATTATTAGTATGCAATCAAATGAACCATAACTCCACGATTCAGAGCAACTACAACTGAATTACCAATAGACAAAAATTGACGGATGCAAAGAGCATTTTAACGAACCAAATCCACAATTCACATACACTTAAACATGACTTTTGAGTTGAAATTCAGAATGCTTCATACCTGCCTAGACGCCAGCTGCTGCTGCTGCTGCTGCTGCTGTTGTTGCACAGATGAAGATGAAGAAGACGGAGACGCAGCGGATGAAGTGGAGGCGGTCCGACCAGCCGGACCCATGCCCGGATTCCGGGCGGGCCCTCCGCCACTGCCTCCAGATTGCATGCAATTCGACGAAAAATCAGACAGTCACTAGTACACTGGAGACAATCAAACACAATTGAACAAAGTAAGAAGAAGACAAAAGTTCAAAAACCCTACCAAGAAGGAAAAAAAAAAATCCCTCCAAAAAATGAGGGCAGAAGCAACAGCAAAAGAAAACCTCGAGTTCGAAAACGGAAATTCACAAAAGCCCACCTCGACACTCCAGTCGCTGCCACTCTCCTTCTCTCTCTCTCTCTCTCTAGATTTGCATCGATTTTCGGTGAGGGGGAAACGAAACTCGCGGGACGCAACGGTACAAACCAGATCCCTGTGGGGGCTTTTCGATAAAAAAGGGAGGGAAAACGAAATCCACGGAATCGATGATCGATTCCTCTCGAGAAATTCACGCGATCAGAAATTTCTCGGCAGTCAAACCCTAGCTGGTTACTTCCCTTTTCTTTTTTTTTCCTTTTTCTTTTGGAGGGCTATTAAATCTGGATTTTCTCATTTTTATGTTTTTTTTTACTTTATTTTATTTTGATTGTTGGGCCCCACGCTCTCGATACAGTTGGAACACAGAAAATGCGTGTCACGAGACGACCTCGATTTTCACTATTATTTACGTAACTACCCCTTCGGTATAAAAGAAAGAGTTGCAAAACATAGCGCAAAAAAACAAAACCTCAACATAATAGTATCGTAAGATTTCATATTCATCGTACAGACAAACAAGAAATATATATATCCTCTGTATCTCAATCTTTGACGATTTTGTAGCATGAACAGCTATGTCGAAAAAATTATTTTGGAAGTCGGACGATGGCAACCAAAAGATCATTTTGATGAAGATAACTCTGCTTCATGTAGAGATCCACACTTGTTCAATTATGAGATATACATACTGCACAATTAAGAATAATAATATGACAATAATGACCACTATAATTAAACGCAAAAAAAGAAGAAGCTGAAACTAAACCAAACACCATCCTAAATCTTGTCCCTCGTCCTGTCACTTGGGATCCGATAGAGCCAGCGCGGGAGAACAAACGTGTTATAGTGTGAATGGGGACCTTCCAACGCCGTGGGTTTCCACTCTCCAGCAAAACTCAGGATGCTACCGTCGCTTCTACGTTCCGAGTTGTTGTGAAGCCCAAACATGCCTCGGTGTAAGTTGGTAGACGCCAAGCAGGAATGCATGTCGCTCTGGATGTACACTGTGTCAGCATCGAATGGGTTTGCTGCCAGCGGAAAGTAATCGAGCACGGTCTTGATACAAGCCAGAGATACCTCAGATAGTAATTGCCACTCCCCGGTTTCAAGCCTCCACACACGTAACCTATGCTCTGAACTCGCATCAGCGTTCATGTACATAAGATACCCTTGAGAAGGTGTGCAAGCTCTTCTGAAACTCACTTCTTTTTCTGAGTCGGGGAAAAGTACAACTCGGTATTGATGATCATCAGACTCCGCGTAGAAATCATGGGAGACAACAACTTCTTCACGGCTTGGGCTTGCAATGCATCCGAGCCAGTAAAGGTTCCCGTTCAAGCTAACGGGATCACAGTGCACAAGATGGCCCAAAGGAAGAGGACAATGGAGAGTTTCGAAACTCCACAAGCCTGTCTCTGATGAATACACGAGTAGTTCTCGGAAATAACGCCGCTTCACCAGAACAACCGTGTAACCTAAAATGACGCCGTTTTCAATCCGTGTAGCGAGTCCAGAGTGTTCGAAGTACCTCTGAAAACCGTGGGGCGGAGGAGGGATCTCAACACATTCTCGTGAAATCGGGTTAGCCACATAGAATGTTGGACCATCGGTGTCGGAACGTTTCACTTTGATCAGAAACAAACCGACATCCGTGTAAGACACGGCTCTAACCTGTGGAAACCCATCTTCTTTCTGGGTCTCGAATTGGTGGTTTAGAAAAGACGACACGTAAGAGCCCAAAGATCGTGCAAGCCCCCAAACCTCGCATCCGTAGTGAGCCATGACCTCCCTGTGAGACTCCCTGCACATGAGCAACCACGAACAGTGCGAGTTTTGATGGCGAGAAAGGAAAAGCTCGCGGAGAAACCGAGATTCCACCATTGATTTCCATTCCTTGCAAACCAACTTGGACCTTGACATGCTCGTAAGCGGTAATCTCAAAAGTATACTTACCCATAGATCCTCCGGCAAGTAATTCATCATCTTCTTTTTCTCTGTAAACTGTAATGGGGATTGATCGGATCGGAGTAGGCCCAGTAGGGTTTGCTCTGTTTTTCTCTGTAAAACTGCGTCGGGGATTGATCGGAGCAGGGTTTACTCTGTTTTTACACCGACCGGGAATTTGCCAGGCTGGCGTATGGTAAACGGCGTCGTTAACATTTATCGCTAATGGGTATTTATTTCTTGGGCCACTTTTTTCTGTTAGGTTCCCCATGTTAGCGTACATTACTCAGCACGCAGTTCTTTTATCAAACAAGAAAACGGCGAGCAGTTTCCAATGTGCAGGTTCAGTTTATGTCGTTAATCTATATCCCCAAGAAGGCAAAAGTCATGTATTTATGATTGCGAGTGAGAGACGCTGATGATTTAGAAATGCCGTTGCCTTCTCACTTTGTTGGTATATGATTCCGGAAAACTCAAAGTGAAAATCATGGAGAAGATCTTTCCTTCGTCTTCTTTGATTCTGCTCGTTTGCCTCGCTTTTCTTCTGATCTCGATTTTTCACGGATCCGTCCAGCTCGCCGAAGCAGGCCAGCGACGGATCGAGATCCCCGACGATCTAGACGACGTCGAAGACAATGAAGAAGACGAATCATGGAAGGATTGGGGTAAGAAAGCCTCGACGCCGGAATTCGATCCGCCTCCGGATTTCTCCAACATGGGATTCGAACAGATCCAAGCGGAAATGGCTAAACGAACTTTCGGACCTGTCGTCGGATTCGTCAAGCTCCGGTTAGGCGTCCGCCGTACTAAGGTAAACAAATCTCTAAACCTCTCTCCCTCTCTCTCTCTCACCTCTTTCACATCCTCCGATAAAATCATGAAAGTCCAGTTGCTTCAGGCGATTGAAAATCGTGATTTGTTTGTTTGATTGGAATCAGGATATGGTGGTGGAGATTGCTATGAAATGGACAAAAGTTCTGAGAACAGGAGGGGTCGGAGTAAGATTCATGGCCGTAGATCGAAGCACGGTGATGTTCAATATGCAAAGTGGCAAGGAAGTGAATGAGGTAAGGAAAAAAAAACACAGAAACACACGTAATGATGAAGCTTTGTTTATCAGATTAGTCAAATATCTCACACTAGAATCAATCTCTTTGTTGGTCGATATTCAATTAGCTAAGGGAGTTCGTGCTGAGCCAGGAAGAGGCTTATGAGCTAAAGATAGGGAAACAAGAGTTTCGAAGACCTGGAGATCCTCCACTTGAAGACGTCGTTGCCAAACTTCAAGCTGAGCAAAGCAAGGATGGTGACAGTATCAAGAATGATCTTACCAAGGATGAATTATAAGGTCATAGTGGCATTCTTTAGCTGAACCTTAGCTACAGTATCTTTGATATGTTTGGTGCGTAGAATACAATTAAAAAAGGGAACCTTGTTCTTTTTTCTTTCCAATGAGTATGCACTCATTTAAGCTTATTGCTAAATGTGGAAAGCTCAATAACCTGAATCCTAGGAATGCTCGCTGCCTCAGCTCTCTCTGTCTCCGTGTTGTATCCCCAGTTTCCTGTTTCAAAAGATAAAATATCCATCAGATCTCCATAGCAAGGAGAATCAGAAGAGATGATATGTGAGAGAGAGAGAGATAGAGAAGACAACCTAAGTATAAATTCCATTTGTCTAACTCAGGCTCTTTGATGACATTCTTCAGCGTTGCGAGTCTGTCTTCCACAAAACTGGCCAAATCAAAACAATCCACATACGGATTGTAAACTAATGATTAGCAAGTCATGTTGACAAAAAAGAAACATACATTTATAAAAAGCATGAACAAGACTTACTGCAGCGTCAAGCCCTGGTGTTCTGGTTTATTCTGAAGTAGCTTTAACACTTCCACCTTTGGCCTGATGAGATTTTCAGACAAAAAAAAAAAAAAAAAAAAAAAGAATGGCTAGTTCAATGGTAAAATCTGGATAAGAAACAAGATCAAAAAGTCCATTGGTGGAATCTATATTGATACTGACCCTGTACCCAAACCATAAACCCTTTCTGATGGTAGGATTACACCTGCTATCTCTCGCAGCAACGTTTCTGCGAACCGGCCCTGCAATTTTTACGAACAAAGTTCAGCTCGATGATTGCTACAAACAGTTCTGAATTGGATTGGAATCATTTCTGCACCTGCTTCGTGGTAACAATGTAAATCTTTGAGCTGGCAAATTTCAGTGCATCTGAAACTCCTGGATAGAATCTGCAATATACAGTAAGACTACATCAAAGCTATGAAGGTAAAATGTACAAGAAAGTATGGAACTTTGACTATGTGAACCATATTGTTTTGGAAAACATCGGTCTCTGAAACCTTCTCTTCTCTGTGATTTGAACTAAAACACATACCTATTAGCACCAATCCAAGTTGTCAAGTCCTTGTTGATCCAATCATCTCTAACTTTTCCAAACAAATCGACCAAAGCATCTTTATCTTCATCCCAAGCTTCCATGATAACCGGCTTAATCGTTCCCCAGCTCTCCAATATCCCATCAACAGTCAATCCCTCTGCAACCTTAATCATCATTTGCCTCGTAAGTGTTGATATACAAATACGAAAATTGATCTCTTAATCCTATCTAAAGTTCTAGTGATGAGCATTCTGACTCACTGAAGATTTTCGAATAGATGGAATCTTCGTCTCCAATAGTAGCCGCACAAGTAGAAGATTCTCATAGCCAGTTTCCACCACAGGTCTCACCTACAAACACCAGCTCCTGGGTCTTATATAACGAATTCGAAGCTTCTTCACTCACATTCTTTCAAAAAAATTTAAGCTGAATAAACAGTGAGGAAGAAAAGAATTTACGATATGCATCTGATCGACGATCCATTCCTCTAAAGCGGAATCAACTCCTTCGAACAAACCAGGCCATCTCACTCTCGCAGCCTATAAACACCGAACAATCAACGAATGTTCAATTAAAAACGTGCATGTACATCCCAAAACTACAATCGAAAGTTCCCATTTTCAGAATCAGAGTCAGAGAAACAGTTTATATGTAGTAGTTTCGCGAAACAAAACGCAGGAGTTTCTCACGGAGATATAGAGTATGAAGAGAGATTGAAATTGACCTTAACAGCAGAAAGAGAGCTTTCTCCACAGCTATCGCAGAGAACTCCATCGAAGTCCAAAGCATAGAGATCTCCCATTCTCTTTCTCCACTAGTTTCAAGCAGCTGCCACACATTTGTTAGAGACGAAGGTTCCTCACACTAATGAGAGCCAATGATAACAAGCCACGCGTTATAACGTTTTAAAAAAATCGTATATATTTCCGCGTTTGCGGTAGCCCAAACGCAAGCTGTGCACTGCACGCATATATTAGTCGTTTACCGAGTGCAGCCGGTCGCACCGTCTATTCAGCCGACCTAAAAACCGGCATCGCCGGTATCAATAATTGCTCATCTTTTCTTCTCTGTCCAGATTCTCAAGTCTCCTCCTAGAGATAGATAATCATCATCATCATTCCTCGGATCCAATCCAATTACGTATCGTCTCTTCATAGGTATTCGCCGACGAGCGATTCTTCCCTTCTTCTTCTCAATTGTTGTTTTTCGCGAGCGTGGTTGTTCATGTGATTGTTGGTTTGTAGTAGCTTGATTTGAATTCCGTAAGCTAGTTGTGGAAAGAGATGATACTGTGTTCAGTTTCTCTCTTCTGCTATTGTTTTCCGATTGATTGGACGAAGTAGCTAGGAAAGGAATCGGTTATCTTTTTGGTTCTGAAATTCCCTCTTATTGATTTGGTTCCAATCGTTGATTAAGATGCTCTGCAATTTCTACTATGTATTGCAAAAAACCAGAATGGCTCCTGTATTGAACAAACACCCCCAATGTTTTTTTTTTGGTTTAATTGCCTGCATTAGTGATTCTGTTTGTTTACCTTTTTTGTTCATTTTTAAGCATTTTGTTGGTTTTTGCAATTGAAATGTGAGGTAATCTCTGTTCGTTATAGGGTTACTGGAGATTATTGGGTTGAGGATGGCTAACAATGAGGAGCAACCTCCTCGTCCTCGTGGGAATGAATGGGAAGTGGTCTCGCTAACTTCATCAGCATATGCTGCTGCTCCTGGTCCATATAACGTTGAATCACGCAAGTTCGATGCTTACTATGGAGCAGAAGCTTCACGCGATTTGTTCATGTCTGACCACTTTGTGTTCCCACCTAGTGAGCATGAGAATTTACCCCTCGATGAACCTGTCTTCGAAGAGGAAGATAGAAAGGATGGCCAAGACTTGATGCTGGAAGGTCAGGGGTTGTCTGATCAGGTAATAAACTCACGGAGTAACTATGGTGAACCTGCGCCTGGTTCTTCTAGACACATGGAATCACTCGCGAGTGATGCTGAGCCAAATGAGTATGCAGGGGGAGACTTACATCCCCATTCGGATTCCGCAACAAGTCCCATTTCACTTGACAAGGACAGCCTTCCTTGCGAAGCTTGGTGGAGAAGGAGGGCTGTTTCTATGTATTCACGCACAAGAGAAGCAAATGCGATATGGTCCTTGTTCTTTGCAGCTGCCGTCACGGGACTCGTGGTTCTTGGTCAACGCTGGCAACAAGAGAGGTGGCAGGTTTTGCAACTCAAGTGGCAATCAAGTATCAGCAGCGAGGTAAGAATCACCGAAAATAATACTTGTGTCAAGAATCATTATGTTCCTTACAAAACGGTAAAGCCATTTCATTGACGACTCTTGTTTGTTTGTTCTCACGCAGAAGCTGAGCAGAGTACTTGAACCTCTCTCGCGCTTGAAAGACGTGATTGTGAGAGGTAACCCACAAGCTTCACTCGTAAGGAGTGCCTCCTCCACTGAGATCTAGAGACAACAAAAGAAAGGCCAATGCAGCGTTCGACAATTCGCACGAGCACAGGTACATACAAACTTGGTCTTCAGTTACATATGTGTGCCTCGATGTCAAAAGCTTTTGCTTCTTCTTTTTTTTTGGCCTATGTTGCTTCATCATCTTGATCTTGTACCGTTATCCATTAGAATGGAAATCCAATCGCCTTCTTACAAAACTCTCTCTAGGTGTCAAAAGCTTCTTGTCTTAGTGTGGAAATATATACACTCATACACTTGTTTTTTTTTTTTAATAATGATTTTTTATCCACTTTCATTGAGTGATTACTATTAGAGGCGATACGTTCTGATTTGTAAAAGAATTCAAAAATATATAATTTGTGAAATGCAGTTGTAGTATATAATCATAAGATCTCAAAATTTATGTGGATGAAAAAGTATGCGAGCGACAACAAAATTTGATTTGTCTGTGCTAATATTAAAACAGCGACCTTCTAGTACAGAATAAAGAGTGCCATTTTACAAAATTGGTAAAAATGCGAAAATCGCATAATCGTTAATTTTAATGACTACCAAAAAAGAATTATTGAGACATTACACGGATTCAAAATCGGGGATTGGCGTGCGTCACAATCGAGTTCAAACATGACACTGATTTTCTTTAATTTTCGGTGAGAAACTAGTCTATCATGATTTATAATTGAATATGCATGTGATGATGTGTATAAATTAAATGTTTAGCCTATAGAGTTTAGAGTGGTTGAGTGTTGTCTTTGATTACTACTACTAATTACCATACATGTTGAATAAGTGATAGAGTAACTAACTATTTTTATGATTTCATTCATTATTTTAGCTAACTTTTCAGCAGTATGAATTTTAATTCTATATATGGTCTTAAATGCAAAATGAGACAAGTAAATGACCAAAACATCATTCACGTAAGTGGCCAATTTTTATGTGGGGACAGCCCACGGAATCTAAAGACTTCTATTTACTTATTTATGACCGATACGCGTGATCGGTTAAGTTTGTTCACAAGTCGTAACCAAAGAGTCATTAACTTATTACCATAAAAGTGTCAAATTTCAAAAAAAGATTTTTAGTCATATAAAGTCATAGCCGTCGAGAATTCCTTCATTTCTTTTTATTTTGGTAAATAGTGCATGAGATATTCTTGATGTACCTAATCTGTCCATGTAACTTCCCGTACGTAATTGTAAGTTTTCACAAAAATATTATATTTAGATTCTTCTGAAAAAAGGTATTATTTATATATATGTCATCTAGAAAAGTATGTGTTTCTTTGCCGTTGATGGGAAGGTAACCTACTAATATAACTTATATATCTCTGTCGATTTGTCTTTTGTTTTAAGTTTTAACCTAATATCGCATATTTAATCACAAAATACACGAACGTATAGAAGTTAAAAACTACAGATTGTAAGGAAAGATGGTGAGAGAACAGAAAAGAAACAGAGAAAATTATCTGAAAACTTGACAAAGAAAAGATATTAACTGAAATTAAAATCTACTGACTGTCAATCAAGTTCAAATAAGCTAAATTTTTTGACGGTAAATAATTATGGATATTTGGACTACATATTTCAAATGTATTGAAGTTCGAACCGGATGCATTTGAAAAAGTTGACTTTCGTGGGTCAATGGATGCATTTGCGCTTTAGTTTTCACTATAGGGTTTATATCCAGTCTTAATTAATTCTCAAATAGTTTCTTCAATTTAAAGTTTTATCTTTTGTAATCTAGTTTCGAATATTGAATAGAATTGTGATCATGGTTACAATTACAACATATCTCTTCTCCGCCGATGTACACATATCATCATATCATGGGTTTTTTCGTATAGTCAAATTAGTATGGAGTATTACATTAATTGATCGTGATCATGCATTAAGATGTAGCATTAATATTATATACATGTAATGCTTCTAAACTTTCGACAAAAGTCAGCAAGTCACCAAACCCATAAGCAACCTATAGATGTTGTGTAGTTGAGCAATTTTTTTTTTTTTCTGGTTGAGTTTGTTCACCCAAACCCTAACAATCTCAACTCTAAAACCTTAATCACTCATTTCTACACTCTATATAAAAAAAATAGAACTCTATATCTATTTACACGTACGCACATACGTTTGTCAAAGCGTATCACACAAAATAATCTTAAAATCATGGGTATCATTGAAAACAACTTGGTATAGTAGTTAACCGAAAGGCCTTCATTACTCAAACGTAAAAGTAAATGAATTCATATAATCTGTTTGAATCATAAATGGACATCATAATAAAAACTGAACATAAATAATGTTTGCACATAATGTTATTCATGGAATTAGATATAAAAAAAATGTGAAATCACGAATTTGTTATATACAATCTACTGGCCATGCCTAATAATATTTTCATCAACCAACACCGAATTATAGAACCCTAATTAATTAACTTCTTCAAAGCATATAATTAATAGTCCACGAGAATACGATAAAACGAGGAGCCAGCATCCCATGCTTACTTTGTGACTTCTTTTACACGATTTTTTCCAAAGTTTTAAATATCATTTTACTTATCTCTTTTTTGGGGTTTTGTATTAAATTGTATATAAATGGTTCGTGTTCGGACATTGAAAAACTGTGGGTCATTTAGTCATAGATCTCTCTCTCTCCTCCCTCTTCTTATAGGCTCCTCAACTAAACGTCTTTAATGCTGTCGATCTCTCTCTCTCTCTCTCTCCATTGTGTTACGATCGACCTCATAGGCTTGGAAATATTTTACCATTCTACTTTGTAAAACTTTTTCTTTTTTGTTTCTAATATAATGAGATTCTGAGAATATATCAAGTCTCCAACCACCTAGCTACCAGCATAGAGCAGGAGCATTAATGGTGGTGCACACCATCTCATGCTTCACAGTTAACATAACCCTAAAAGCTCTTCACTCTTGAGTTTATGAGAGATCTAGAGAGAGTAATAGAGAGAGAAAGAACTAGAGAGAAAATCCATTGAAGAAAAACAGTCTGTCTGCCATAATTGCTCTCTTTCTATAAATCTTCTCTCTCGTGTTCTTATTTACATCTCTTCTAAACCTATCACCTCTCTCTCTCTCTCTCTCTCTCTCTCTCTCTCTCTCTTCAAACGCTCATCACTCTTTACGGAAATTTCTCATTTTCACCGCCTGGGCTGACTCTGTTTCCGTCAACTTCTCTCAACTTTTGTGCCAAAACGTCTTATTTTTTATTCTGAGCAAAATCATGGAAATTTCCACTGCTCTCATGATTCTTTCAGCCATCACGGCGTATTTCTTATGGCTCACATTCATATCTCGTTGTCTTAAAGGTCCACGTGTCTGGCCCTTAGTGGGGAGTCTCCCTGGTCTTATCGAGAACTGCGAGCGAATGCACGATTGGATCTCCGACAACCTCCTTGCTTGCTCCGGTACGTATCAGACATGCATCTGCGCCATTCCGTTTCTAGCTAAGAAACAAGGTCTCGTGACCGTCACTTGCGACCCAAGAAACCTCGAGCATATTCTCAAGACTCGCTTTGATAATTACCCTAAAGGTCCGACGTGGCAAGCCGTTTTCCATGATCTTCTAGGTCAAGGGATCTTTAATTCCGATGGCGACACGTGGCTTTTCCAGCGTAAGACCGCCGCTCTGGAGTTCACAACGAGGACTCTCCGTCAAGCAATGGCTCGTTGGGTTAATCGAGCGATCAAGCTTAGGTTTCTGCCTATCCTTGAAACGTCTCGGCTCGGCTCTGAGCCGATCGATCTTCAGGATTTGCTTCTTCGGCTTACGTTTGACAATATCTGCGGCTTGACTTTTGGGAAAGATCCACGGACTTGTGCCCCGGGTCTTCCGGTGAACACGTTCGCCGTGGCATTTGATCGAGCCACCGAGGCTTCACTACAGCGGTTTATATTGCCGGAGATTTTATGGAAGTTCAAGAGATTGCTCGGTCTCGGCTTAGAAGTCAGCTTGAGCCGAAGCTTGGTCCAGGTAGACAATTATTTGTCTGAGATTATTAAGACACGTAAGCAAGATTTGATGACTCAGCATTCTAACGATGGGACCCAGCACGACGATCTCTTATCACGGTTCATCAAGAAGAAGGAATCCTACTCCGACGAGATCCTCCAGCGCGTGGCGCTCAACTTCATCCTCGCCGGACGTGACACGTCATCGGTTGCGCTGAGCTGGTTTTTCTGGTTGATTACGCATCACCCGATCGTAGAGGATAAAATCCTCCGCGAGATCTGCGCCGTCCTGACCGAGACACGTGGCGATGACTTGGCCTCGTGGACGGACGAGCCGCTTGCGTGTGAAGAGCTTGATCGACTGGTTTATCTTAAGGCGGCGTTATCGGAAACGCTGAGGCTGTATCCTTCGGTACCGGAGGATTCGAAACGCGCCGTGAAGGACGATGTCTTGCCGGACGGGACTTTTGTGCCGGCGGGATCGTCCGTGACGTATTCGATTTACTCGGCTGGGAGGATGAGATCGACTTGGGGAGATGATTGCTTGGAATTCAAACCGGAGAGATGGTTATCGCAATCGGACGGTGGGACATTCATCAATCATGATCCGTTTAAATTCGTGGCGTTCAATGCTGGTCCTAGGATCTGCTTGGGTAAGGATCTGGCTTATTTGCAAATGAAGTCGATTGCGGCGGCGGTTTTGCTCCGCCACCGTTTGACGGTGGTGACGGGGCATAAGGTGGAACAGAAGATGTCGTTAACTCTTTTCATGAAGTACGGTCTCCTGGTCAACGTCCATAAACGGGATCTAACGGCGATCGCCGCCGATCTGCGAGAGAAGGCAGGTTGTAAATCTAACGCCGTCAATGACGGGGTTGGTAACGGCGTTATAAGGTAGGTAGGGTAGGTGAAAGCAATCGAATCTATCATTGAATGTGGAATACAGAGTGGCACTCGACTTAGGGCGCGTGAAATATACGCGGTTCTTTGGCCTACACATCAGCACGCCAGATGTGGTCTATTGATTGGCTGCATTATTCAATCGAGGTAATTTTGCAAAGTGCGTTGTCCTCTTTTTTTTTATTTATTTTTTCTTTCTATTTTTCATCTGCCTTCGGATTGAGACGGTGAAATTTGATTTCATTATTTTGTAAGCATCTTTCAATTTGATTTAATAAATCTTATATTATGAATTTCCAAATAAGGTTATTCCAAGTTTAAAGAGTGTCACACCGTTTGGAAACCTGATCGCGGTGGGCACATTTTATTTTTCTCTTATTTAGTAATCCATAGAATAACCGGACAGCTCTATGTTTGGTTAACTACAATTTTGTAAAAACAATTCTATCATTTTATACTACGATTTGTTAATTTGTAGTTTTGTCCATTGGAGTCACTTTCTTGAATTCGAGTCGAATTTGTTTGGCATGATTCACTTGTAATGGCATTTTCTTCTGCAGCAGACTGTATGTAACCTAATGCATTAAATATGTTTGGTCCACTTTGTTTCAAGATAAATGTCTGCCCAGAATGTTCCAATTATGGAAATCGCATGAAAAGTGGAGATGAGAGATTACAAATTTTTCAAGGGGGAATGTCTTTGTTTTACATATAGAGTCTGAATTATGCAAAGAAAGAGGTTCAACACATACACACAATGTTTCACACAAAGGTAGTAGATTCACAAAAGAAAGCAAACTAAGAGAACAAAAGCCAGATTCCTTAAGAGTAATTCAATCAGCTTCTGGACTTGAATGGGATGGCTCTGATGACTATCACGTGGTAAAGAGCAGCAAGTGCGGCACCGATGAATGGTCCAACCCAAAAGACCCACTGAAAAGGATATGAAACAAAGATTTTAGTAATCCGATGACCAAAACCGTTTGTGATTGTAAATGTTTGTGAGAAGTGAAAAAAAAAACAAAAACTCACATGGTCGTCCCAGGCGTTGTCCTTGTTGAAGATGATTGCAGCTCCAAGACTTCTTGCTGGGTTGATTCCAGTTCCAGTGATGGGGATGGTTGCTAAGTGGACCAAGAACACGGCGAATCCGATAGGGAGCGGCGCAAGAATCTGTCAAATTTCAAACACCAATTAAGCATTTTGATCCGAACCCACGAACAACCCTTATGTGATTTGATTGTGAATTTTAACTTACGGGGACATGAGAGTCACGAGCGTTTCTCTTGGCGTCAGTGGCGGAGAAGACGGTGTAAACGAGGACAAAGGTTCCAATAATCTCAGCTCCGAGACCACTTCCTTTGGTGTAGCCATGAGCTACGGTGTTGGCTCCACCTCCTAGAGCTTGGTATTGCTTTGGTTGGAACCCTTTGACCACACCGGCTCCACAGATAGCTCCTAAGCACTGCATCACTATGTAGTACACAGCTCGTGTGAGCGAAAGCTTCCGGGCTAAGAACAGACCGAACGTGACCGCCGGGTTGATGTGTCCACCTGAGAGGTCATAACGTAACAACACAAATCAGATTATAACATCTGCAAACGAAACGATTCCACAAACTGAATATAACATTGAGTTTTTTTCATTCCTTTCTTGTAAACCCCTAAATTAGTTCCTAATTGAAGCCTGAAAATAGCTATTTCATTCAGATTATTCGCTATAACTACGTTGAGAGAAAGGGGGTAAAATTCTCTACATAGACAGCATAAGATCTATCTAGACAACGAAGAATCTGAAGAAATTCGAAATCGGTGACTAAAATCGTTACATCGGAGAAACTGGAAGGTGGTGTGACTTACCGGAGATACCAGCGGTGCAGTAGACGAGAGCGAAGATCATACCGCCGAAAGCCCAAGCGATCCCTTGGATTCCGACGGAAGCACACATGTTCGGTGACCTCTTCACACCCATAACGGTCAAAACAGTGATGTATAGGAACAGGAACGTCGCGATGAACTCGGCGATTCCGGCTCTCCAGAAGGACCACGAGGCAAGCTCGCCGGGCTCGAACAACGGCGCAGGCGGTGGCTCCTTGTAGTCCTTGTCGCTCTGAGCCGATGTTCCGATCGGTTGTCTCTCCGGAAATTTGTTAGCTCCGACTCTAACATCTTCTTCCTTGCCTTCCATCTCCGACTTCTCTCTCTCTCTCTCTCTTTCTCTAGAGGATTTTTGGTTTTTCTCTGTGAGTGGGTAATGAGTTGTACAGAAGCAGAGAGTGGTGGTTTTATAGTGACGAAGCTCAATGTTGGAAGATAATGCAAACAAATGGAGATAGAAATTAAATAAAACACGATGATAATTAAGTTAATTGCTTGACAAAAACAATACTTAGTTTAATTGCATGACATAAATTAACGTTATCATCTTTGTTGCTGATGATACTACTAATTATTGATTAATGATAATTACATTTGTGGACAGAGTTTCAAATTTCGCTTTGCAGCTATTTTGTGTTCTCTAATCAAATGGTTGTACTTTAATAAGGCGTAAAATAATATGTGGACACTTTTTTTTGGATTTTATCCGTGGCTTTCTTTAATAAAATATTTTCCTTTTCTATCCTTTGGTCATGACAAAAGGAAAATACCGAAAACCCTAATAAAATATACAAAATAAAAAGGAGGAAAATGTGTGGTCGAGATAAACCGCCGGTTTATTTGGACCGTTGTCAGGATAAGCACATGGACTCACCACACCTACGATACATAGGGACACCACATCTAACGAATATATCTATGTAACATGTTTCTTCTTAAACTTTAAAAGTATATTATATAACAATACTAATGCTGCAACATCAAAGTTACGAGGGATGATGATAATCACCCACGATGAGGCTATATTGTTTTGTTGAAATTGTGTGAAAATGCGTAATGGATGGTGCGTTTTAATGAAAGATCTGAAGATTGGGTTGTGTAATATTCGGCTGCAATCCACTATTTGCCAAAAAGGAAAGACAACGTTTAAGCCGAAAGAAAAAAAAAAGGACTAAACAATCATCATGGTTGCTTCGTTGCTTTGTTGTCTTTTTGGGTGTGAAACTATGTCCTACACACGTGCTGGTTTCACCCAAATTCCATTAACCAGCCAAGCTTATATATATATGGACTGGCCAAATTTCCGAGTAATTGAGTTTTTGCCATCTTCACACTATTTTTACTATTCTGAAGAATGCATATTTACCCATAACCCATTCTATACCATTTTGCCATGTATTCGAAAAACGAAAAAATAATTCTAACAAATTCTATTCGAAGTGTTTAATTTATACTTATATATTGTTGTTCCTATCGAAATCAGAATTTACTATAGTTCGCAAATTGTATATATATATTTTTTTTTGGTTAAGCAAAATGGCTCGTAACTTTTACCAAGAAAGAAAAAGGGAGGAGGTCATAATTTGTTTGGACTTTGGTATGAGAATAGAAAAATCCACGATTCCAAGCCGTCCAATCCATGGATAAGAAGACACGTGGCACAACCTTACGTATATAAAACCGACCAAGCCACCCAAAACACTTGTCACTTTCAGTCCAAATATTAATCATTTTCTCTCTATTTTTCTTTAAACTTTTTTTTCTTCTGGGTGCAATAATTGCATGCCCACTCCCATTATTCCCGTTGCGTTACTGTCCCTACTTCCACCTCTCTTGGATTATTTAATTTTGACAACTTTTGTTTTTCTTTCCACAAAGTAGTTTTCCTTTTTTTTTAACAATCTCTCCACACACAAACTCAAAATTCAATCCGAATATAGGCTATCACACGAAATATGACACATCTAGATTGTCGTCTCAACACCGTCGATTAAAAACAGACATCGAATAAATACTTACATTTTGTTCTTCTCACTTTGAGTTGTTTTGTTACCAAAATGATTTTGCTCATCTCTTTATCTGTGAAAGAAATTATTTGTCGTCATGTACAATGTGTGAGTGTGATTTTGATTGAGTTCCTGAAATATGAATCTAAAATCCATTTACCAAACAGTTTTGAGAACCAAATTGCTTGCTTAGAACTAAGAAGTTATGTAAAAGGATCCGAGCATTTGAAATTTTGGGCTATACTTCGGCCATATAAGGCTCATAATTATAAACGGGCCGATATCCACAGCGGATTCGGTTTATTTTTTCAATTCAGGAAAACAATTTTGTCATGATAAAATAATTTAGCCAAATAACCCACACTGGACCATATGGGTGTATGAAATAGAATCACCAGCCAAAAATACTATTTTTTCACATTTTTTTTCCATTTCAGTTATAAACAAGAGATTTATTTCTATACTGATTGTGTAATGTTATGTTATGTTTATAATAAAATATATTTTTTTCCCGTTTAATTTTATTTATTTTATATTCATAAATGATTAAATCTTTATGTATTATTTAAAAACATAGTTTTAACTTTTAACTACTGCCATAGAAAAACACATTTGAATGAATCAACACTAAAAAAACAGAACATAATAATAAGTAGTAAATACTACATACAAGCCGAGCAGTAAATTTTTTTTTTCATAAACCCTAATTTTTTTTTTAAAAACTTTTTCGTATAAACCCTAGTTTTCACATTAAAAGAATACATAATTCATCATTTCATATATATATTTTTCATAAATATGTGTTTTTATGTAGAAAAAAACAAATATAAAAGTGAACTAGATGTTATTGTTAAGAAAAATTTGTATATTTTTGAGAAATTTATGTCCATTTATATTTATGACATGTAATGAAAAGATGTATTTTTTTTTTTTTGTTGACTAATGACTATTGCTCCTAGTTTCCCTAAAATGAGAAAAATAGTCCAGCGAAGCGACGAATGATAATACTAAAAAACCACAACTTGCATTAGCCTCCCGAGCCACTACGCTAGCCCACCGGCTCGAACCAACACTAAACAACCCTAATCTCTGTTTTACCCTTTCACCTAACGATGCCGTTTTTCAATTTTATTACCATAAGCCATAATTAGCCCACAGGGCTGTGACACCTGGACATGATCAGTCCTCTCATTTTCTTGTTTTTATCCTTCTCATGTGAATTTTTGTTTTTTTTATATAAATAAAATAAACCCTAAATTTAGAGCCGGTTTCTCTCTCTTATCCGCTCCACATCGCTTGGCCACCGTCGCCGCCGTCACCCGCCGTCGCTGTCCACCGCCAGATTCAAATCCCTCCGCCGCCAGTTAACGTCCATTTCTTAATTTATGTTATAAGGTACGCCGCGCTCATTTGATAGCGCAATGGACTCTTGTTGGTGTCCGGTTCGAGGGAGAGAGCTTATCGGTGGTTGCGTGTTTGTGTACCTCTCTATTCTCGACCTGTTTGATTGTGTTATTGGTTTAATAGTTATACTTGTATCTCCGAACGTATACGGCTGTTTCTGCTCTGTTTCCCTTTTTCTTTTGATTTTTTTTTTGTTGCTGCCCCATTGGATCAATTTTTAGATGCCTCTTGTTTCACTTTCCTGATTTGCGGCTGCATATTCTCTCGTTTAGGGTTTTACTTTTGATTTCTAGAATTAATTGGATGTTAAAAGGTTCAAGAAAGGGTTTTTTTTTTTTGCCAAAAAGGGATTTGAGATTGCATATTCATTACATGTAAGATTCAGGGTAGGCTTTGGCTTTCTGAGTGAGTTTGCTGATTCCTCGCCATCAAGACGATTGTGTTATGATATTAGTTGTTCGTTATTGTGTTTTTTCGGGTGGAGTGGTTAATTTCTAATACACATATATGTTTTCCCTTGTATGACTAGTTAGTTTGGTGGATGGAGTTGCTTGGGATCGCCGTCTAACCTCAATGCTCATAGACTTGGAAGCTTTCCTACTTGGAGCTAATTTTCTGGGAGGCTACTTTTTGTGCTCAAGAGCTTCAAGATTTTAACTAGTAGAGAGGGTGTGCCCTATTTATTGGAGCTGAAGGTGCAATACAAATTCATCTTTTTTTTTTTTTTTCGTTTAAGGAGCCTAATAGCAATACACTGGGTCATCAAATCCATCATCAATGTCAGAAGGTGATATGGCCATCATGAAACCAGAGGTTAAATTTCTTTCTTCTTCTGCTGCTAGACAATCTTACTTACCATTTTAGCGTTTGAGGCTGTGATTAAGACTATTCTCATCCTTTGAAATTTTTACGTGACCATGTTTGCTTTAGTCGTGTGGGTTTATATGAATGTCTGAATGCATTTTGCACCTTCCTCCAAAGCTAAACTGGTTTTTTTTGCTCTGCCATGGATTCAGACGATGAAGTCCTACATCTGGCTTCAAACTGCTGATGGTTCAATCCAGCAAGTGGAGCAAGAGGTTGCAATGTTCTGTCCCATGATATGTCAAGAGGTAATACAGAAGGGTGCTGGATCCTCTAAGAACCAGGCAATATCGCTTCCACAGCGAGTAAACCCAGCGTTGTTCAGCTTGATTCTTGATTACTGCAGATTTCACCAAGTGCCTGGACGTTCAAATAAGGTTTGTATGACACACATCTTTAATATTTGGAAACAAATCATTTCCATGTACATACTCCATCTGGCCTCTTTCAATACATCTATCTATATTCACTCTTTAGGAACGAAAAACTTACGATGAAAAATTCATCCGAATGGACACAAAGAGGCTCTGTGAGTTGACCTCAGCCGCTGACAGTTTGCAGCTGAAGCCTTTGGTTGATCTCACTAGCCGCGCACTTGCAAGAATCATTGAAGGAAAAACCCCTGAGGAGATACGCGAGATATTTCATTTGCCTGATGACCTTACCGAGGTACATGCTTCTCAAGTCATCTCTTCTCCATCTGCTTCTCATTTTGACCGCTCTTTGATCATTTATCCAGGAGGAGAAACTTGAGCCTCTGAAGAACACAATGGATGATCCGCGGATTCGGCTACTGAACAGATTGTACGCAAAGAAAAGAAAGGAGCTGAAAGAAAGAGAGAGACTGAAGGTCTGTTTAGCAAATTCTGTTTTACTTGTTTAGGATAATGTAATTTGTAGCTCTGTGAATGATAGTTTGGTCTATAAGGTTGAACTATCTCACTAGCTTACGAAGTTTGGGTTTTCTATGTCTTAGAATGTTGAGGTTGAAGGACGTGTGGACGAACGTTCTGTGGATGACCTGTTAACGTATATTAACGGCAGAGGTACTTTCCTTTGATCTCTTACTCTGGTCTTCTAACTTCATCATATCCTTTCGTTTTGTTACGTTTCTTATTTGGCTGCTCTGAGTTATCCAACTAACATTGTACCACCACATTTTCGTTCACGTTTTGGAATTTTTTTTTGTTGATTCGGTGATGTATATTTTTGGGGATAAGACTATTATCTTTTTGCTCAGTGCCTGAGATAAAATACTCATCTTCTAGTGCAGCTGTCGAGTTGGTGTCCTTGATTGAGATATTTGCTGTGTGAATATGTGTTTGTGTTGCCTCTTAGTCTTCTCCGTTCTCTATTGTCTGCTTTCTTTTGAAGGCGTCATTGCAAGTAAGGAAAATTCTGTTTGACAGGTCCCAAGGTGGTAAAGATGCCAAAGGGGAAAAAGAAGAAGAAGAAAAAGAAGGAACAGAAGATTGTTTCTTCAGATGAAAAAGAAGGACCACAAGAGTTTCATGACAAGGTTCAGACTAGTTCCTCTTTGTTTTGTCCTTCCTGGTTGGCATTTTTTGTCAAAGTTAATGAAAGCGTTCCTTGTGCTTAGGAATCACATGATCTTCATTCCGAAGAACAAGAAGGTGTTGACGAGAGTGGGTCCAGCATGAGAGAGGTACCCAACTTACCTAGTATGGAAGATGACATATTTACGCCAGAGGCCGGGTCTGAAGATGGAGATATGGATGATGAAATCGATCCAGCCATGAAGGAAATGCTTGATAGGTAAGACTCTTTTGTTAATTCGAAACTTGTGGCCACAAATCTTTTTCTTTTCTTACATAAGTGAAGTTAATGGTTATTTACAGAGAGGTAGAAGATTTTGCTCGAAGATTGAACTCCAATTGGGTTCGATCACGAGGACAAGAAAGAAGGCCTGTTCACTTTTCCATAAACGGCAACGGGACTACAAGAAGGCATATAGGTATTGATCTCTCTCTTCTTTGGCGGCATTATCGTAATGTTAGAAACTGATGGGATGTGTTTGGATTTTAAGGTTAATCTCCAGGACACAATTGAAGCATAAAACGTCATTCAGTGGCTGGCACAGTTTTGGTTGGTTATGTGAGCAAATAGGAGAGACAGAGAGACAGAGAGAGAGAGAGTGGTTCGCCAGTCATTGGCATGTCTGTTTTTTTTTTTCATGATTCAATCTGAGAAGTAGATGCAGTTTTGATATTTTTTTTCTTCTTCTTTTTCTTTACTTGCTAGTGATGGATACTTTAATTTGTAAAACCATCTGAGTATTTTTGTTGGTAGAGTCCAATACTAGATTAGATTCTTGTTTCAGTTTGTGTTTATATAAACTCACAAGCCAAATAAGGAAGACATGTTGCATTGTTTTAGCATCATAACTCCACAAGCCACTTTAAGAGAAAGAAGACATGTTAGGCTAAAGTAAAACATAACATCCTCTATATAGTCACATTGTTCAAAGATCACTTTGTTTCCTCTACCAGCAGGAAGTACAAGAGATGGCCAATATGATAATGAGAAGACGATGGGGGAAGCCAGAGAGAAGCCCAGTTAATCATGGAATGACTGCCACGAGGTAAATTAGATAAAGGTGCGGGAGAGAAGGAACGTGGGGTTCTAGTGGCGATATCGTAAATACCACAGTTTTGGCCTTTGCCAAAGAAATAGATGGAGTTGGGGTTTAGGCCAGGGAAAGAGCTTGCCTTGACATAGAAGGGTGAAATGCTAATAGTTAATACAATTAAAATAAAAATTAATATCGAAAAAGAAAAAATATTTAACTTAATATTTATACTAATTATTTATCAAAATTAATATAAATGACTTTTATGAAATCAATATCGCAAAAGTGTAAACAAATCAACTGAAATGATAGTTTCCTTGGTATAAGAGATGACATATGAACTTTGACTGTCACCAATGGTTCCTAAATATGACGACAATGGTCTCTAAGGAAAGTATATATGAGTGAAGAATTAAATCACGCAAGTCTACTTCAGTTTTAATTGAAGTTTCCTCATTTTTTGCACAAAATTTTTTCATCTTAATTATTAGATCTTCTCAAAATCTTTTCATTTTAGTTACTAGATTCTAATCTTTTTAATTTGATGTTTTATCTGACAATTTTAGATAAAGTTTTCCATGAATAAATCTCTTTCTTTTTCCAACTAAGCTTATCAAGACACAAAATGACATTCTCTTCACTAACCTCTTCTCCACTTGGAAGCTAACAGCTCCTGCTTGATACATAGGTTGTCCCCTCTTTCTGCATCCTCCACGGTAGTCTTGTAGCCGTTTTTGACCAAACGGATTAGATGCCTCTCAATACTACTCATTCTCTACTCTCTGGTTTTTTTTCTCTCTGTTGTGTGCTATCTCTCTGTTTGTGTTTTGGGTGTAATGAAATTCTCTATTTTATAGGCAAATAAGAGGAAGAGGAAGAGAGAATCTAATAAAAAGACAAACCATGTTCAATTTTAGGATAATCTTTTGTGTGTTGTGCAGCTGCAATGTTACCATATTTGAGGTAATCAAATTCAAAAATGCATGGCGTCATTCAAAGCATTGATATCGGTGCTAAGAGGTATGGCCACTACTCAGTAGCCAAAATCAAAATAATAAGTTTAGTCACAAACCAATAGTACTAGTTAAGCAAACAAAGCTTACTTCTTACATGATAGTCTTTAACTTATCTTATTATTTAAGACTCACTCATCCTACTTAAATGTTTGGCCAAGTCAATAATACTTCATCAGTGACTGAGAGTGAGATCATATCTAAGTAAATTAATTACATTACGTTAGTATACACTGAACCAAATAGAACAAAAAAAATCTTCCACGTAAAACAAAAATCAACAGTTACAAGTTAAAGTCTTATTAGTTCCTACTTTGCCCATGTGGCTCTGGAATTGCTCGGGAGGCTACATCTTTCTGCTAGAGAGCGCGGATTCATAATGGAGGAACAAACTAGTGGCACTTCTTCTCACACAAACGGTATAGGTATATAACATTTTTCATACACAACATTATATGTATATATACACATACAAATCTCACCAGCCTCTTCTTTTCATATCTAACAAATATGGAGGACTTACACTATGCTTGGGAAAGTTGAGAATATATGCTATTCTTGGAGAGAATGAGAGATGGTGTATGCGTATAAAGAAGACGAGAAGAAAAAAAAACTAATCGTACTCGCTCACTTGCTATCTATTGCCTCCCACATTAAAGGCGAAAACTTTTTTTCATAAGAGATTACTTGCGGGAACAGGGGGGTTAGGGTTTAAAAGGATCTCATTCACCAATGATGCTGAAGCCACTCCTGAATAGCAGAACGAAGAGCATGGTTAGCGATTAGGCTGGTGTGGGAAAGCTTGACATTGGTCATTGGTGAAGTATCGTGTCCACTGTCCAGCCACGCTCTTATAGCCTCTGCTTCGTATGTGAAACCATCTGCAGCTACATGTGGGTCCTGCATGACTTCCTACAAGTTTCGGAAAAAAACAGAGGAGGAATGGGTTTAGTCTCCATTAAACTGCAACGTAATGGTTTGCAACCTCAAACAAGCAATTTTTTTCAATGGCTGTAGAATGACTTCTAGTTATTATGGATCTTAATATTCAATTACACAGTTTAGTTACCTGGAAAATGGGACAAATGAAGTATGGAGGGGCTATGCGTTGCTCGTTACGGCCGAGATGAAAAGATGAAGATCCTCCGCTAGAAGCCCTCATAGGTTCAAGTACCCTCCATACTTCAGTCGCAAGGTCCGGACGATTCTCACTGACAGCCTCACAGCATCTCAATGCCAAGCGAGCAAGCTGCTCAGCCTGAACAAAGGGCCAGTCACCTGCTAAAGGGTCCAAAAGGTTGTTCAATGTTCCAGAATCAAGGGCATACTTCACTTCGTTTGCTATCCGTAAGGCAGGTCTCCCGGTCAACAAGCGTAATAATATAATCCCAAACGAGTAAACATCTGACTTTGGAGTTAGCTCTCCACCGCTGGAAGCTTCTGGATCCAAGTAAGCAACTGTGCCTGTGACATCGGTTGACGCACTTTTGCTTCCCTTAGGATGATGTAGCGAGCAGGTTCCAAAGTCACTTAACTTGCTAACGAGATTGGCGTCGAGAAGAACATTTGCTGGCTTCAAATCACCATGTACTAAGCTATGAGCTTTATTGGAATGAAGAAAGACAAGTGCGGCGCATATCTCTGTGGCAATGCGTACACGGTTTTGCCATGACAAGGGCGGAGAATTGTCCTTGCAATTAAGGCTATCTTCAAGGCTTCCATCGGGAAGATACTCATAGACAAGACTCCACCCTTCTGGACAAGCTCCAATAAGCGTGATGATATTTGGATGCCTCATTTTGCTCAACACATCAACCTGCAATGCCACAAGAATAAGTCAAAGCTCCTCCACACCGACTACTATAAAGCTAAAACTTCATAAGGACAGCGTCCCCTTTTAGTAGTACCACGATTTCGTGCACAACAAAACAGAGCGGCAAAAAAAATGATGAAATGAAACAAGAAGTTTATTTTGAAAAACCTTAGATTCACTAATAATATGTCAAGAAATTACCTCCTGTTGATATTCTACAGCACCTTGCGAACTGTTAGGATTCAACATTTTTATAGCCACCTGAGTATGACGCAGTATACCAGTGTAGATGCTTCCATATCCACCTTCCCCAATCTTCAGGGTCGAATCAAAATGATTAGTTGCTTCATCAATCTCGGAGAAAGAGAAATCCGTGAAGTACTGAGGTAACTGTAGGGTTGAGGTCTCTGCGCGACTCCTTAACTCTTCGGCTTCTCTGAGTGCTCTGTCACGTTCTGTCTGCAACTCCTCTCGTTCATCCCTCAACTTTTGCAACAACTTCACAGCTATGTCAAGCTTCTGGTTTAGCTTTTGCATTGTACCATCAGATTCTGCTATTTGGTTCTCAAGCATCTCTTTCTGATGCATTGCACTTTGAAGTTCTTCCATGACTACTTCTTGCTCTTTTTTTATTGTTACAAATCTCTCTTTTTCTTTCGCCACTGCTATCTCAGTATCTTTCCTTCGCTTCAACTCCTCAGAATAAACACTTTCTGATTGTTTGGCCTATAATCATTAGCAATAATTCATATTATTTTTTAGAAGCACCACCATAAGCCTACTAATTTCTTAGAGTGATACGCTAGCAAACATGTTGGTCCAGTCTAATATATATCTCCAACTAGATTATCTAATAACCATTTCCAGGAACGGTAAATATTGCTAAGTAATTTACGTTTGTAAGGAAACTTACCCTTCTGATTGCATCAAGTGCATTTTTTTCAGCTTTCTTACGCCTAAGAGTCTCTGCAGAAGCTTCTCGTTTTGAACTGTGAGCCTCTGACGTAGCTTGTCTGATTTTATCATAAAATGAATCATCCACCCCATCCTGCAATGATGAACACAGTCCCTGGACAGCTGAGAATGCAAGGTATACAAAATCATAATGCATTGCATTTTCCATTAGGAACTACATGACATACCGGGAAACTGGAGGGAGATGACATAACTGTTGCACTTCCCGTTACTCCACTGCGATCAAATTCTATTCCCCCCTCATCAGTATTTAAAGACCCATCCGACACCCTCTCGCTGTGTTCGGTTGAACTTCCATCGCTTACTAATTGTTGAACTGAATCGGTGCTATGTACTCGAGATATATGCTGATGCTCAGACTCCGGTGTAGAGAATGTTTGAAGCAGATCGCTTGTACTTATGGAAGGACGCGGAGATGCATATTCTGATTCGGTGTCATACATCGCAGCTTCCCTGTAATAAGCATCCAGATCCGTCATTGTCAAAGTCCAGTATGAAATCATCAGTTGGCACTACAACTCTACGAAAGCCTAAAAAATACAATTCATATTGAAATCTAAGGGTTTGGCTATGGTGAGAAAAAAACAATAGCCAAACCTTGTGTGTATTAGGTATCCTTTGCAAGTAAACCATATATGACAAAGAGAAGGTGCTTCTCGGCGTACGAAGATGGCTTTCCTGGACTTGAGTTCCGTCATTCTCCTGTAAGCCAAAAGTAATGATAGAGAAAGCCAAAAAATTATAAGATATTCAGAGTGAGACAGCAGAGAGCTCTACATTCAATGAGAATGAGCAGAGAGAGCAAAACAGAAAGCTTCCTGATTCACAAACCTTGAATGGTGTCTGTCTGATGCAGCTCCCATGACAAGCTTCCTGATTCCCAGCTCCGAGATCAGCTGCACAATTCCATCCTCGATGGATTCCATTTCAATGAACATCTTTTCTGCCCTGACCTACAACCATAATCGACTCCACTATTATTCTCAAGAAGCAAATAAAACTATCTGCATCGTATACTATCATAAGGCCACTATGATGATCCTGGTTCTAGCAAATGAAATAAAACTACTCTCTTTATACAGGGCATAGCAACAATAGAAGTAAAACAAAAGCAGAAATGAAGCCATACATACATACCCCTCTCTGCTGGCATATACGAAGGTACTCGTCCAGGATCATATGTACTTTCTCCCTTTCTTTTTCCCGGAAAACCCTGACTTCTTCCTCCTTCACAGAACTAATTGGAAACTTGGCGCCCACTAAAGAAGGTTGAATGAGGAAAAACATTAAGAACTAAAAGGCTCGACTTTGTTTCCGCAGAAAAACGATGCACAGAATCAAGGTTCGGGTACTTACTAACAGGAATCATTTGGGAGGGCTGATGAACATGAATAAGGCAAATCTTCTTCCCTCCGGTGTTTTGCAGAGCCCAAATGAGTGTAGACTTGCTCTTGGCCACCTGTTTATCCACAGCAACGAAGACTTTCTCCTCGATCAGCCGCGAAACCGGTTCGTCCATAATCCCGCTCCTGCTAGACCTTGATCCCGCCGGGCTCCCTACTATTCCGTGGAATCTCATGGATCCAGCCCTTTCACCCATTGCTGGAATCGGAGTCACCAAAGCCATTGCGAAGCCCCAAATACCCAATCCGAAAAACCCAGATCGTTTGATTTCTGAATCCAAACAATAAGCAGCGAGCAAAAAACCAAAAGTATCAATATCTTAAAAGGGAAAGTTCTAACCAGACTGAAAAAATTGACTAAAAAGACACTCGAATCGTAGTGAAACCCGGAGAAGTTCACGGAGAAGGAAGAAGAAGAAGAAGAGTTTAATATCGATTTCGAGACGTATTTGACCAAAGTTGCAGAAAAACGACAACGAACCACTACGCGAAAAACTGAGAAATTGAGTTTCTCGGAAATTTACGAGAAGAGAGAGATAGATGAGTGAAGAAGATGGATTGAAATTGAGAAGAAAAGCGACTTGCATATATATAAATAAATTCGATTGCTTTTACATACCCAAACCAAAGCTTCTTGGGGATTAAAGGTGCCTGGTGCTCAAATATGACGTGGTCGAATATGGTAGAGACTAGAGAGTATATAGGAGAAGAGAGAAATACATCTGCTGTGTGCAAGCACACTGTAGTATTTATACTATGGGGAATTCTTTGAGGTTTTATTTTAACCGATTGAGGACACGTGTATCGGATAATAGAAACACAGATGAGATTGGTACACCAACTCGTAGTCTAATATTTACACGCAGCCTTTATTTCCGACGTGTTCACCTTTTTATTCCCGCCGGTGAAAATCATAGCTGGTTTCGGTTCATACCGTTTACATTCCGGTTGGTAAAAGAACCGTGACAGATAAATTTTAGATTTTGAATCGTTTGTATAACATATAAATTTGAATTTTTTAACAATAATAACATAGTTATAAGAATGAATCGTCTGTTTAATAACCACTTTCAGTAGTTTAACTGATCGATCATCCTATAACTTTCAGTAGTATATCCATAAAAACTCGAATTAGATTTGGTATATCCATAAAAACATCATCACAAACTTGAATTAGATTTGGTGAAATTGAGAATTTGATATGGTGCATTGTATGTTGAGGAAAGACTAATCATTCAAGTTAAACTTCAAAAATATGTTATCTATCTTGTCTTTAAAAATATTTGAGTATTTCTGTCTTGGAGAAAAGATCTTCTAAAAACAATAAATATAGATTAATTTCAAGAATTTTCTGATAAATGTAGAACTAGTTGAATTGTTAATGTGGCGTGTGTGGTTGTACCATGTTATATAATGTAAACTATTTGGAATATTCCTCATAATGCCTATTCCCTTTGTCATTTTCATCTGAATTATATTATTTTTCCGGCGCTGTAATAGAACTTCATTTCTTATTAAATACTAGTATTACGTTAATGTGTTGTTTACAGGTTTTTAAAAATAAATAAAAGGTTGTCTGGTGATATGAAGACAGGCGAAGCACATCCACAATTATCCTAGTTTATCAACTAACCAAATTAATTAAATGGGGAAAAACAAATTAAATCGTGGAATACTTCAACATAGGATATACGTTTTTGGAAATGTAGCATCTCTTTATTCATTCGTCGAAAGCTTCATCTTAAATTGCAATTTATAATTGGTTGTGCACGTTTGATCCTACAGTATTATGAAAATAACGTTAATTGGATATGACTAGTCTTCACGATAACCGGGGTTAACATATTTTTGTTGAGAATGATATTTCTACAAGAATCTTCTCTTTGCTCATAATTTTGTTTCATGAAAAAACGGTATACATTACGAATTTATGAGTACAATTTATAGATAGTTTTCACGGAAATTAGAGGAAATGTTTTAACAACAACAAAAACTGTCTAAAAGAGTCAAAAGTAAACGAAACAGTAATAGATGAAAAATGATAAAGAAGTTATATTAAATGGGCCGTATTATATATGTATGGGCCTTAATGTATCCATTTAATCCCGGTTAGAATTCTACGTCCGAATCCAAACTTTCGCTTTGAAAAGTCTGGATCCAAAGGTTCGTTTTTAAAAATGTTCAAGGTCTCATCAACATTTTCAAATTGCAGGATTGTAGCACCCAAAAAAAAAAACGACAAAATCAATACATACTCCATTGTTCCTCACCCACTCATAAGATAAGCATTTTCGGCTTATAGTTTCTTTCGTTTTTTCTTTTTAGGATGCGTTGATTAATGTTTCTTGTTTTGATGGGTTAAATATACATGTTACTGAAAAATATACACAAATTTCCGTTGGGTTGTACGAGTGTTATCATTACTAGCATTATCAACCAGATTACAAAAAAAAAATGATGATAACGAAAAAACATTGTGTTAATTAGTTGTTTATATTAAATTATTCCATGCATCACTATCTGAGCAGCTGATATTATAACTAGCTAGATGACAAAAAAAACTTTGATAAATTTTGAAGGGAAAAATTTTGTAAACAAAATTTAGACATTAAAGATGTTTTAAGAGATAACATCCATATCATTATTTTTTACGCAATCGTCGTCTGTTCATGATGATTAGTTATGTTACCAAACACCCTTAACTAAATTAGTGTGGTGACTAGATAGAGTTGTAATATGGCAACCACGCCCTGTTTTTTATATTTATAATACTAATTAATCAATCCTTTTTCATGTTAGGTAGAACATTATGACAAATTTGTATATAATTAATACAACAACAAAAATTATATATAATCTCAAAAGGTCAAAAAAACTATAATGCATTTAATTACACATGACGCAACCGAAAGCGTTTTTTGTTAGCTTTCTAATTTGTAATATCTCTAACCTTTGATATTCCAATTTAAGGAAATCAAAAGTGTTAAACTCGGCGATGGTACCTAAGAAGAATATGAGACATTGCTTGGCTAAGAAAGCGATGCACGAAAAGCCCATGAAATCTTCACATGCGCTTTAGGACAAGAGAGACGTCGAAAAGGTCTGTGACCCTGAGAGAAGAATCCTAAGAAACTATTATATGCTTCGTAATTCTCCACAACGTTCGTTTCGTTTCGTCTGTTGTCATATAAGAAACCTTGTCTTCTTCTTCATTTTGTTTTTCTGTTCTTCATTGCGCGCACATTTGTTAATGTCGTTTGTCTTATATCTTGGTACTATACTATTTATATATATAAAGGTTTTCTAATATATCTCTTTAAACCGAATTAAATGAATCTGCTGAACTAGAAAAAGATATATACGAGAGTAATTAGGAACCGAATGCAATGAAAAATGATATATACTGGAAAATTAAAAAGAAATGATATATTGTTTTTAACATTCTTTTTCATTATATTGGACTAGCTAGATATACAATCGTAAATGGACATCATAACTACTAAATGGGTGCATGCATGCATAACGACAAAACACACATATAAATCATACTATTATATATGTAAGAGGTATTTATATACATGGATGCACACACATATCCAAAATCGCAAAGGGAACAGAGTAGTTGTGGTCCAAACAAGAATCAACATCGTTGTTGTATATACTATCATGACGTTAATAAATTACAAATGTCCAAATATTCATAAATGGAATTTGTCAATTGTGAGCGACTCTTTGGCACTACTATTCATTTTAATTAAAACTTTGATCAAATACTTCAATTTTTTTTCATAACTTACGGGTTTTCTTAAAATTCACAGTTCTATATTTACGACATTGTATTCTAAATTGATTTTGTTGTCGAACAACTTCACCAGATAAATACTTCTGCAATCTTGATAAGTCAACACGTTCGTGCCCACGGCATTTATTAGGGCAAACCATAATTTTTTATTGGGGGCTTTAACACTGAGTTCATAAATGACGGTGAGAAATTGACGATTATACCCTCCCCGACACACTTGTCACCGTACGGTACTCTCACTCGGACAACTTGGCTCTCCGGGAGGACCATCACCTACCGACTCTCAGACAATTCCCCATATCATTCCATTTATTACCCTCTCTCTCTCTCTCTCTCTCTCTCTCTCTCTCTCTCTCTCTCTCTCTCTCTCTCTCTCTCTAACATATACATACAGTATATGTATATATAGTTTTAGTCACATACATTCATGTACAGTATAGACTGTATAGTGTACTACGATGGGTTGTCTCCACGTTTTTGGCAAAAAAACAGTTAGTGTTACTTATTATATATGTCGTGATTACAAATTGTGAATTAACAAAAATGTGATTCTTTTTGATTACTCTACGTGGGAACTGAAATGAACAAGTACAAAATAAGCTCTTGACCTTTTTTTTATATATATAAAAAAATCGTTTTGTCTTCTGATAAATATAATAATATATCATACGTAAATGAATCATGAAAACTTGTGATCAGATTTCTCTATTTTAGTCGTAATCTGGGGTTTTGTCGTTTGTAATGTAAACTCTTGTAATTTGATGCCAATTGTCAATTTCTTTAATCAAAAAATCTGTATATCTTTTTTTTTTTGGTTCTCTGAGTATTTTTAAAAATAGAATATTTCTGGTGAGAAGTGGGTCTACTAAATGACACATTTTGCTAAACATCTACTCTCGTGCTTCGAGCTTCGTCACCTCTCGTGAGTTTTTTTTTTATTATAATAAGCGAAAAAAACCCGTAATTTATGCGAAATCTGGAAGAAAAAAAAATCTCTAAGGTTTATTAACAATGGAGGAGGCCCAGAAACTCGTAGTGAGTAGGGTAAAGTATTAGCAGTAGTTCTTTTTCATCTACATTATCCATCTTCCTGTTCTTGCAAGCATTGGATCGGATTCTAAAGGTAAGATTCAGAGAGATCAAAACTGCATGAATGAATCTCTTAAAGATCAGTTTTGATTCAGAGAGGATATTCTTTGATTATAGTCACAGTTTTGGTATCTCTTTCTATAAATAATTACTCTTTCTCTGTAGATTCCACTCGCTGAAGAGGAGGAAAACAGAGAGAAACAGAGGAAGGAGAGCATTGTGGATAGTTTAATGGAGAAAGAGATTTGTACAAGAGATGGGATAGGATGTGCTTGGGTGTTTATGAGCATGTTTGATTTCAGGCATGGAGGATCTAACCAGAAGCTCTTGATGGATAGGAAACGTGGAAGCAAAAGAATCATAGGTTTTTCTTCTTCTTCTTCTTTTTCACACATAAGTTTGAAGCAAAAAAAAAGTCTCTCACTTTGTTGGTTAATGCAGGTATTGAGACCAAGGTTGAGAAGAATCTTACCTGTGACTGTGACTGTGAGGTCTTTGTTAAGTTTTTTTTGTTGGATTTGAGAGTCAGACTATGTAATATGGTTGTGAGGAGGAATCAGAAACTGATGTATATTGTTTGTGTTTATTGTCTCAGGAGAGTGAAGCTGGAATGCAGAGTGTCAAGAAGCTCATTGAAGAGGAGATTGATGAGAAGGCTCAGCAAAAGTGTGATTTTGAATGCAGAGGAGGGACAAAGGCGAGAAGCAGGAAGAGAGGAAGTAGAAACTGCAGCAAAGCTAGTGAAGATATCAATGTTTTGGTTGCTGGTGATGATGATCATGCAGAGAAAACAGACGATCAGTGTGATGTTGATTCCATAAATGATGATTCCGAAGAGAAGTTCAGCGAGTTGATAAAGCGGTTGATAGCTCAGAAGGAAAGCGAGGCAGAGAGCTGCAAGAACCTGGTGGATTCTAAAGAAGAATCATTCCTGAACATTGGCACGCCAATTTCTGGAGATTCTCAGAGAATCAAAGAGACGATCTCTTCAAATGGAAGCAGAAGCTCTCAATGCACACAAACAATTGTAATCTTGAAGCCTGAGCCAAATAGCTCATCACCTGGAGCACATGCTGCAGGAAACAAGGCCAGAAATGGGAGATTTGGCTCTCGCTTTATTCTCAGAAGAATCAGAAGAAGACTAAAATCTACTGTTGGAAAGAATCCATGCAATGTTCAGCATGACTCTGATGCATTGTCGTCTAACATGAGTCAGAACTGCTGTTTGGGAGAAGACATAGAGACTATTTCCGGGCGGCATGTCTCAGATGGAGAAATGTTTCCTGACATTGCTTCAAAACGTGAGCTTGAGAAAGAGGAGAGTATCCATGGAAGTGAGGATTCTAAGAAGAGTATGTGTGGTATATACATTGCAGCCAAGAAACATCTGTCTGATATGCTTGCAGAAGGAGATGTAGATGTGGATTTGCCTGATAAAGAAGTACCAAGAATCCTCGGGAAGATTCTTGCTCTCCCTGAGTTCTCCACTCCAGAAAGCAGTCCAAGAATAATGACCTTGGCTCATGATTTTGCTGGTCATCAGATAACCGAGAAACCAAAGTTTCAGCAATGCAGCTCAGAAGATTACTCTGAGACGCTTGGATTGGATTCAAACAAACCTGAAGAAACATCATCTACGAGTGATATGCCATTTCCCGGAGGTGATTCTTATTCTTTTTGATGTGATGATTTTTTTTCAAATTAACAAATTGACAAAATGATACTAACTGCCTTTAATGAGTAATCAGTAGGCGTTTCAGACACTGGGGAGGAAGAGAAGACTGTCTTGGATTCGTTGTCTGAAGGAGTTAGCTTTTCCATTCTCCATCAAGATACATATGTTGATGAAGACAAGTTCGAAACTCACGATGAAGATGAGCACAAACAACCCTTGGAAAAGGTTTGAATCCTTTGTTGTGTACACATGATACATATTCACTTGTTTTCTTGAAGGAAGGCTCATATATTCCTGTTTTTATCCCAAGACTCAGGAATCATTTGAGGAGAGTCATTCACCGTGTTCTCCACCACCAAGCTCTTCAGCAAAAACGTCTGAGTGCCAAGACAATGCCATTGATGTGCCAGGAAAGTCAAGCCCTGTGTCTGTGCTTGAGCCTCTCTTTACAGATGATGACCTTAGTCCATACAGCTCCAGGTTCTCTTCAGGTACGCCTTAAAAAAGAATTTGCTACACCGCTTTAGTATTCTGTTCAAACCCTCAGTGTCTGACTTTTTCTCATTTGACTCAATTAGTCGAAATGCGGTTGCAACCACTGTGCATAAGATTCGACGAACCTGAGTCTCCAAGACCGGACAAAGACAATGATGTCATGACAAGTAGAATTAATGACAAGGAACTGACACTTGCATACATTGAAGCGGTGGTGAAATCCTCAGAGTTGAACTGGGAAGAGCTTTTGACGAGATCCTTTTACTCAGAGCAGCTTCTTGAGCAGGCTCTAATGGATGACATTGATTTCTGCTCTACAGACTTCTGCACCGACAAGAAACTCCTCTTCGACTGTATCAACGAAGTTCTTATGGAGTTATGTGAGCATGGCCCTTGGATTTCATTGGCCAAACCGGCAGTCCGGTTTTGTCCAGAGATGGAAAATGCAGCTGAGGTGGTACAAGAAGAGGTTTACTGGCATCTCTTACCTTTGCCTTCTCCTCACACGTTAGACCAGATAGTCAGGAAAGACCTGGCTAGAGCTGGATGCTGGATGGACCTCCGCTTTGATATCGGCTGCATCGGTTCTGAAACAGGCGAGATCATCCTTGACGAACTATTAGAAGAGATAATCAGCAACTGCACAGACTTGTTCCTTGCTGGAACAGTCAACACAATGCAGTTGCTGATTCCTTGAGTTTTCAAATGCTTCAACCACACACTATCAGAAAGTAAACTTATTGTGCTTACAAGAAAGATCATGGAGAGGCTGATTTGTTTACTCTGTACAGTTTCACCTTCCACTGCCATGGACAAGCTCTAGTTTCCCTGCTTGTGCAGATACACACAGCCACAGGTTTTAATACCCCCCAAAGACTGCAAAAACTCTTTCTTTTTGTTTTCTTCTCCATTTGGCTTCTGTAGAGGTTTGAGTTCTGTTGTGAATGTTAGCTGTATGTTGTTATATGAGGATGAATAAAACGAGGCTTGAACTTATAGATATGAGGAACATCTTGCTTCATTATGTTTCAGTCAAAAATCAATATCTAACAGATTAAAGCCAGTAGGTAAAGCATACATAAACCACTAATTGATTCAGAACACAATCATAACAAACAAACAAAAAAACAAACATTACTGTATTTTGTTTTGTATTCTCATTACATCAAAAAGAAATGGAAATTAACCATATGTTTTTGTCGAAACCCTAATCATCTCTGTTCCTCACTGTTCTGTCGACGTAAAGAACATCATCAATCCACGACACAACATTATAAGCCAAACCTTCTAAAACCCTCGAGTAGCTCTCCAATACCGCCTTTCCCACATCCTAATCCAAAGCAAAAAAACAAGAACACACAGAATATTCAATATATATATAATTTCGATGTTTCCATCGAGATCTTAAAACAAATTGTAAAAAAAAAGGTTCAATAGATATACTCACCCGGTTATACTGAATCTTGCAGATGTCAAGTGAGGTCTGAGAGAGTTCAGGGTATCTCTGTTTCAGACAAAAGAGTAAGCTCCTGGCTCGAGCCGCGAGAATGTGGTTCTTGTCATTGCCAGCATCGCCACCGACATCTTTCATCATGTCCCATGAGGACTTAGAGTGAGTCAACCCTCCAGTCTTACGCCTCCACGTAACCAGCGAAGCCTCGACTTTGTCGGCGAGCTCAAGTGCCTCGTGCTCTGATGAAATCTTTAAGATGTCGAGAAGCTGGTCTGGATAAAACTTTTCGGCCGTGCACAGTTGCTTGTATATCACGTCTCCTACACTTGCTTTCCCACTCTGTTTGAAAAGTTACACTTTCGATTCATAATCCATTTCACATATACAGAGTTTTGACATATAGGGATATGTATATAACATACCTTTGGGAGAGTTGTAAGGTAAGAATCAGGAATATCCATGTCATTAAGAGTGGAGTCGTTAATAGCCAAAGCTGCCTTATGTATCTGATTGGCGCAATCGCGTTTGTGACGCAAATGCTTTCGTTCATCCTCCGATAAACCTTCAGCAGGAACACATGGCACCGGAAGCCACCATTTTTCGTCTTTCCGTTGAACCACCACTTTCCGAAACGTTCCTGAATCTCTACCACCACTGTTCGAGTTCATCGATGAGCTTCCTCTCTCCACGTACCAGAACTCATTCTCCGTAAAACTATCCAATATCTCCTACAACATTCAAAGTCAAACCAATCGGTGTTGAATATCGTGATCAATCTTGATTTTGTAATTCCAGAATTCGACTTACCATTAGCATATTATCGAGTTTTCTCAGAGCAGGAAGATTCATGAGAATATCGGATCTTAGTTTTGTTTCTGTTATCTGATAATTGGAACAACAAAAGATCAAACTGTTAAGCGTTTTAGATCGTTTGAGCCAAAATTTAGATAGTTGTGGACCGTATACTTGATTTAGTTTACCTCAACGTTAGTACCAAGAGATCTTGGAATAACTTCCACAATGTAATCACAAATAGACATAAAACAATTCATCTCTCGTTTCCATAATTCCTTCTTCTCTGTACTCAATGGCTGTAATCTCAAGCTCTGTCCAAACACAGTCGCTGCAAAATACCCATTATTAATACTCTGTTTCCGTTATGCTCTGTTACGAAAACAGAGTATCATAATAAACAGAGCATTAAGAAGAAGAAGACGAACCATAGAGATTGGTTATGGAGTTAGAAACAGTAACAGCTGTACAAACTCCTTTCCCACTTCCTGACATATCTTCGCCAAGCAATAGCTTCGCAAATCTTTCCCTCATCATCTCCAGCTCTGCACTACATAACCTGATTTAATCGAAACGGAAAGAGAACAAAGTTACAATGTTTTATAATTTACCTGCGTCTTCTGCAGAATCAATGTCACTGTCTGGATCGTTATCTTCTCCGTGTCCATCTCCGTCAACGTCATCTTTTGGTTCCACAGCGTCTTCGGAGAGATCTTCTTCATGGCCACTCAACACAACGGCGTTCTTGATTGGCGGCCGGTTATAGAAACTCTGAACGTCGAACCGGTGAGATAATCCGGAAATATCGGAATATGTTCTTCGGTACGGCGAAGACACGGAGCTCGTCGGAGTTCCAGAGACAGATACTTCGTTTTGGTCGGCATTCGACGAACTCTCCATCACGACTCTGTACAATGGTCGATGGAGTTTCAAATCCTTCTCTTTCGTTTTTGGCTCAAATTGAACGTGACCAACGTTAGTTAATACATGGAGAGGCTCCCACCTTCTCCTTGAGCTAATATTTAATATGGAAGAAATAAAAATAATTATCTCCGGCGAATTGTGGCCGTTTGATCTGATTGTGGGGGAGAGACGTGCCTTCCACATTTGGCTAATCAATCTCATAATGAAGGTTATTCTATTTATGCGTTAGGTGTATAATTCAAGGTTGTCCCATCATGTCTAACTATTAATACTATTAAATTGACATTCTTTGAATAAATTTGGAATAAAACACTTAACTGACATTTACCACATAATATCGCCAATTACACATACTAGCTTTTTTATGTACATTTAGTTACGATTTTTAAAGATTTCTCAAAATTGAACTTGGCTTTACGACAAAATCTTTATAAACAAATATTTATAATATTTATAATCTTTAATGAAACATTTAATTATTTAGTTAATATATGATAAAGTTAATAAAATATTAAATAAATAATAAATATAGAGAAAGCCAGCAATTACAAACAAAAATTATAACTTCACAAAAAAGCAATCAAATAAAATATCATAAAACAAATACAATTATAAAATATTAAAATAACAATGGTAAGTTTTTTTTTCTTTATCTGACATGTTTGTTTGAGAAAACTTTAACCTGAAACAATTAAAAATTAAGATTAGATTTTATGTTTAGATTAAATTTAAGTATTATCTAATGTTATTATTATTATTATTATTATTTTTTAAAACCGATTGATCTATACTAGTTGTGAAAACAAATTGAACATAAGTAATTTCTAACGACCAAATGTATTCAAATAGCTGGATACCATGTTCGGTTAGTTTCACATCTAATATTAAATCTAATCGATTTTAAACTAATCTAGGCTTTAATGCAGATGAATACTAAAAAAAAATAAAGAAAGAATAGAAAACATATCTCTTTTTTTTTGAATTTCTTTCTCTAAGCATCTCTTTGAAGTTTCATTTTGTAGAGAAAATTTTAACCTGAAACAATATAAAAAACAATATCAAATTTCATATTTGAGTTAGATTCAAATTTTATTTAATATTATTACTATTATTATTATTTTCCTAATAAAAAAACCGATTGATCTATATTAGTTGCAAAAACAAATTGAACATAGGTAATCTCTAACGACCAAATGAATTCAAATGGCTGAATACCATGTCCGTGTAGTTTTACAGCTAATATAAATCTAATCGGATTTTTAAACTACTCTATGTTTTAATATGAATGAATAAATATATATATAAAGAAAAGAATAGAACACATATCTTTTTTTTTCGAATGTTCTTCTTTCAACATCTTTTGCTTCCTGAGATTTATTTTATATAATTTTTTTTTACTTAAAACAATACAAAAAAACAAAAACAAATTTCATATTTGAGTTAAATTCAAGTTTCATTTAATGTTGCTATTATTAATATTATCATTTTCTTTCCTAATAAAAAACCGATTAATTAATATTAGTTGTCAAAACAAATTGAACATAGACAATCTTTAACGACCAAATGAATAACAAATAGTTGGATACCATGTCCGGTTAGTTTTACAGCTAATATAAATCTAATCGATTTTAAATTAATCTAAATTTTAATGCAATAAAAAAAAAGAATAGAATACATATATTTCTTTCTGAGACTGGGTTTCTTGCATTGGACAAACGATTCTTCATCTCCGACATTTTTATTCTCCTTATCCTCACTTTCAAAGAGAAAAGATAAATAATTTCAGAAAAATACTTTCAAAAAAACCGAAGTAAGGATGTAAGCAAGGAAGCCTGTGTTATATTTTCAGTTACCTGTGTAAGTTGTGCATCTTTTCCAGTTCTCTTGTAATTGATACAACATTCATATGCCTCTACTAGTTGGTGACGGTATGCCTGCATCAACAATACACTAACTTCAGTTGCTGATATTAAAAAATACATCATTACATTTACTGAAATATATTGGAACTAGCACTGTAAAACGTAACAGAGTAACATAGACTCTACCAGTAATATTTCACATGCTGCAATGATGTACAGTACATTTCTATGCTAAAGAAAGATGACATCACAAATAACGCAAAGACACAATGAAAGGCTCTAATAAGTATAAGAAAAACACTAATTTCTACCACAAGTTACAAAACCGGCATTGAAAATGGCCGCACCTCTATAAATGCTCTCTCTTGTGTGGTCGTATTGTCCTTTCTTGCACCTTCTTCAAACAATTCATGTAATGGTTCAAGTACTTTCAGCATTCCTTCAGATTGCTTATTGATTTACATGCAACGAGAAAGGGATGCATAAGTGCCTGCGAACATTTGAAAAAAATAGTCAAGGAGATATTATGCATTCCATAGAATTAATGGTAAAGAGATCGATATGTATGTAGTACCAACCAACAAGCCATGTGTGTATCAATGGTGACATGACTGAATCCTCCCTTCAATGCTGCTTGGACATCAGCGACTCCATGGTTGAATCAGAAGACGCAGTATGTCCTAAGGAAATGAAACAGAATAGACGGTAGACTCTAGTCAACAAATCACTTTTGGTTCACAACATTCTACCCTTAAAAATGTACGTTAAAGTAGATTCAACACCAGAGTAAAGTCACTCTGAAACAAGCAAAACTTGGATCAAACTTGCTAAAAGCAAAGGGTAAGCTTGTACACAAACCATTACTGTTTGATCAGAAAATAAAAGGGGACACTTTTTACGCAAACGGAAAACATGTTAATATGTGTGTCATAACAGAGTGAATAAAAGAAAGACGCGGATTGAAACATGGAAAAGCAGTGGGAGCATGCACTCTTTACCTGTAAACTATCATCAACTCCTTTGACAATATCCCCGGCTACAACGAATTGAGAAGCAATTTGACCTCCTTGAAATATAAGGATTCATCACTGCCGTATTGAAAAATGCCCATGTGTGCCATGCCTTGGCCCATTTAGGAGCATAAATGCATCAAGAATTCCTGGAAAAGAGTATATATTGCTAGTAAAGTCCTATTATTAGACATAGTTTGACTACATTTACAACAGTTAAAAGCAACTACAATTCACCTTGAATAGACCCGTCATGAAAGTGCCCACTGCCATGTTCCTAGTTTGAGATATCATACTCAGATTGAGAATGTCGCACACTTGAGAGTTCCCTCGTGAGAATCTAGCAACATTTCGTTTGCAAGATGGCCATTAAAGCAAGAAACTGGAAAATGCGAGAAAGAGAATAAACCCAGACAAAGCAAGTACCTAATATGACACACCTGCAGCTTGGTAAATGCCTCTTTCCGCTCCAAGTGACCACTGGTGATGCTTCAGGATCAAACTACAAATAATAAGGAGGTCCCAAGTTAGACAAACAGAAGAAAAGCTGCACAGAAAATCCGAAAACCAAAAGACAAATGGTCAAATACCGGCAAGAGCTTGAGTAGACTAGACTTATCTACACCAACAGCCACCAATTTAACACCAGCAGCATCAAATCTTGGTTTCGCTTCTTTCTTAGAAATCAAATAAATCCGAATTCATCATCAGCAATTTGAAAGAAAGAAAAATCGGATTCTTGTCGATTTTAGAAAGGTTTTGTTTCAGTTTTATTCAGTTTCGAGAAACCACAACGGCTATATAGATTCTTAGAGCAGCTCCAATGCAAAAAGCTTTTCATGGGTTCTAAACATTATTTTAGTTATAAATTTTGAATTTTTTTAAGTTAAGAACTTGTTTAAAAGTAATTAAAATTGTATGGCTCCAATGGTTGAACCACATTGAAGTTCTAAAAAAAAAATTATTTTGAAAATTAAAATACTTAAATAGAATTTATATTTTATAAAACTTAAACTTTATTGCATTTTATAAAATTTTAAACAAATATGGCATAAAAGCATATTACAAATAGATATATAAATCATAAACAGAAAAAGACTAGTTGTAATCTTGAAATGTGCCAAATTTTTGCTATATATTTTCAACCAAATCAGCTTTCAATTGATGATGTACTTCTCGATCACGAACTCGATTTCGAATGCTCATCAGATTGCCGACATTTGAAGACATATCTGTAGAATACGTGAAATCCACTTGTGAAGTTCTGTTTGCTTCTACTTGTGCAAAGTCTAATACATCAAACTGAGTGTACCCATCTCGTTCGTCTTCTACTATCATATTGTGCAGTATGATACACGCTCTCATTATCTTTCCAACTTTTACCTTATCCCAAATAAGAGCTGGGTTTTTGACTATGGCAAATCGAGCTTGCAAAACTCTAAAAGCACGCTCGACATCTTTACGTACAGCTTCTTGATGTGTAGCAAATAAGGAAGCTTTCGGACCTTGTGGAATCGGAATAGATTGGATAAAAGTAGCCCATTTTGGATAAATACCATCTGTGAGATAGTAAGCCAACTGATACTCGTGTCCGTTGACAATGTAATTCACTTTTGGAGCTCGACCTTGTAATATATCATCAAAAACTGGTGAACGATCAAGAACATTGATATCGTTTAATGTACCTGGAGGTCCAAAAAATGTGTGCCATATCCAGAGATCTTGTGAAGCTACAGCCTCTAAAACGATTGTTGGCTTTCCAGATGCACGTGTATATTGACCTTTCCATGCGGTCGGGCAATTCTTCCACTCCCAATGCATACAATCAATGCTTCCTATCATCCCGGGAAATCCGCGTATCTCTCCAATATCGAGTAGTCGTTGAAGATCTTCTGGCGTAGGTTTCCTTAAGTACTCATCTCCGAATAAATTTATGACTCCTTCAACAAAATGTTCCAAGCATGAAATCGCAGTGCTCTCACCTAGTCAGAGATATTCGTCAACTGCATCAGCTGCACAACCATATGCCATCATACGAATTGCTGCTGTAGACTTTTGTAATGCAGAGAGACCGAACCTTCCGACAGCATCTCTTCTTTGTTGAAAGAAAGGAACTTCAGTGGAGAGTCGATCAACAATACGCATAAACAAGGGCTTGTTCATTCTGAAACGGCGTCGAAATTTATGAGGAGGATATATTGCATCTTCACTGAAATAATCATTCCATAAGCGGATATGTCCTTCTTCACGTTGTCTTTCAATGTAGGCTCGTTTTTTTTTTGACTTGACTGCTTCTCGACGATCACCATGATGAATGAAAAAATTATCAAATGCTTGATCGAATGCTTGATCAGAAAATTGCTCGAATTTTTCATCCATCATTTTTTCGATATCATTATTAGAAGAAGATGCCATTTTAGAGAAATAGATGAATATATGGTAAAAAAAAGTAAAATGTTTGATATTTTTTTTGGTAAACGAACTGAGAAACTTTGAAAAGAAGCAAAGTGTTTTGTGAAAAATATTGTATCATCTTTGTGACTTAAGTAGAAAACATTTGTGGTGTACATCTCTTTCGATATATGTGGTTCCAATACAAAGCAATTATTAAAAAATTTGTGGTTCCTGAATTCAAAGAGAAAATTTGTGGTTCCGAATAAAAATCACATGAAAACTAACTATGCAAAAGTACATGTCACATGGTGTTGTTTTCTTCTTCTTGTCTTCTTCTTCTTCTTGTCTTCTACTCATTCATAGACCAAGAAAACAGAGATGTGCCGCTTGATGCCGCCTTGTTGGTTCCAGCATTGTCTAAACACACCACACAAGGACGTGTTAGATGAAATCTATATTACACATTGAAACAATAAATTCAAGAGCATAGATTCAAGCCATAAACAAACCAAATTCAAGAACAAAGAAAATCACCAATCACAGTCGTTGGTTACAATTTTAGCTTACTCTACATATGCACTCATCTGATATTTTTAAACTGATATTTCACTCATATGATATTTCACTCATCTGATATATTTAAATGCTGGTTACAATAATTTAGCTTACTCTACATATGCAAGATCGAAACAGAAACCTTTATAAAGGATTAAACATCCATGGTTCAAACAACAGAAACTCAATAAAGTACAGACACAGAAACTCAAACTCAACAAACTCAACAAAGTATCAAACAACAGAAACTCAATCAAACATAAACTCAAGCTCGTAAAAGTTTCAAACAACAGAACCTCAATCAAACTCAAACTCAAAAATTTGCTAACATGTCATCAATTAGCTTATTCTTTAAAGTCATTTCTATTGCACTAAGTGGCTCTGTTTTTGCAAGTAAACTGTCAAGCAATTTACGCTTGTTAAGCTTCTCCTTCAAAGCAAAGTCCTTTTGCCTTATCTCCCAAATGCTCTGATACTCCAAAAGCTGCTTGCCTTCTTCTTCCACAGTCGTTGGCTTTCTCACAGACTTTTTAGCTTGCGCCTTTGCTGCCTTAACACCAAGAGGCCAAGTCATTGCTTCATCCGCTCCATGGCTACCTGGCACAGAGGTTGATGACTGTGCGGATTGGTCATCACACTTTCTTCTTTTTGACCAAACATTATCTTTAGTAGAAGAAGATCCACACCATTTCTGATCATGGCGAAGCTCCCTCCACGCATGCTCAAGGGTGAACTTGACCTTGTAATCATTGAAGAATATTTTCTGAGCCAGTTTCATAACATCATTCTCATTCTGCCCACTGGATTTCTCTTTTGTTGCAGCATCATAGCAGCCTACAAACTTGCATACACCCTCATTAATCTTCCCCCACCTTTGCTTACAGTGACTTGGCTCTCTCTTTTGCAGACCAACAAGCTTTGGACTTGATGCAAAATAGGCTCCAATGCGTTTCCAAAACGCTGCTGCTTTTTGCTCATTCCCAACAATCGGATCTTTGGAGGTGTTCAACCAAGCACTGATGAGCACCACATCTTCTGTTGGTGACCATTTTCGTCTTTCTTTACGGTCATCAATTGTGTGTGCATCTAGGTTTGGATCATCAGTCTATTGTGTACTGAAGACAGGGACCTCCGATGATCCAAGTTCTATTGGTTGTTGACTGTTTGGTTGTTGACTGTTTAAGAGGTTTAAAAAGCTAGAAGATTGACTATATGAATCCATAACCTTGTTTTTGATGAAAGAGCAAAGGAGAAGGAAGGGTTATGTTCTGTGTTAGACTCTTACTAAAAACTATTATATATAAAAGGTTGTTAGTGTAGTTGACGTTTAGGGTTTAACATTTAATGGTTCGGGTTTAAGTGTGACAGTACAAGTTGTTGTTAGTGTAGTTAAAGTTTTGGGTTTAAGTTTTAATGGCTAGAGTTTAAGTATGAGAGTAGAAGTTGTATATTTTTTCTCCTTTTTATTTTATTTATATGAATTTACAAACGGTTATTAAAGATCTTTATAACGAATTTGAATTGATTCGATTTATATACACGATTGATCAGTGTCCTTAAACAAATATATTTATTCAATTTTAAATTTGAATCAGTTCAAAATATATTATAAATTGATAAAATAAATTTTTTTTTGAAAAAACTTATATAAAAATATGATTCTATTAATATTATAAATTAATAATTATTATAATTTTGATGGTCAACCATTAACAAACAGAAAAAAAAGTATTTTGGTCAACTTCAGCCTTCAGGATGGCGTTCAACGAAAACCCTCCAGATGAGGGAGAGGTTTCAAGCCGATGGTCAAAAAGTCGCTTTCCTTAGCTTTTATAAAACCGGGATGCAGTCCACGTCGAGCAAAGTAAAACCGCACGTAGTTTGTTGGTACTGTGTGTAAACTACAATGCTAGACATCACATCATGCGAACTGTGACTGGTCAGGCAGGTCACGTGACTCTCAGGAGCCTTCTGCGCCGCAGAGAGCATCGAAATCTCGTGATGGTGGTGTCGGCACGTGCTTCCCTTCACACGTTTAATGAGTCCGCCTCATCTTTCCTTCGTTTACGCACACACACACACGCCTAGTTCGTGCCAAGCCTTAGCTTCACACACACCTCTTTCTCCCAGACACGCTCGAGCGCTACACACGCGTGAAAGCTCGTCTTCCAATTCACGCCGCACGCTCCTCCACGCGCCTTCTCCATCTCACGGCCGGATCCGCCCTTTTCACCCGCCGGAGATCCACCGTCTTCTCCTCCTATCTCCCTCTTGGTTTCGCTTGTCCCGAGGCCGGCAACAGGCGAGGAAATTGTCGATCGGTTCCTATTCTTAGGGTAGTATTGCCCGAAGATTCTCCTAGAGGAGACCATTTTCGAGAAGAGGCTTGTGATTGTTGAGTGAATTGCGCTTAGATGATCTGATAAGGTACTTAAATCTGCAATTCCGCATGATTAAACATGAACTCCGTCTTGTTTGTCACAAAGTTTTCCTTTTTATTGTCTGGAAATATGTTTTGTAGATGAAAATGCTGATTATATGAACCTCTTTTTATTGATATTGTTTTGTAGGGCATGACTCAAAGCTTAAGCAGCACAGTGAGCACACTGAGATATATAAGATGAGTTTCGTTTGATACTGTGATTTCTCCCAATATTCTGGCCAATTGCAAGCAACAAGGAAGATAAAAACCATAGAATATTTTGGTTGCATTTGTCAGAAGACGTACACGTGGAGTATTAAAACCAGAGAAGTAAAAAAGATGGAACTTTTCACCAAAAGGCATAACCTTTGTTGAGCAGCAGAGTTTTGAAGTTATAAAGGTAATGTCAACGGATATGCAAAAACTGCTCGGAACAAGTGAAGAGGATGATGACGAAGAAATGGATACGGATGTGAAGGAAGAAGATGATGGAAGGCAGCGGAACAGGGGAACGCGCGCAGGTTCAGGGAGTAGTAATGACGACTTCATGTTTCAGCAGTCGATGCAGGATCAAGTGGGCACTCCTGGGGGAAGCCGGAGAAGCAGACCTGTTGAAGAGAAGGAGCGAACAAAGCTGAGAGAGCGGCATCGGAGAGCTATCACTGCAAGGATCCTGGGCGGTTTACGAAGGCATGGCAATTATAACCTGAGGGTCAGAGCTGATATCAACGATGTTATTGCGGCTTTAGCCAGAGAAGCTGGGTGGGTTGTTCTTCCTGATGGAACTACTTTCCCATCCAAATCTCAGGTACTTGTTATGTTTTGGAGGTTATGTATCCTGATGTATCCATATTCAGCAAATGCTAAATTTGTTATCTTGAATGGCTTATCTATTTAGGGGACGACAAAGCCTCCTGGTGGTTCTTGTGCGGTCGCTGCAGGTTCATCAGCTTCTCACATGGCATCACAGCAATCCTCACCTCCGGCTATTAGAGGAGGAGTGTCATCTGGGCATAGAAGCCCAACGGAGCTCAACTCTTGCCGTATGAAAGGTGTTTTCACACCCGCTCCATCGCCATATGATTTGCACCAAACTCAATCTCCAGAACTGCTTTGCAGTGCAACTGCAAACAAGGCTGATGGGCTTGTTCGTGGTTCAGTCGGTGTTATCAACTCTAAACAGGTAGCGACTCTCCTCCCATTAGATTTTTTTTCACTGCATGGCTTGTTTATGTCCATGCGCATATCTGATGGCTCTTTTCCACATTTCGTATTTGGTAGATTCTCGAGATTCCTCCGAATATGACCGAGCAAGATTTCTCTGGTACTCCTTATGTTCCGGTTTACGTAATGCTACCAGTAAGCAACTTTTGATCTTATCCTTTACGCAAGCTTATCATGAACTTTCTCCTTAATGATTACCAAAATAAAATAAAATCACTTTTCTACGTTAACAGCTTGGGGTTATCAATATGAAGTGTGAATTGGCTGATCGAGACGGACTGTTAAAACACTTGAGGATATTGAAGTCAATCCATGTAGATGGAGTTAAAGTTGATTGCTGGTGGGGAATAGCTGAGGGTCATTCCCCTCAGGAGTATAATTGGAATGGTTATAGGCAGCTTTTTCAGATTGTCCGTGATCTTAATCTTAAGTTACAGGTCTGTCTTTTTGCCTGCATAGTACGTTATGATCATACAGTTTTCTTCATTAGAATGATTTGTTCCCAAGCTTCATAAGCATCTCTCTCTTCTATTTCTTTGGCCTTCTTGCTAGGTTCTAATGTCATTTCACGAATGTGGAGGCAATGTTGGTGATGATGTTTGCATTCCACTTCCTCATTGGGTTGCAGAGATAGGACGAACCAATCCTGACATATATTTCACTGATAGAGAAGGAAGACGAAACCCTGAATGCCTCTCTTGGGGTATTGACAAGGAACGTGTTTTAAGAGGCCGAACTGCACTTGAGGTATACACCAATGACTCCACTACAAGAAATCAATGGTTTTGAAATTACCAAGTCGTGAAACACTTTAATGGTTTTGGTGGATTGAATATAGGTCTACTTTGATTACATGAGAAGTTTTCGGATAGAACTTGCGGAGTTTCTAGAGGATGGTGTAATATCTATGGTTGAAATCGGACTAGGCCCCTGTGGAGAGCTACGTTATCCTTCATGTCCCATAAAGCATGGGTGGCGATATCCAGGCGTTGGAGAGTTTCAGGTATCTTTCCTTTTCAACAGTTTTATAATAATCTTGAGAGAGCCAAGCCAAGCATCACAAGCTAAGCTTAGTTACACTTCCTCACAGTGCTACGACAAGTATCTCTCGAAGAGCCTGAGAAAGGCAGCGGAATCAAGAGGGCACCTGTTTTGGGCTCGAGGCCCAGACAACACGGGCTCCTACAATTCCCAACCGCAGGGAACTGGTTTCTTCTGTGATGGAGGTGACTACGATGGCCTCTACGGGAGATTCTTTCTCAAATGGTATTCACAGGTTCTAATAGATCACGCTGACCGAATCCTCTCTTTGGCTAAACTAGTCTTCGACAGTACCTGCATCTCCGCAAAGGTGATTTGATTTCAGTTTTCTAAGCCATTTGAGAAAAAAACCAAATAAAATTTGAGAATTTATCTCACAATTGACTTAAAAACAGCTCCCAGACGTACACTGGTGGTACAGAACAGCAAGCCATGCCGCTGAGCTCACCGCTGGATTCTACAACCCGAGCAACCGAGATGGTTACGTTGCGATCGCATCTACACTGAAGAAGCATGGTGCCACTCTGAGTCTTGTATCCGGAGAAGTGCAAGTTCTAAACCGTCCCGATGATTTCTCAGGAGCATTAGGAGAACCTGAGGCAGTAGCTTGGCAGGTAAAAATAAAATCAGGAATCTCTAAGCCTGCCTGCAAACCTCAAATCTGAATTCTATTTATTGTGGAAGGTGTTAAACGCTGCGTGGGACACAGATACACCGATAGCTCGAGAGAACTCGCTTCCTTGCCATGATAGAGTTGCGTATAACAAAATGTTGGAAAGCATTAAGTTTCCTAACGATCCAGATAGAAGGCGTTTGTCATCGTTTGCCTATAGTAGGCTCATCCCAGCTCTCATGGAAGGACATAACATTCTCGAATTCGAGCGCTTTGTCAAAAAATTGCATGGTAAAAATAAATTGATTAAATTCTCAGTTCCTTCATTGATTTCCCGAGTTTCAAGTCTCTCAACGTTGTAATCTCTTCCTCTTTGGTCTCTCTCTCTGCTACAGGGGAAGCTGTAATGGATCATCATCATCATCATCAACAGGTTTAGAGTTTAGTTTGTCCCACCAGAAAAAAAATATCAGCTAAAATTATTCACTGATAATGTTGTTAATTCTAATAGTTTAGTATATTTTCTGTATATTCTATCATTAGACAATTGAAGAGAGAGAGAGAGAGAGAGAGAGAGAGAGAGATTACTAAAAGCCTCATGTGGCTTTGGCTAAACCGTCCGATCTTTTGTTAGCCATAATACTGTACTTATTAATCCTTCATTTTCTATCTTCCACAATTGAGAGATTATCATCACTACTTAACGATGGACGTAAGTATTTCATTACTTGGTTTGTAGGCTATTGTGGTTTATTCTGTTTGGGAAAATTACTGTCGAACTTGAATTATTCGGTTTGAATTTTAATAATGACTACAACACCGCCTTGAAAGCAGAAACTGCATATGTACAAAGTACAACACACAACAACAAGGTAAAGTTTCCCTAACCAAAGTCTTATTACTTCTACGTGTTATACAGTCACTACTTAATAGCAAAATCTAAGTTAGCCATCACATATGACAACGCAAGAGTATATATCGTCATTCATTGATTCAAGATTTAGGCCAACCATTTGATGAGTGCTTAATTTCACGGATCCTCTTCTTTGCGATGATCCGGTTGCGTATGACCTTCTCGGATTCAACAGCTTCATCAATGTTACTAAGCACCATATCACACAGCTCGTCTAAAGCCAGCATTGAAAATGGCTCCTCTATAAGAACACCCACCTGTAGAGATATTGCCAAAGCACAAATCAAAAGACTGATAATGAGGCAAGCAAAACAAAAAAAAATGTGGATACTGAATAATCTGTGAATGAGAAAAGGAGTTAGGTACTTCTTCAATGCAGAAGAGAGATGCAGCGCTGATGAAAGTAGCAGGAACTACATTCCAGTGACAATCATCCCAGAGAATGATAGGGAGTGTAAGATGCCACAAGACCAAGAACCTTGACGTTAGTCGTGTGTAGGAAAGTGGAATCGGGATACCCATTAGTTGCTCACACACACCAATCCCTTCTTGTAACTGCAGCATCTTTGATTCCTGTAAAAGGAGATATTGTGTTCTTGATATCTCAAGTCTCAGAGATAGAAAAATGAAGATGCTTTATATAGATCCAAGAAAAGTACCAACATATCTATCTTTGTGTTGTCCAGATTCAGCAACTGAAGGCTTTGGGAGATGAATTGGAGGAGACAACGTGGACGATGCTTTGATTGAAGGATCAAAGACAGATCATCTGCTTCAATCACATTCCCGAGATCACTAGCCATATCTGAACCATAAATCACATGACACTACACATGAACAAAAAATTGCAATCAATCAATCAATCAATCTTCGTCTACCTAAACCAACCCTAAAGCATCACAAGTAACAACAGACCTTAAGCGCCACAGGGAAAGCAGCAATGTAACGCAAAAGCGTGTCTCTGATTATCAATTCGTCACTATGGACGGAAGAAATGACTTGCCTAGCTAAATCATTGGTTCCAGTGATGATTTTAACCCATGCTTTCCTTCCTTGTTCAAATCTCGAATAAGAAGCCTCCGTGCGAAACACCAGAAGCAGGGCTAGGGCCGGAGCCGTCAGCTGATAGGGAAGAGGAGAAGCTCGAAGGACGGGGAAGAAATTGGGTAACCAGTCCATAACCACGGCGGAGTTGTAGGCGGCGACCAGTATCGCCACGGTGGTGAAGAAGGAAACAGGGGGGATCAGAGACAATATAACGCGTGACGACGTGCTCGAGGATACGTGACGGAGATGGCGGAGTGAGCTTCTGTGTCTGACCCAGTTTTCGTGAGTGTAGAGAGAGCGTTTCTGCTGCATCCGTCTCTCCTTGATGCCGTCCGACCAGTTCGGAACAGCTTTGAGGAGGGAAATGAGCTTTGAGGATAGGTTTATCCGAGGCGAATCGTCGGAGTTTGGGCCGGAGGAGACGCAGGAAGGACTCAGACGGAGGGATCTGCGAGCTCTGGCGGAGATCCCGGGGCATAATCGTGGTTCGACGATGGACCGGTGGGTAAAGTTAGAAGAAAAAGATAGGTTCATGGACTGATACATTTGGCGGGAAAATCGAGGTTTAGGATTAGGGCTTTGGTGGAGACGACGATGAAGAAGATGAAGAAGAAGAAGAAGATCGAGAAGACAAAAAGACACATGCAAATTTGCAGAGTGAAAAGTGAGAGAGAGAATTGAGTTGGAGGAAGGTCGTTGGAACAGTTGTGCGAAGACTGAAAACGACGGCGTTCTGGCTTCTCTCAGATTGTGTTTTCGGGTTAATGGGCTTATATTGTAACGTCTGTGCTTTCATTTGGGCTACATCTTATCTCCGAAGCCCATAAAAGTTCCAGACGACGTCGTTTAATTAGCACTCGTTCTAGTTGAAATTTAGGGTTTATACAATACGCGCATCTGGTTCGAACGAACAAGCAAACCTTTGGGGCGTGAATTGAGAAGGGGGAATAATGTCGAAGAAGAACAATTTAGCCAAGAGAAAGAAGCAGCACGAGTACAATCTTCAAAGTACGTTTCTTTAAATCTCTTACACGACCAGTACGACACGCCTTGTGTATATATGAAATTAAGAATTTTTTTTCCGATTTGCAGAAGAGAAAGAAATACAGGACAAAAAGATCAAGAAGCTTCAAACGAACAAGAACAAGATGAAAGTATGCACCTTTTCTCTCTGCTGTCTGTTAATTCTGATCTCTAGTTCATATATGTGTTGATTAAGTATGAAGCCGATTGCTGTTGCGAGCAGTGATATTGTCTTACTCAATTACTCTAGTGGGCTATTATTACCGATGATGGAATGAGTTGATAGTTTTGAATTTGCTTCAATTAAGTTGATTTATGGTATTTTTAGGAGATTATTGGGAGAAACGAGTACTGAATCCTCTTAGAAGAACATTTGGCTAATTCGTCAATAATTTTGAGTTTTCTGAATCTTGTGAAGTTTATAGAATAGCTTATGATATCTTTGATTTTGTTGGGAAAGGTTGATGGTAGTGGGAAGAAGAAGAAAGGTGGATTCTTGGTTGGCAATAAGAGATTAAAGACAAAGCTGAATCGAGCTGCTAAAGCTAAAGCTGCCCAAGCAATGGAGCTAGACAAATGAGAAGGAACCTGTTTTCTTTTCACTTGTATGTAAACTGTTCTTCATTGATCTTTGTCATTTACTTTGAAGAAATCAGTTTGAAGTTATCTTCTAATATTCCACCAAATCTCTTACCATGATTGCTTATTCTAGGTTATAACTTATATGTATCACTCTTCCTTTTGAGCTCAAGATTTTGCTTTCAACTCTGATCATCATGGAATTAGGCGATTACTCTGTTTTGATTGCTATTCTTTTACCCGCTATGAATCACACAGTTACTTTTCTGAAATATATATATTGCTCCTCATTGCTTCTACTAAAGTTCAACTTCAAAATTGCAATAGATTTTCTCAGCAAAAAATGAACTTTTACTTTTTGGGTGGACAGAAAAGTTGGCTATACGACTTTCATTCTTAGTACATACATAGTCAGAACAAAGATCTCTCTTCTGCTTTACTACACTGCCACTAAACATGGACAATAAAACTTTTAAAAATAAAAATATTCATATAGTCATAATCAAAGTCTAATATAAACAGTCTCACCACATTACATGGTACATTAAAGTTGGATTCCAATAGGAAAAAATCTCTCTCAAAAGGCTTTGAGAGGTTATATCATCCCATCAATGGGGCCTTCTGAGATATTTTAAAGATGTCTTCTTCTCAGCCTCTCGTCAAAATTGCTCTCGAAGTGGAAGCCAGTGGGTAACTCTCTGACCAGAAAGGCCAATCCTTTCTCACTCTCCACTCTCCGGCGAGTGTACTTCACTCTCGATTCCTCTGTTGCAAGACCGATCTAGGGACTTATTATTACAGAAAGTCAGAAACAGTAAATAGAGTAGTAATGTCAGCGAAAGTGAGGAATCTATCTAGATTTTTTTGTTCTGAAGACAAGAACGTGTGATTAACACGCGCCTAATCAAGAGTGTGGGCATGTGAGAGTCATGAGCCGCACACAGATGCCTAGTTGCTATATACAGCTACAGTCAAAGTCAGTTATTCATTAGGATTTTGAATTTCCAATACATTTTTTTTTCAGAAAAAGAAAAGAAATTAAAAGATCCCATTGTTATCCTCACAGTAAATGCTTTTGCTTGAGGGTTCTGTTAGAGGTTGTTTGTCTGTTTCTGTTTCTCTCTGTCACCCAGAAAAAGGAAAACCAAAAAAGCACACGAAGAAGAAAGAGAGAGAGAGAGAGAGAGCGAAAACAATCTTAGCTCTTGAATTGATAGAAGAGAAAGATTTTGCTTGCTTATGGAGAAAGAATGAAAGAGAGAAGAGAAGTGAGCTGAGAAATTGTGTAGCTTTGCATGTTCCTTTCTCCTCAAGTTTTATATCTTCATAAAGTCTCCACCTTTGATTCTGTTTTTCTTCTTATCCATTTATCCTCTCACTCTCACTCTCCCTCCCCTCATAATTCTATCCATAAGGGTTTCACACTTTTTCTAGAAAGCACTTCAAAGTTGAAGACTCTTTTTTCTTCAACTGTAAATGCAAATGGATCGAAGAGATGCAATGGGTTTAACCGGGTCGGGTTCTTACTATATCCAGAGAGGATTATCCGGGTCGGGTCCTCCAACGTTTCACGGATCACCACAGCAGCCACAAGGGATTCGTCACTTACCTAATCCAAACTCTCCATTCGGGTCAGGCTCCACCGGATTCGGATCTCCTCCTTCACACGGCGATCCTTCTCCAGCAGCAGCAGCAACCGGAGCTGTTCCTCATCACATCGGCGTTAATATGATTGCTCCTCCTCCTCCTCCGAGCGAAACTCCGTTGAAACGTAAGAGAGGCCGACCTAGAAAATACGGACAAGACGGTTCTGTTTCTTTGGCATTGTCGTCTTCCTCTGTTTCGACCATTACTCCGAACAGCTCTAACAAACGTGGCCGTGGTCGACCTCCGGGCTCCGGCAAGAAGCAGAAATTGGCTTCCATTGGTAAACAAACTATCTTTGAAACTTGTGGACCTTGAGAAAAACTGTTTCATAAGATCAGGAAGCAGGATTCATTAGTGTTTTCTCGAGTCAAAATCGAATTGTTTATTCTTGATGTGTTGGAGAAGCTTAAAACTTTCGTGAATTGGAGCCAGTTTGTTATCTGTCTATGTCTTATGCTTAAACGTCGATAAATCAGACATTCACTTAGTAGATCAAGAACATGATTAGTTGACGTTTTCTTGAGTCAAAATATAACTGTTTATTCCTAATGTGGGAAAAGCTTAGAACTTTACGAAAAAGGAGCCATTTTGTTGCTAGTCTATATTAGAACTCTATGAATTAGACATTCTCTTATCAGATCGAATACATGATTATTTAATGTTTCCTTGTGATATATTATTGTTTATTCCTGATGTGTGGGAAAAGGTTAAAACTTTCTTAAAACGGAGCCAATTTGTTGTCTGTCTATGTATGATGGTGCTTAAATTAGACATTCATTTATTGATTCCATGGGCTTTCTCCTTTTGTTATTTTTTGGATTGGTTAGGTGAGTTGATGCCTTCATCATCTGGAATGAGCTTCACGCCACACGTTATCGCGGTTTCGATAGGAGAAGTAAAGTTGAATCACTATTACAGTTACAGAGCAGCTTTCATGAAATGTTTTCTTTTTTTGCTGTTTTGTTGAAAAGTCTTGAAATTTTTTTATCAGGACATTGCATCAAAGGTTATATCGTTCTCTCAACAAGGTCCAAGAGCGATTTGCGTTTTATCGGCAAGCGGAGCAGTCTCTAACGCAACTCTTCTTCAACCATCATCATCTCCTGGAGCCATTACGTACGAGGTTAAGTTCTAAATTCCTCACTAGAGACACTAAAGAGAAAACATTGTTGGTTTCTTGATACATTTTGTTTTGTATAATTTACCAGGGGCGGTTTGAAATCATAGCCTTATCAACATCTTACCTAGTCGCAACTGATGGAAGTTTCCGTAATCGAACTGGAAACTTATCAGTTTCGCTTGCTAGCCCCGATGGACGTGTGATTGGCGGTGCCATTGGAGGGCCTTTAATAGCAGCAAGTCCTGTTCAGGTTGGTTTAGATGATGGCTCTTGAGCAGGCAAGCCTTGTTTAATGTCAATGTTCTTGGGGTTGAATACAGATTCTTGGTCCTATCAGGTTATTGTAGGGAGCTTTATCTGGGCAGCTCCAAAGATCAAGAACAAGAAACGAGAAGAAGAAGCTTCTGAAATTGTTCAAGACACCAATGATCATCAAGCTCTGGAGAATAGTAACAACACGGTCTCGCCTGTTCCTCAGCACCCGCCAGGCCAAAACCTGATATGGTCAACAGGATCAAGGCAAATGGATATGCGTCATGCTCATGCTGATATTGATTTGATGCGCGGATGATGATGCTGATAGCGAAAACTCTGTGTATATAAAGCATGGAATCTAGGAAGACAAGAAGAAGAAGAAGAAGAAGAAGAAGGAACATAAGCTAACATCTGAACAAAAGCATGTGGAAATGTTAGGGAAAATGGAAGACGTTATTTAGTGTACCTCTCAAATCTGAAATCTCTCTAGCTTATTTGGTTTTGTGACTCTGAAGATTTGCAAAGTTTCTTGATTTTTTTTAATTTCGAAATGTTCACTCTTTACGTCTGCTTGGAACTTTGATCCTACAGCTTAGATTCAAATCGTTGACTGAAAGTCTCCGGTGGAGGTTCACCGGACCGGAGGCATCTTATATAGGAATTTGGGTATTGGGCCTTATACGACCCTTTACTTGCTCCGATTCATTTTAACTGATGGGCCTACTATACGTTCTTCAATTAGAGAATGTTTTCATATACTAATTAATTTATTATTCGCTTTTTGTCCACATGATTGAGTACAAGTTTGAATCAAACATTCAGTGAAATTACAAGTTTTTGTTTTATGTAACACAAACAAAGTTAGCATAGACGTTAAACAATAAAGTTTTGTTTTTGTGTAGACGTTTAACACTTTTTCTCCGCATGATTGAGTACAAGTTTGAATCCAACAAATAATGAAATTACGAGTTTTTGTTTAGATAACGTTTCTTTTGTTCCTCCCAGTACTCGTTAGTCCACTTCTCAACTTCTTTCTCAACACTTTCTTTCTTCTTTAGAAACTTCTTGAGCTCATCTTCTTCAAATGGTGGAGGCATCTCACAAGCGCCCTTAACGCTCGGAAACATAACCAACGAGTCGTCCATAGATTGTCTGACTCGACCTCCGTTGATCGGACACGCCATTGTCTCCGAACACACTTCCTTGGCCCCTTCAGGCACTTGTACATTCATCTTCATCAACTTCCCATAGCTTTGCAATAGATACAACATGTAGTCATACACATACTTCATTTTTAGATTCTGTAGTACATACCCACTTCCATTTCTCCCTATAGCTTTTGCCTATAAAATAAGTGAAGATCAAGTAACATCATCATCATCAGTCTATACAGTTTCTATTTACCTCGGATGTTTTGTTTGAAGTTAGTTTATATATTACCTTTTTGGTATTATTGTTGCCCCAACGAACGGCAAAGATGATGTCACCACATTTTTCACGAAGTCTAATGGGCCAATAATGTTCCATTGGAACTAAGCTTCTAGTGAAGAATTCAAAGTATAATGGCTTTACAAGAAGAGTCATACTATCACAAGCTAATATATACTTTTGGCTCACCGACCAAGCCCTTCCTTCTACATAGATCTTGTACCTTTCATTATCCAAAGAAGAAGAAGAAAAAACAAATCACTCTATGTATACTTAAAATTTCATTCATCAAATGAACTCAACAAAAGCAAGAGAGATTGATCAAAACCTGTGTGTGCATTGATCTTCTAGGTTTGAAGTCCTAAACCCAATCCTGCCCTCTCTCCTCCAATCCTTCAAGTACATTTTCATATCAATTCATCATTATATAAGAAATGTTTAGATTAAATAGATATATTATATAATATACCTGATGATAGAGATGAACCATGGGATCATGACATCTCATGAGGTCTCTTCTGATCTTGGCAACTCCAGGATTCCCTTTCCAATATGCGTAAGGCTTTCTCTCTTCCCACTTCACCTTCTTAGTCCCTTGACTTAGAGCCTTCGATAGTTTGTTCCACTCCATTATGTTAATCTCCGGCCTAACCATAGTTACGTACGTTAGGACGTGAGCTTTAAACATTGAAACCAAAAATTTCTATATTCCAATAACAGGAATTGTATTTATTATAACTGGAACGGTTTTACCATCCCCAGAAGCTCCAGTCGGGGAAGACAATGTCGAAAGCACCGGCATGGCCACAGTAATGGAAGAGTGGAGGAGGTGGCCACGTTACATTGACTCCTGGTCTTGGCCTATAGTCTCTTCTCCATATTTCAGGAAAGTCATGACACATAAAGAGAAGCTCAAGATCAGGGACTTGACCAGGATACATCCTTAGAAGCTGCACTATACCATATATTGTGAAAACATCTCTTGTCTGAAATGATTTCATGTATTGATGCACATACACTCTTCCTCCCTTTATGATTAGCCTGAAGTGAGCTTTACCACTTGCTCTCTCTAGCGTCTCTCTAGTGATTCCCGTCTCACGCCATGGTTCAAGATCCTCGTAGATCCACCTGAAGTAATCTGGACAAGTCTCTGCATCGTCTTTAGGGTTCGATTTCTCCGGGTAGCTTGCAGGGCACGTCTGTATTGTTATGTTATTATTGTCTAGAGAGCACTGCAACGTGAACTTGAGTGGTGTAGTAAGTGTGTTCTTGGGAATAGTGACGTTGGTGATTCTTGTGAATATTGGTGTCACCTTGATTCTGTATCTACCTCCACTCAATAAAAACTATAAAGGAAAATAAAACACTTTTTGAGCAAAAGCCATTTGAGATGACTAAATAGGTAATGTTTAGATTATGATAATTCCTTAGTATATCCGTACCAAATCCATCCAGCCTAGAGAAGCACCAAGGAGGATGATGAAGAAGACGAAAACGAAGATAGTTTTGGTGATCCATGATGTGGTTACTTTAGAACTAAAACTCGAGACTGAGTTATTATGTTGTCTTTGATGATCAACCATGTGAAGACTCATAGATGTTATATGTTTAATTTATCCAAGGGACTAAAAAGAGCAAGAGGTAGATAGATATTATATATAGAATTAATCAGACTTCACTTGTTGCTGTGAGGTAGTGAACAATGATCTCTTTTTATTATGAGATATTAGAAGGAAAAGAGGATAACTAATATTGAATAATTTGTTTCTAAGAATTGTATGTTGGATGTAGACCCATGTTTATGGAAAATTATATGAAGATATTAGCTAATCAGGGTTTATTGACGGCGGAAGCAACCTGCTACGATAAGTCGATGATCCGTGCAAAATTAATTAGCATGACTAATTTTAGTATTCTGAAGGGGAGATAATTAACTAGTTACAATTTGATGTAAAAAAAAAAAAATTAATACTTCTCTTTCGCATTATTATTTATGGCACAAGTTTTTTTCTTACAAGTAATGGATATTACCGTTGAGAAGCAACGATTGTGCGTACGTGGATAATTAGCTTAAGGTGTAAATTTGGAAATTACGTCTTTTAGGAAAAATTTACAAGTCCAGTTTTTTTGGCTCGATGAATACATTCTTTTAGATAATTAATTTAAAGTTTAACTGGGTATTTTATCTAAACCAATACTTATCAGTCACGCTTTATTTGTCGAGATTCCATACACAAATCAAGAAGATATCAAAAAGATGTTGTGATTTGAGTTTCTTATATTTTGATAATATATGTTGTAGTGATAGTTTGTAAAAAGGTTACCCGTTTAAATTTGCTAATTACATGAATACAAATCAAATTATCTAAATATCAAGAGGCTCATTGGTCAAGGCTTCTTGCCATTGGTCAAATCACGAAAGTATTGATCTTCCCAAAATTCGACTTGGCGAGTCAAATTAGCTTTTGTCTCAAGAACCTCTCTTAGCTCCAGAGGGTTATAAGGAAGAGGCATCTCACAAGGAGACACTTCATTAGGAAACATGACCATCGACTCCGCCATAAAATCTCTCCACCGTCCCGTCGCCGGACATCCCATACTATCCGGCGTAATCTCCGTCGCTCCCCAAGGAACCTCCGGCTTAAACTTCAAAAGTTTTGCGTACTCATTCAACAAATGGAACATGTAATCATACACATGTTCCATTTTCACCTCCTCTCTTATAAATCTACTCCCTTCTTTTCCTATCTTACGCGCCTGTCAATTAAACCCAAAATCAATGGGGGTTAATTTGTAACAAAACATAACTTCTGAGGTCTAAACATAATTTGTAAAAATATACAAACCTGATCTAAATGTGTATTTCCCCAGTGTACGGCGTATTTGAGAGAAGTACACTTTGAGTTGTCTCTGATTGGCCAATAATGTTGTAATGGCATCATTCCTCGTACGTAAAAATCATAGAACTTTGGTCTCACGTATAATGTCATCGAGTCACATGCCATTATATATTTCTCACTCACGGACCATGCCCATCCTTCTATATAAATCTTGTACCTATTCCAAAATTACCAAAACGTTGAAACCGAGTATTACCGATATAAGATATTCCCAAAAGAACTTAAATAAAAATGGTTTTAATCACCTGTGGGTGCATTGGTTCTCTAGGTTTGAGTTCTTGAACCCTTCCCTGGATTCTTTAACCCAATCCTTCAAATTAATATAAGATCATTTTGATTATTTTTGTAGTAATATCATCATGTTTAAAAACGAGATTATGATTGTGAGGAACCGTACTTGAATGTAGAGACGAGTGTTCCAATCTTCTTGCGCTGAGACATTACATCTAAGAAGATCTCTTCTAGTGGGAGCCACATAGGGATTGCCTCTCCAATAAGCGTACGCCACGCGGTCTTTCCATTGGGTCATCTTGTTCCCTTCTTCTATCGCCACTAGCGATTTAGCCCAAGGCTTTATATTAACTTCAGCCCTGGCCCAATGACATAATAAGTTAAATTAAAATTAAGCCCACTTAAATAGAGAAATAATAGTATGGTCCACTTACCAGCCCCAGAAGGACCAATCAGGGAAGACGATATCCAAGCTGGCGTCATCAGAGCAATAACGGAATAGTGGAGGTGGGGCCGGGTGTTGTTGACCTTTAAAGTCTTTAGATCGTACGGTTGGTCTATCATCTGGGTCAAACATGAGCTCTAGATCCGGCAATCTCCCTGGGTACCACCGTAGCAACTGTACGATGCCCCACAGAGTAAAAACATCTCGAGTCTGGATAGATTTTCTGTACTTCTTAACGTAGACTTTTCCGTCGAGGATTATAACTCTGAAATGCGCCGTCCTCCTTGCTTTCTCAACCATCCCTCTCGTTATCCCTGTCTCTCTCCATGGCCGTAGATCCTCGTGTATCCAACGGAAGTAAGAAGGACACGTGGATGGTCGTGAATGGCTGCTTCTGTGTTTGTTGTTGTTATTTTGATTATTCGAGGTGGTGCGATCTTCGGAAATTGGAATATGCTGTTCTTGTTCTTGTGTTTGGTTCTGTAATAAGACATCGCATTGGTGAGGGAATCTATGCAGCTCCGTGATTGGTGATTTTCTGGTTGTTGTTGTTGTTACTTGCTTCAGACCTGCAAAAGTTGTCTGATGAAGAAGAAGAAGAAGATCTTAGTTCAGAATTATACACTCTCAGGTTCACAAAACTCACTTATCTAAAACAAAAACTATTGAAAAAAACAAAACTGAGGTTCGAACTCACGAAATCGAAACCACCCAATAAGTCTAAGAGACCAGCAGAAATGATGAGAGAAGAGACGAGGAACAGAGTAGCTTTAGCGATGCGTTTTCCTGGATGCGTCGCCGTTTTGATACAGACATAATTATGATGCCGGTTCGTTTGAGGATCGTTGTTGTTCCTCTTCATGCTTTTCCGTTGAACCATGAATCTATCTACCTTCTTCTTGACTATCTTTTATATACATACACAAACATTCAACATAAGAGAACGAAGGAAACGAGAATCGGGCGAGGTTAAACGTTACCGAAGCAAGGAGAAAGCACCAAAGCTTTGATTTTCGATTTGTGCTTTTCCACGAGGATTTGAATCTTGTTTCACGTTTTCTTAACACTGACTCAATTTTCACATCTTTTGTGTTTATGAAGTTCGTATATTTGTGTGTATATTGTTTTGCTTTTTAGTATTTCCGAAGGGTTTAGTGTTTTTGAATGTTAAAACCACATATAATATTATTATATTACTAGGAGAAATTGGTCATCCGTTTTATCTATGAATTATGTTCCCATCGCGCATAAAGACAATGATATATGATATGAATTAGTTTCCCAAATAACCATTTTTTGTTAATTACGTGATCTTTGAATTTCTAGGAAAATTTAAGATCATTGACGTTATAAGATACTATAAAATATTACTAAAATATTTACGTGTTCAATTAGTTAAAACCCCTCTTTGAGAAAGTCTGTTATAAATGATTTTCTAATTGAATTTGATTCCGAACTCCGAATTAAGAAGCTGGTAAACTTTAGCCACTAGATAAAGTTCAGTGACATCACAGACCATATTCGACTACTCATATACAAAGACAGGATAAATAATCGTTTAATAGTTCCAAAGTTTATGTTTTATAATAACTTTTAAAAATAATCATACGTGACAGACTTATATACATCGTTCCCAGGCTGTTCAAATCCGAAATTAAACACCCTTTAATCTTAATCATGTTCTATATTTTTACAGCGTTCTTTTTAATTTAACCAGTTGTGCCTGTTGTGACAAAATAAATATAAGAAACCAGTTGGGCCAATTCAAAAAAAGCCCAACGAGTATTACGAAACGAGAAGTCGCCATCTCATCTCAGCCACTAGAAAACTCTGTTTTTCACTCTATAACGAGCAAAGTCATATTTAAAGGGCCCATATACATTGGCCTAAACCGGTTTAACAAAGACATATCTATCCTTTTGTATCTGTCTCCAGCGTGTCCACTTTGTGAAGCTCCACGTCACCTTTTGGTCCACAGACTATTTTTCAATAAACGAATACATTCTATCTTTTGACAAAAAAAACAATACTAATAATATATAGTATTAATATATACATTCTCTCTTAGATATTTTTTAAAGCATATACAGTATACACAAACGACGTACTGTACTATACTATTTGAATCTATCATAGAAGTTCACTCAAAATGTTAATTTCAGATTATAGTTCCAATTCTTTTTTATTAATAATTCAGTAATCAATAATAAATCAAATATATTATAGATCGATTTAGTGTAATTTTAATTTTGATTTGAAATTTAATTTTGATTAGCAAAACGACGACAATTTTTCTAGTGAGTTACGTGGCATCCTTGAACCACTTTACCTGTCGGCAGTGAGGTGTTTAATCACGTGTATCGCATCCAATGCGTCAGGGAGCTTTACAGCCGTAGGATCACATGGTACCATAATCAACGGTTAAGGAAGACAAATGTCTCACGCATATTAAACGCGGGGAGTACGCTCCACCAGTATAAGCTAACGGAGGATATAAAACCCTCTTTCTCCTTATTGGCTAAAATCTCGATTTTATCCAAATTTGTTTTGTTTTTGTTTCCGAACGAAAAAACGAAAATACCATTTTTGTTAGTCTTTGGCTGAGCGGCAATGGCGGAGGAGCAAAAGACGAGTAAGGTTGACGTAGAATCTCCGGCGGTTTTAGCTCCGGAGAAGGAACCAACTCCTGCTCCGGTGGAAGTTTCCAAAGACGTGGCGGAGGAGAAAATTCATAATCCACCACCACCACCACCTCCCGTCGAGTCCAAAGCTCTTGCCGTTGTCGAAAGTAAGCTCTCTGTATAAACACGCGTGTGTGTATATATGATAGTACTATTCTACTGATGAGGATTGATTCATGTTTTTTAGATGAATTAGGTATGGATTTAACAAAATTGAATCTGTCTCCAACATATCACAAATTAGCCACAAAATTCGATCTCATTATTGCTGATAGAACTTCATAGCATTTTTTTACCCCAAAGAGATTTAGGTTTTGAAATTAGAATTATGATTAATGTTTTTCCTACAAAGGTAGCTAATAATAAAATAATCTGCCTTGATAATTGAGTGTTGTCAAAAAAAGTAGATGGAATCATGGCACTTAGCTGTGGACAGCTATGAATTAAGAAAGTGATTTGCTTTCTTAAATTTTCTCATACATGATTTATGATTAGTTCCTTTAAAGTTGCCTAACTCTTGGAAAATAACAATTAAGTACGAACTTTTAACAATTTTAAAATCTAGGCGTATTAGTTCCTTTTTCAAAGGTGTTACTATCTGGACAAGACTTGAGTGTCCCGAAGGTCAAATCCTCTATGTCACCAAGACTTATGTAATGAGTTTGAAGTTTAAACCATCACTTTGACCAAAAAAGAAAGAAAAAACAGTTGTTACCGTCTTTATTCCTTCTAACTAAAGTTAAATACCTGAACTCTAATGTTGTGCTTTGCTTTACTTTTATTTGAACTTTAATGTGCAATGAATCGAGTGATAAACTGATAATCGTTGAGCCCTGGTTATTTGAAGCACTATTTCTTACGTTTTGATATTTGCGTCTACGGTTACAATGTGTTAAACTTACAAGTGAGCTTCTTGCAGAACCCATTGAGGAGCATACACCGAAGAAAAGTTCATCTGGTTCGGTCGATAGAGGTGAGCTTATACAATGATTTGTTTATGTTGTCTACTTTCTGGTTACTTAATTAGTTCCAAAATTGACATCAAATGTGATGTGTTTGTTTTCGTTAGATGTGATACTTGCGGACTTGGAAAAGGAGAAGAAAACATCATTCATCAAAGCATGGGAAGAGAGTGAGAAGTCAAAGGCTGAGAACAAGTAAAACTTTTCTTAAAATCTTTTGATCTTCTCAATCAAAGATTACTACTTTTGCCGTATATAATCATCAGCTAATGATCTTGAAATGGTAATAATGGACCAGGGCGCAAAAGAAGATCTCAGATGTGCTTGCATGGGAGAACAGCAAGAAAGCAGCCACTGAAGCACAACTGAGGAAGATTGAAGAAAAATTAGAGAGGAAAAAGGCAATGTATGGTGAGAGAATGAAGAACAAAGTAGCTGCTATTCACAAGCAAGCAGAGGAGAAGAGAGCAATGGTTGAAGCTAAAAAAGGAGAAGAGCTTCTTAAATCTGAAGAATTGGCTGCCAAGTACAGAGCCACTGGTATCGTACCAAAGGCAACCTGTGGATGTTTCTAAGTCTTTATTAAATTTGTTTCTCAGGTCACTGTTTGTAACAATTCATCTCTCTATTTTACTTGTGTGATTCGACAGCATTTTATAGTTTTTTTTGTTTGTTTGTTGTCTTGTTTATATATTGGTGATTTTGTGTGTACGAAAACATTTGAGTGTTTTATGGAGTATTATTATCTGTAACCTTATGAAGCATCAATCATGTATGATTACCATTTTACGTATACAATCCGTAAAGTCCCAAATTCTAGTAAAACTCATAATAGATCAGACAAAACCCCAAGACACAGGTGGATGATCTAGGAGCAATATGCAAGACAGCGTAGTAAAATCGTCTACTTCTGTTTGATCTTACTACTAAGAAATATCATATCATGTCTTCAATTCTTAAAACGAAAGACACCAAGAAAAAAGTTTTAAAACACCCAAACCCAAAGGCAAAAGGTTTATTAGAACATGAAATTGAAAGATGAGAGAAGGTAATTTAGAGGTTCGCATCATGTAGCAGAAGAAGTCTTCAAATCAAACCAAACCAGTCCTGGTTGAAAGATTCAGATACAAGCCAACGGCTACTATCGCCATCAACCGCCCATACTGTCTTCTTCTTGCCTCAGTACATTACTCTGTGTGTTGCCTTCATCTCTGGAACGAGCTTGTAACTGCCAAAGCTGAATGATTTGCCTCCTCAATACACCTAAACAATGGCAAACCAATCATTTGGAAACGGTCTATGTGCGATGTAGCTTTAGTTACAGTGTCAAGATGCCAAGAGAGGGATTTATCTCACCGTTTTAGTCCATCAGTGCCTTAGCCGGGTTGAGAATGTGCACCTGGTACAAGTTACTGACAGTAGATTGCCTTATCGATAAGTGAAGGAATTGGCTTGATTTCGGTTCCAAGCTCTTGCTCAGTTTGGTACCTGTTGAAAAACCATATGAATCTGAATAAAAAACCTTTCAAAACGAATCAAAAGGCGAAGGTGTATTGGCTGAGAAACAAAAGCAGAGTAAGAAGAAACACGAACATTTTGAAGCGGTCCTCATAAGTTACCAAATTCACAGCCAACCCAAGGTGTCCATATCTTCCTGATCTACCTACCTGGAAATGTAATGAAGCAAAACCTCATTCACAATTTGAAGAAAATGAATGTGGTCAAAATGATAGATCACAAAACTGCCCTTAACATACCCTGTGTAAATACGACTCAGAAGTCCTCGGGAAATCAAAATTAATGACCACATTCACAGCTTGAATGTCAATCCCACGTGTAAACAAATCTGCAACAGACATTACCCGTTTAGTCTTAATCATCATCGCTTACTAAACATGAAATTAACCACATTATCTTTGTTCAGGAATGCAAGCAAACACAAAAACTTACCAGTGCAAACAAGATTTCTGCATGCACCATTGCGGAAATCATGGAAAACCCTGTTACGGTGGTCTTGAACCATCTTTGCATGGATATAGAAGCATGAGTAGCCTAGCTCTGTGATTTTCTTGGCCAGTAGCTCCACACGATTGACAGAGTTACAGAAGATAATGGATTGGTTTATTTGCAGCTGCAATTGAAAACCATACTTCTTCTTAAACATCCACGACATTGAATAGCTAGAAAAGTTTTGGGAGTTCAGGGATGTCCAGAAACCTAACCTTGGAGAAAAGCGTGTTAAGGCAGTGCACCTTCTGTCTCTCTTCAACAAAAGCATAATATTGTGTGACACCCATAAGTGTGAGCTGATCCATGAGATTAATGATATAAGGCTTCCTGAGATATCGATCCTTGAAGGACTTCACAGTGACAGGAAATGTAGCTGAAAACATCAGAATCTGACGGTTTTGCGGCAAGAACTGTATCAGCTCCTCTATAGAAGGTTGAAATTCTGCAGACAAAAGCTTGTCGGCCTGGGAAAAGATATTTGTGAGTCAGAACAATTAGCTCATGCAAATAGAAAATTAGTCCATCAAATCTGCAAATTTCTAGCACAAGATGGAATCAATTTTGTTGTATTGAAAGTTTTGTTCACTGAAGTAAAAAAAAAAATCCTTTTTGGCAGAAATCCAACAACACTTGTCTTTGTTAATTTTTAAACACGCATTAATAACCCAAGAGAAAAAAAAAAGGCCAGTAAGATATCGAGAACTCACCTCATCCATTACAAGCATCGCGCAATCTTTCAAAACACAGACACCCTTCTTGGCAAGATCTAATATTCTTCCAGGAGTTCCAACCAGTAAATGAACAGGTTGATATAGTCGCATGATATCATCCCTCAGACTGGTACCGCCTGTGGTGACCATAACCTCAATTTTCAAGTACTTGGATAGCTCCTTGCAAACTTGTGATGTCTGAAGGGCCAGCTCTCGGGTTGGGACTAGAATCACGGCTGCATAATAAAATAGATCAATAAGAAACACAGTCATTCGTTTTCACTGAAGTAGTGAGCACTGGGAGTTCCACTGACCAACTAAATCACTAAGAAGAAAAGAAAGAGAGAGAGAGAGAGAGCTTTAAACAGATAAAAATATCTGAAAGGAAGGTAAAAAAACCTTGAATGACATTGTTCTGTGAATCAATTTTCTCAAGGGTTGGGATGCAGAAGGCACCAGTCTTCCCTGTACCGTTTTTGGCTCTAGCAAGAATATCACTGCCAGTCAAAGCAATAGGAATGCTTTCTTCCTGGATCGGAGATGGCTTCTCAAAACCCTTTTCATAGATTCCCCTTAGCAGATCTCTGTTTAGAAAGTAATCTTCAAATTCGTTTCCTTTAGTGGCGGTCACATCCTGCAAAAGACACCATGGAAAAAGTAAGCTCTAAGGAAACTGTATCTTCTCAAAACAAGGTTATATCAAAATCTCAGTGTCAAGCATCAGGAAACTTTTATACCTCTGTCTGGTAACGATCATCTCGTGGTGGCAGCTTTAACGTTGCTTTCCAGTCCTGATTACTGATAAGCATGAGAAACACACATAATCAAAGAAATGAACCTTCGCTTCAAATCAAAACCATACAAAAAAAAAACTATTCTTTCAACGATTCTGAAACGAGCACTTACTTAGAATTGTTGTTAGCTTCAGATTGAACAGTCTTCTCGACTTCGTCTACATAACTAGGATTACCAGGAAGCTGAGCGCGAGTAGACCATTGTTGTTGTTGTTGAATCTGCTGAGGGTTTTGTGAGTAACCTCGTTGAACGTACTGCTGAGGATCAGGTTGATGTTGGTTCGGAGCCCGAGACTGTACATAGTGTTGAGGCGGAGGTTGCTGAGGAAACGGAGTGCGTGACTGAAGGTATTGCTGAGGCGGAGGTTGCTGCGGATTCGGATTCGGATTCGGATTCCGTGACTGAAAATTAGGATCCGGAGCCGCCGCTCCAATCCCCGGCGGAAATCTACCTCTGTTATTATTATTCATCGCAATCTCTCTTCTTCGAATCTGAGAACAACCCTAATCTACCAAAGAAATCTTCTTCACAGCTCAAAAATTCGGCAATCTAAGGGAATCCGGAGTTAGAGAGGAGTAATGTTAGGTCAAACAGAGCGAGCGTTTGTAAGAAGATGATTCGATGGGGAAATGTTGAAATTAACCACAAAAACCGTTTCCGCCAGAAATAAAATCGAAATTAAAAAAAAAAAAAAAAAAACGAAGAGAAAGTCGAGTTTCTTCGGTGTATCAGAAGCTAACTGAAGAAGAGAAATAGCGAGAGAGAGAGAGTAATGATTTTCTGGGGAAGAAAGTGAAAAGATAACACTCGCCGGCGTCGTTGTTGTTAGGGCGTCAATGGATTTTCCTTTCCATATACAGAGAGTTTTCACAGTCTTATCCACATTCTTTTCTTTTTAAATTTAAACACCCCTTACGTTTCTATAAATTCTGAAATAACCCCATAGTTTTTTAATATTCGTCACTTTTCTCCCCCTGATTAAAAAATAGAAAGACGCTGCGGCTAAAAATGGAACGTCAAGAAAGCGAAACCTTTCGTTTCATTTTTGGATACTAAAAATTTGATAGAAGGTAAACAATCCCAGAATTAGACTTTTTGATTGATCGGACGTTAATTTAATGGCTTCTCCTCTTTCGAATCTCTACCATTGGAACCAAAATTACCCCAAAACTCTCAATCTAAGAAAGTTTTTGATAAATAAGACACAGATGAAAAGGAAAACAAAACAAAATCTGGTTTTCGTAACCTCGTCGTCGTGTGGTCGTGTCTGGAGACTATAACCGGCGAACGAAGAACAAACTTTGAATATTATCTCCAAAGCAACACAGAAGAAGAAGAAGGAGATAGAGAGAAAATGTCGTTTACAGGAACATTGGACAAATGCAAGGCCTGTGACAAAACCGTGTATGTTATGGATTTGTTGACATTAGAGGGTAACACTTATCACAAATCATGCTTCAGGTGCACCCATTGCAATGGCACTCTCGTGGTATTTCTTTTCTCTTCTTCTTCTTCTTCTTCCTCCATAGTTACTCTGTTTCGACAATGCTTAAAGATGGAGTCTTTTTTCAACAGATAAGTAACTACTCATCAATGGATGGAGTTCTTTACTGTAAGCCTCACTACGAACAGCTTTTCAAAGAATCTGGCAATTACAGCAAGAATTTTCAGGCAGGAAAGACCGAGAAGCCGAATGATTATCTGGTACTGAACTTGTAATCCTCAAAAAGATTTCGTCTTTTGGTTTCCTGAAATGTTCGTTGTGTTTGCATCTGATTTTCCTCAAATTGAATTTTTTTGCAAAGACTCGAGCTCCGAGCAAGTTATCGTCGTTCTTCAGTGGAACACAAGACAAGTGTGCAACTTGTCACAAAACCGTTTATCCACTAGAGAAAGTAACAATGGAAGGAGAAAGTTACCACAAGACTTGCTTCAGGTGCACACACAGTGGTTGTCCTCTGACTCACTCTTCTTACGCTTCTCTTAACGGCGTCCTTTACTGTAAAGTCCATTTCAACCAGCTCTTTCTCGAGAAAGGAAGTTACAATCACGTCCATCAAGCCGCCGCTAACCACCGTAGATCCGCCTCTTCTGGTGGCTCTTCTCCGCCTGCTGGTGATCACAAACCTAAAGAGAGCGCCGCAATTCCCGAGGGAGAAGGAGGAGAAGGAGGAGAAGAAGAAGCAGTCCCTGAAGCTGCAGGAGAAGAGCCTGAGCCTGTGGTTGAGTCTTGATTCTGGTGGAGGAACGGTCTTATTATATATCAGTTCTCAAATTTGAAGTTTTATATACTTTTCTGTTCAAATATTTGTGTACTTTGTTGCTGTTTCTTTTTGTATATTCTTGTAAAGATTAAAAGCTTGTTTGGAGAGATTCTGTTGTAAACAAACCTTTAACATCCAATTTAATTTTTTCTTTGAAAGAATATACTTTTTTGATCTTAGTTTTAAGACATTGTCAGAACCAGTTCTTGTTATGAAACAAGGATTAGAACCAAATATATTATTTTATTAAATCAAAATTCAAAACATACGGTATTAGCATGCAAAACATACTTCTCTCCGTTTCTTGTAATGTAAAAATAATCAAAAGTTGTGAAAATTCGCCAAGAATAATCAAAACTCTGACACTGAGCTTGAGATGGATAGTGCTTCAAGACATGAACAGAGCCTTGCATTTTGCCATTGTGTCATCTGGACTCGTAACTGCAACAACAGAGACAGTCTTACTGGTCACCAACACAAACACACAAAGAGACTAAACCGATAACATATCTAACTAACTTACCTGAATGGCCAATTGTTTTTGGTGACTCATAGATTTCATAATCGTTTCCACCCTGAAGAAGTTAAAGCCGTGTTGTTTACACATCAAGCTCAACGGAAAGCCATTATACATATATAGCTCAAGAAATTTGGAAAGTTAAGTTGAGTTTTCTTTTTTTACCTCATAGGTTTTGTCACCGAAGAAATGGATTTCATTGAAGTCCTCAAGGTATTGCAAGCAGTAAGTCTTATCCCAACCTTTAGGGAAGACCTGAGTCATAAGAATGGAACCAGACTTAGTAACGCAAAAATTGGATGTTAGATATAATACACATATTGATTCCAACTCACATCGAAGCTAATCTGTCCTCCAATAGAGAAAGTTAGGTTAAGATGCGCAAACCGTTCACGAAGTATGGCCACCATCTTCGGTCTAATGTTTTGAACCTTTCAAGACAAAATATTGAAATGATATCACTAAACAATGCTCAGGATTGATTTGTATAAGAAACTGAAATACTAATCAGTTTTCTTTACCTTATCATATTTCTCGAATTCGTCTCTTTCTTCTTGGCTGCAGTTGCGACCAATCGGTGACACATTCAGCATTCCATTTCGGAATTCAATAAATGTTCCCCTACGTATACACATTTCAAGAAGAAAAATATTTAATAACTTGAAGATCCTCTGAAGTAAGTATAACATGACTAAGAGGCTATATGTTTATCTTCATACGTACCTTTTAATTGGAATATCCAAGTCCGCAATGTAGTGCAGCGTGAAATTTATCAGCTCCTGCATCATCAATTTTACGCTATCACCAACTATACGTACAAGTGTACTTGCACACGGGACACATGAGGGACAATGATATGTGCTTTACCTTGAGTTTATCTTCTCCAAGGTGCAGCTTCAGGCTCTGAGAAAAAAAAGATACAAACTATTGATGCACAAATGAAACAATCAAGCAACAATGTAGACAAGTATAAGCCGATGTTTCATATGCACCTGGATTCCAATGGATTTCCCATCTTTATGGGCAACAAGACCATTCTCAGAGAAACAATAATCATAGTCGTTGGTGACTGCAAAAAAAAAAAAAAATGAAAACTTCATAGTATTAGCGAAACAAATGGAGACTCACAAGTCAGAAAAGTAGGATCCAGATCTTAATTTCCCTAATGAGAAAGTCAGATAAAAACTAAGACTTGGGGGGGAAATCAAACACATTCCAGAATTTGAACACACTAATGATAAGCAGCTATCTCAAATTCATAATCTACAGACTTAAAACGGATCTTCTGTTGTGTATGCATCCTTATTGATGGATCTACTCAACGATTTGAAGCAGAGAAAGTCTCTATAGTCTCCTCCACTTCCAAAAGGATCCATAAAACAGAGAACAGAACAAAAGAGTAACCATTCTCATCAAACTAGGAAAAAAAATCCTTTCTTTTCATACCAAATCGAATTTCTACGACAGACTAAAGTGTTTTCCGATCCGATCACAGTCGTACCTGATTTCCCAAGCTGCTCAGATATCTTGATTAGATCAGATCCACCGACGACTCCAACAGTGACAACCTGAAACTCTCACAGACATTTCATCGAACACTGAGCAGGCATAAACACTAAATAGCAACGATGGATGGATCAGTGACAAACCTTGCGCAATTCTCGGATAAACTCGAGCAATTCCGGAGTAGCTTCTTTCCTTGGAGCTGTGAGGGTACCGTCGACGTCGAACAAAGCGATCACTCCGGGCTTTTTGGCTGCCATTGAATGTGGGTGTAGGAAGGAACTGTGATGAGTTTTCAAATTGGAAGATGGTAATGGCGGAAGCTGTGAATATAAACTGGACCGATCTAATCTTAACGATAGAGTGTCGCTTAATATATGGTCCTCACTTTTTCTCCTAGAGATCGGTGATTGGTTGATAAAATAATCGTGACGCATTAACATCATATTTCCTCAATATTGTATGAGTTCAAAGAAAATTCTATTACATATTTTTTTTATTAAATCCGATATAAAAACATTGATAAAGTTGAAAAGCGAAGATTTCATCATTTCTCAAGTTGAAAGAAAGAGTTCTTCATTTTCATTTCTTTCTTAGATAAACAGATATTAATAATGTTGTTAAATTAAAAGAAATTACTGTAAATCTACAACATTTCTGAAAATTCCTTTTTCTTTGGTCAAGTAGACAAGTACCATATTTGAATCCAATTGGTGCTATGACGATGGCGTTAACATAGACCATAGACTTTTTAGAGTTCTTCTACTGAATTTTCCCTTTTTCTTATAAGAAATTCAAAGATTTGTATGGACATGTCAACGATAAAATTAATCAGTATTGAACATTCTCTCGTACAGAATAGTATTTGTGATACAAGCAATTTCTGAGAGTCGTTACGTTCTTGTGCAGGTGATCACTCGCGTGTGCCAACGAGCATTCGTCACATAGAAACATTGAAGGAATAGCTCCAATTTCAATCTCCGGCGAAGCAACAGGTGCTCTCTCGCCTGCTTGGAAGATGATAGCAGTCGGAAAAAAATCAGGTTTTATGCCTCAAGAGAATATAGCGTCCACAAAGGCCTCAGCATCAAATGGTTGGAGATCTTCTACAGCTTCTCCTACACCGATAAACTTTACGGGAATGCCCAGTTCCTCAACCACACTGACCTGCAAGAGATGTCGAACCAGTTTCGATGAGCATTAACCAGCAAGAAAAACAAGAGCTTAAGGTGAGTCAGGAGATCGGAATTAATGGAGGTTTTACCACACAGCCTCCTCTAGCAGACCCATCCAGTTTCGTCAATATCAAACCGGTAATACCAACAATCTGAGAAAACAAAAAATGAGCAAGAAAACTCAAGATTTTGCCTATAGTTTATAGCTTTGGTGAGGCAGAAGCACTCGGTTTATATGGGTTCCATATCTTACCTCGTTGAATTCTCTAGCTTGTGGAAGCATGTTCAGACCGGTATTTCCATCAAGGACAAGTAGGATCTCCTGACAATTGCCAGTGGAACTTACTTTTAGCTAACACTTGGATGAAAAATATGAGAAAGGCAACACACTGGGATAAGATAAGCTCACTCACATTAGGTGCACCAGAGACGACCTTGCCTACTGCCTTTTTGCACGCAATCAACTCCTCCATCAAGCTGTAATTTGTATGGAGACCTTAAACAAAGAGATTTCATGTGTGTAAGACAATGCATCAGTGTGTTGTAAAAGTCAACTAGCAAACTCTTCGTATACTCACGTCCAGATGTATCACAGAGTACAACATCGTAACCTTCCTCCTTCCCTCTTTTCACAGCCTTTGAGAGAACTAGTTAGGAAGAAAAATGTTGTGATTATGTGCCCTCAACACTGACACTGGGAAGCCAAACAACGCACTGGTTTTTTTACCTGTTGCTGCTTTAGCCTTGTCTCCTTCAGCCACAACAATCTCACACCCAGTCCTCTCTGCCCATATCTCTAACTGGTCACTTGCAGCCGCTCTAAATGTATCACCTGCTGCCATTAATACCTATGACAATTCATCGCAGGATTGCTGATGAACATACTGATACTCAATTTCTACACATCCTCGTAAAATTCCTCATACCTATTCGAGTAACCTCTTTCTAACATCCATTCCAATCCTCAAGAAGAACAACATAAAGGGTCCACTTCATTATATTCAAACATGAAAGGTGTATGTACCTTAGTCCCTTCCTTCTTCAATCTATGAGCCAACTTTCCTGGGAAAAAAAATCAAAAGCAACTCTTAAATAGAATATATTTATGTGGCAGTCCCCAAATCTAGCCAAGCCAGTTTATACCATTAACGTCTATTGCCTTACCAAGAGATGTGGTCTTCCCACCTCCATTTACACCGACGATCATGATAACAGCTGGTTTCCTGATACACCACTGCGTGGCTCAGAGCAGACCAAAACTGTAAACCAGACAGAGACAAGTCCGAAATTGAAAATGAAGAGAACCTAAAACCCATTTGAAGCTCTGTCTTGCCGTTTTTCTTAGCCAGCATCTCCAACACACTTCCCTTCAATGCATCCTACATCATTCACATTCCGGATCAACTAAGCTATAAACCCTAAGTCCCGTGTGTTACAATAATAAACATTTAAGCTCAGATTAACCTTGATCTCGCTTCCTGATTTGAGCTTCCCTGACATTATATCATCTCGTAGCCTCTCAACAATTCTAACCGTAATTTTCGGTCCAAAATCAGAAACCAAAAGCGCCTGCAGTGAGAATTTCACAATTAGAATTCAGAAAAAAGTCCATTTGCATCTAAAAACCAGAAAAATCGGTGAGAAAGATAGAGAGAGAGTTCATTAGTTTGAAAAACCTCTTCCAATTCATCGAGAACTCGGTCCGTTTCGGCGAGGTTCCAGAAGAGCAAGAGCTCGTCGATGACTGCTAGATTTTCCCTAGTCTTGGAGAATCCGGAGAAAATCTTCTCCACGTCGCTTTTGGCCTTCTCCTTGATCAGGCGACCAAGCCGCGTGAAGAAGCCGCTCTGCCCAGCTGAGCAGCGGAAACGGGACTTTGGTAGACGAAATTCTACTCTGTACGGCGAGAATCGGACCCGGTCTGAGGAGAATGGCAGCGACATGCGCCCGGCTAGAAACGAGAGGTGAGCAGAAGAAGATGCCATGGCGCCTCGCAGTTGTTGCAAGTGAGGAAGAAGAAACCAGTGAGTGGATATAATGCTTTTCAATACGCTGCGTTTCGGTTCGATACTATTGGGTTGGTATAGACCCATTAAATCAGCCCATTACATATAGATTGTGCCTTTCGAAAATGGTGTTGTTAGCTTCCTGATGAACGATTACGTACTGTCCACTCTGTAGAAGAGAGTGTGAACCAAATAAACCTCTAGCTGTTGGGATTTTTCATTGGGTATACAAATATTAAAATATGGTGGAGATTTATATTATTAATTTTTTTGGTTCAAACGTTTATCCTAATTGAGATTACAAATATTTGCAACAGAAATTACTTGGACCACCAAGTCACCCCCATTACAATTTTACAATTACCCATATATATTATATATATATAACGTTTTAACTTGTGTGGTCATAAATGTCATATTTGTGTATCGTTGACTGATTTGTTGACTATACATACCCACACTTTTTAGATATCATCCATAGCCGACCAGTGAAAATTCTGTTCACCAATATTACATGATTAACATTTCGTTGTTCGTTTCTGGGCAAACAATTCATAGGCCGTTGCTTACTTTTATTCAAAATATGACCAAAAGTGAAAAAGTCACGATAATTAGTCTTTCTTTTTAACATCTAAATCTCTCTATCGACTTATCTCTGCTAAGCGTAGCGTACAGCATAGAAGTTGACGTCACGGCTATGACGTAAGCAAATAATGTAATGATCAATATAAGACAGACAAGCATATAGTACAATTTTTTGTTTAAACCCAAACTGGATAGAAAGAAAAAAAAATTGAATCACTATAACTAATCAGGTTTTTCCTTTGGATAATGCCAAAGAAGACTTGGGATATACATATGGGAAAGACCCTTTGATCATCTTGCGAAAGTATGTTTACAATTTGAAGATATGGTTTTGCCTCTCTTTTTTTTTTTTTGTATTTTCCCCATTTTAAACTTTAACAATCTCAAATTGGAATTTATAATTTTAAACTTGAAAATAACAATATTTACTCCTAGACTATATAGTGGAAAAATGATGCAATGACTTGATATTTGCTATTCAATTCTCTTCTAATGAATGTCAAACTGTATTTTCATTACTTCAGCATCATGTTCATGCATGTACTACCAAAACTATAAGAATCGTACATGCACTAGTTTCTATAAATAAATATAAATCAAAACACATAACTTTTTCCACATTAGATAAGAGGAAGTGACGAAGCAACTAAAATTCCACGATAAAAAAGAGTAAAAGAAGAAGAAAATCCATTACGGATCATTGCTGATGATGATGAAATGTTTGAACATGGGTTTATACAATGGATTTACTATTGAAAGCATCAATTTCAAAATTACAAGACGTTACGTATTCGTCGTCAAAAAAATACTAAGATGTTACCTATTTTGTCTCTTGCTACTGGATTTACTATTGAAAGCACAAAAAAGAAAAATTACGTTGTCTATCCAATAATCACATTTTCACTAAATAGCAAAAATATTTGATGTATTAATTTACTTTCTAAATCAGTCAAAATTGAAGAATCAATTTAACAATTCTCTTAGTTGTATTTTCACCACTTACTCAATGGCTTAATTAAGTGGTGGTGTTTCGTCGGCCTCATCTGATGCGGTTTATAGCTTGACACAACATCTATGCGTTGTGTTTTTATTGGCAACCATAACATTACCAACATATACATGACTGATGTTTAGTATATATAACATGTTAAGTCTGATTTACAAATTTATGTATACATATATTTGGATCTCAACACATGATCTCACAATAGCTAGTTTTTTTTGGTATGCATACGACTGTAAATATCATCTATTATCTCAAAAAAAAAAAATATATATCAAAAACAACATCTACATTCGTAAACCCTAACTTGTAGATGATATAATCCGTCTCTTTCCCGCAATCAACCAAAAACGGTTTAGACTTTAGATACAAACTCGTAGACATTGACCTCGTCTATGATCAAGTCAACACGACAAAATTGTAGAAAAAAAGTAGTAGTAATTGATTTGTGTGCCTAATCCATGTGACATGGAATAACGAGGCAAAACACATTAAATTTCCAGAAACGATCTGCAATGATTATATTTGTTCATCACTGCAAGCTAACCCAAACGGTCATATTGGGTCATATAATAATATACATATATATCTGACCATATAATAATATACATTAAAAAGTCGATCGCGTCGTTGTTAATTTAATCTTCCCAAATAGGCATGTATATATGCATTTTCCCCATAGTTATTGTAGCTACGTCATGCTGACGTACGTCATTACGAGTGACTTACATGCATGCATCCATGCAGTACATTGTGTTTGTGTTTGTTGGCCAAGAATTTAAAGACATGTCTCTTACCTTTCCCAGCTATTACCTACATCGATTGTTTGAATTTGGATTAATCACGCAACACGATGATAATAACAATTTGTAATACTACTAAACTGGTCCGTCAAAATAAAGCATCATCAATATTAATATATATATATACGCTAATGTGACAGAAGCGGCTCTAGAGTGTTCTCGGACGGTAAGTTGTTCTTCCTCCAGATCCAACGGCCATTGCAGCTCTTGGTGTTACGAGAGGCTTTAATCCCGCTTTTAGTGCTTCAGATCATTATATATTATCAAAGCACAACATATATACATAATAGTATTAGTCTAAGAAAAGAAAATTAGGAGATTTGTAATATGTTCTAATTGAAAGTCGATAATTTGGTGCAGAAAAGTAGAAAACAAAAAACGTGTGCCACGTGGTTTACGGAATCAACCAAGAAATACCTGAAATTCCCGTTGCACTCTCGTCCTAGTTTCCCTATTTTAAAAAAGTCAATTTGATATCGCTAACTGCACGGCACGTGCCGTAACAACGACTCCATCAAACTAGTGCAGAAGACTTTCTCTCAAAGATTATGTACTACGTAAGGTCTTTTTTTTTTTTGACGTACGAACTTAACAACTACTTTCATTATCTTTTCTTCAAAGCAAGTTTCTAATTTTGTAAATTTCTGTTCAAAGATACATAAAAGAAGATTCTTAACTGCACTTGTTGACAAAATAATTTGATACTTAAAAAAAGGCAACCATAGAAATTCTCACGCGCCTTGAGCCTTTTTCTTTTTCGAAACCCAATATCTTTAAAAGAAAGTAGAGTAAAAGGCGAAATGAAGTGGAGACGCACCATTCTTAGAAAAATGCTACTGCTAAATAGTAATTCAAAAAAAAAAAATTAAGGAATTTTTAAAAAATAAGTAGATGTGTAAGCAATTTATAATTTCAACATTTTTATTTTTTTTAAATACACATGTCAGGCCTGCCCGCACACAACCAACCGTTGATCAGGCCACCGGCCAAGCATCGTCGAACCATCCCATCCGACCAACAACGTCATCGTTCACATCTCTACTTTAAAACATATCTGTTCTTTCTTTTTGTCACATTTTAAAACAAATCTAATTTATAAAAAAAAAGTAATTAACTTTTAACTCCACGATCTAAACTCAATACAAAGCACGGAATAACAATAATAATTAATTTATTAATAAAAATTAAGCTTTAATTCCGAATAAGAATATATACCCATTTTTTTAAAAAGCAATTTAAAGTTGTCCCCCTTCTTCTATAACGGTCGAGTCTCGAGAATAAAAACATTTTGGAAATTTCCCAGAAACAAATAATTACCATAAATTCGTAAGCGAGTGGAAACTCGCTGGAAAACCCCGCGCGTGTTCCTCAGTCAATTTGCGAGACCTTATTTTATATATACGAACAACAAAGATATAAATAGTCATTCTCCTCCAACTCACAGGATACAAAATCAATAAGGAATCTCCTCTGCACAGGATTGGACTTATATAATACATATAAAACACACACAGACACATAACATTGAACGTCATGTCGTATTCATCAATGAGACGATCACTGGAGATTGTGCTAATCTCAGCGGAAGGACTCAAGGTGGATCGAAAACCGGTGAAGAAGAAGACATTCGGCGTCGTGAGAATCGATCAGGAATATAAGTTCTCTGAACTGGACCAACAGGGTGGGAGTTATCCGGTTTGGAACCAGAAAATGGAGATGGAGATGGCCATAAACGGGAGTGTAAGGTTTATCTCCGTCGAGGTAAAGTATCGGACAAGCGGTGGGGCTGAGAAGATTGTTGGGTGCGCCAAGATTCCGGTGACGGATTTCATGGGAGGCTTTGCTCCTCAAGGGCATTTGAATTTCTTGAGTTACAGGTTGAGAGACGAGCATGGTGACAAAAGCGGAATCGTCAACGTTTCCATTATGGTGAAACCCGACGGTACCGATATTAAACCGTCGTCTTCTCTTGCCGTGGCTACGCAGGACTATGCCGCGTGTTCGTCGCAAGCGAATGGTCAAATGTGGGGGACGAGGAAAACCTCATCGTCAATGGCTGTGACGGCTGGTTATGGCGGTCGCGTAGTAACCGGAGTTCCTGTTTGGTGTGCGTATCAACGGCCATCTTAATTCGTTTTTCTCTTCATGTTTGTCTGCACAGTTTCTTCTTCATATTTTTTTTGCCATATTTATTCCCGAATTGGGATTCATGGGGAAAATACGTCTGATGAATTCTGAAATCCATATAATAAAGAATTATGAAATAAATAATAAAATGTCCCATTGAAGACTTTTGATGAATTAGCTTTTAATGCTTAAGCAAACCCTTTTTTATACGCCATGATTTTTAATTAACCAGCAAATTTTTTTTTCCCAAAGACTCCGCTGAAGCCTGAAATTTGTAAAAGATTTGAAATATGTTTGTTTGAATTTATGTGTAATAATAATATTAAAAATAAACATTAAATTTCTCTTTCCCACGATGATAGTTTTGACTTTAGATATTATTTTGGGACAGGTATTAACAACAACAAGAAGTTGCCTGGTGGTTAGAGGAGTTCTACCAAGCCCCTGGGAGTCGGGTTCGAATCCGAGAAGCGCCTAAAGATGAATTGGGATTCATCATTTCTATTTTTTTCAATTGATAAACTAAAAGATATATTTACATGAATTGGATAAATAATGCTTGAATACTATTCATGCACGAGATTTTAAGCGTAATCAGCATTCTAATAATAATAATGTAGCAAACATTATCAAATGTCATGTTTCTTTTCATTTAACCAAGTATAATATATAATTAAGCGAATTTATATTTTTTTATATATAGTTAGCAATCGCTTAAAATATTACATTCTTTAATATTTTTCGACGCGATAAAAACATTTTTTTGGATAATCATTATTTAGTAGAGTTTACATTTGAGAACCAAATTCAAAGACAAAATTGAGCCTTTTGGTCATAATTGCGACTACGTCTAGAAAGTAACGGTTTTATGAAGATATATTTACATGAATTGGGATTCATCATTTCTATTTTTTTCAATTGATAAACTAAAAGATATATTTACATGAATTGGATAAATAATGCTTGAATACTATTCATGCACGAGATTTTAAGCGTAATCAGCACTCTAATAATAATAATGTAGCAAACATTATCAAATGTCATGTTTTTTTTCATTTAACCAAGTATAATATATAATTAAGCGAATTTATATTTCTTTATATATAGTTAGCAATCGCTTAAAATATTACATTCTTTAATATTTTTCGACGCGATAAAAACATTTTTTTGGATAATCATTATTTAGTAGAGTTTACATTTGAGAACCAAATTCAAAGACAAAATTGAGCCTTTTAGTCATGATTGCGACTACGTCTAGAAAGTAACAGTTTTATGAAGATCTAAAGCCTTTGGAACTCATAGGTTCATTGTCTAATCTTTATGACCATTGTTTCTATGGATGTCTCTTAATTTTTTACTGTTTGTGGATTGATTTTGATACATTAAGTTCCTTCTTAAAACTTTTTATTTTACTATATATATCACCAATGGTATTGTATCTTGAATTAATACCGCTGGATACAGTCACAGCAGAAGCTATTGTCTACTTCCAATGCTTCAAATAGATAGAGCAATAAACTGTGGAAACAGTGAGGTCTATGTTCGAGGGAAACAGCGTTATTGGTGAAAGTATTGAAAAGAGATAATATAGGGTAAAACTCTTTCATTATATTTCTTATATATAAATGTTTCCATAATTATTCTGATTTTGTACTGATTTTGTGCTTAACTAAAAGATATATTAACATGTTAAATTTAGCAGTTATCAAATGACCTTTTTTTCATTTAGCCAAGTGTAATATATATTTAAGCGAATTTATATTTCTTTATATATAGTTAGCTATCGCTTAAAAAATATTACATTCTTTAATGTTTTCTAACGCAATAAAAACGTTTCTTTGGTTCAATGATTATTTGGTAGAGTCTACATTTCACATGCGCATATGACTCTCTTAGCTGTTCCAAACACTAAAAACACACGGCAAAACCTCAATTATTATATAACAACAATCTTAACATGAAAAACAACAGTTTTGTTAATATAAACTATTTACTTTCTGCATTTACACAACAAAATATTGAAGAGAGAGAGAGAGAGCTCAAGCCTCATCCGTTTGTCTCAGACCGCGACATTAAAGCTCCAAACTTTTAACAATGGACTCTGAGTAAAAGATGATCACGGATCAAATGAATCTGTATGGAGGAGAAACTCTGATCATACTGCATCGTTGCCACTTTGTTCACCGGTTTTGAGAATGTTGAGTTTGCAGAGAGGGCAAGTGGCATTGATGCGTAGCCATTTGTCTATGCAAGCTTCATGGAAATGGTGTCTACATGAAAGTTCTCTCAGCTCTGTTCCATCTTCATAGTCACAGAGACAAATGCAACATTCCTGAAACAATGCAAACAAAAAGATTCATTTGTTTTGTACCAATGATCTCCAAATTTTAGATTTCAGATTCATTTGTTAACACTTACAGCCTCGTCGCTTGATAACACACGCTCTGTTGGAGAATCAACACCAAGTTGAGTCATTATTCCTCCCTCAGTTTCCCGTATCTCTCCGTTCACTTTCTCTGAGTTTCTCACACTGAGAAACTTGAATTTCGGAAGCCTTTCTATCACCTCATCTGACGCACCTTCCTGAAATCATCAAGAACACAACATAAACAAAGCATCCTTACCATACAAATCAACACATATGGTCTTGAAAAGGAGATATCTTTTTCTTTGACTTCTTACCCGATCTGCCAAAGCGTACAAAACCGCAATGATGCAAGGCAAACAGCAGCAAACGGCAATACCAATAAGACAAGCGACGGCAACACAAAGGACTAAAAAGATAACATCAAAGGCGAGAAAAGCGACACAGAGCCTGCAGACAAGACATATAAAGTATGTGAAAAACCAAAAATTCATCTAATGCACAAACAAAGCAGAAGAAGCTGTTGTGGTTGTGTTTCCAAAACAAACCAGTAGAGTTGAGGCGAGCTTTGAGCGAGTTCCTCAGAATCAGCAGTGACCCAGTAAAATCCAATGATCCACCAAACAAAGGAGAAGATTGCGTTTGTTGATTCAAGGTGCTTAGCAAGACTACAGTGGAGAGGACATATATAATATATGAGAAACATTCATCAATGAAACAAGAACTTGTTGTGAGAATAAAGAAAAGGTATCAAGAGAGAATTTTCACTTACCTAGTTCCAGATTCGATCTCAGGATCATCTGTGATACCATAATCATCAGACTCGTCTTCGCTAGATCCTTGATTGGAGATTAAACCGGAATCCGAATCGCCTTGTCGACGGCGTCGACGATACTCGGCGATTACACATCCAACATGAAACAAACACTGCAGATTATACCCAATTATCCAGAATCTGAGAGGAACATCAGGATTCTCCATCGAGCTAAAACCCACAACTCCAACAGTGACGAACACGAAAGCTAGATTCCAGAGCACGTCCAAGACGATAACAGGTTTCGAGTAGGCCCACTCACTCTGCCGCTCCTCAATCTGCTCAGCCGCTGTTTCACGGACTCGAACCGACGACTCACGGAGCATCATCCGGTGACTGCTAGCGCGACGGAGAAGCCGCGACGCTGCGCCACGTAGCGGCTGCGAAGGACGGGAGGGAGCACGACGGTTTCGATTCAGAAGCGGCGACGATATATCCGTCGCCGGAGAAGAAGAGGAGGAGTCAGGGATCGGTGGTGGATACATTTGACTGTATCGGATTCAAAGATTGGATCTTGACGACGAATAATTGAGTTTGAAATTCGACTGAATTTGAAAGAGTCGTGGTTGAATTTTCACTGGGAATTTAACCGAATAATAATATATAGATAATGTTTTTAGTTTAGGTCTGAGGAATCCTTACATGAGAATGCGATAGTGAGAACGACAGAGGTCGTGCTCCATTAACGCCTCTGCTGCTAAATGGAGTATTAAATTATTATTGTTGCGGAGGATATTATTTGTTGTCCTCTCAGATTGAAATTAATTATTACAGGATTTGTTGTGTCTATTTTTCAAAGATAATTATTTTTATATTTAAAAGAGGCATTTTTTTTTACGCTTTCCGTTTCTGTTAATTTAACTGTTTAATCACCGACACTGCTCTCGATGCTCATCAAGTGTACGATAAAATGCATCAGAGAACATATCAAGATGGAACATTCTTCTGTTTATCATTCTGAGATATTTCAGCTGCTTTTTTCATCACTTAACAAAAAAAATCATAAACTTTTGCATTTCCATGGGTAACAAAAGAACCTGATTGTCAAAAATTATACATGGTTTCAGAGAGTTCAGTGATGGGTTTATAGCCAGCCATTAAAAAAAAATTGCTATACACAGAAGACGAAATCAGACAAACAACAAAATTTTCGGCTCCTTGAATAAAACAATCACATAAACTACAACTCCGGATCCAAACTTTGAAAGCAGACTACTTGTTTTGTTTTCCATCTCATGAATCCCTGTGTGATTTGCTTCAGAGTATCCAAAACTTTCTTGTTGTTCCTAAATTTTAAAACGAACCTACTGATTTCCTTGCGTGCTCCGGGATCAAGCGATGGCGCAATTCAACTGATGCACCACACAGTTCTGCAAAAAGAAACCAAATGAAAAACTTTAAAGAAAATAGAAACACACAATCTTGGTTTCTCTAGTTGGAAAAATGCGAGTATCTGTTAGTGAACCTTGAGCTGTGAAATCAAACAACCGAGGCAATGCTCTTCCGTTTGGCAAACATGCTCTTGGGTCTCTAAGATCATCGAAGAACGGATGCGCACATGCTTCAAGCTGAAAATCACAACAGGTTATATATATACGAGTAAGCAGTCTGTAATAACTAATAACCGAAGCTCAAGAGTATCAATTCATGGGTTCACTCTAACCGCTGTGCATCTTAGATTTGGTGAATACTGGAGGAGCCTTGAGGCAAGATCCATGGCCTCTGCAGTCACCTCTCTACGGAATATCTGAGACAACCAAATAGAATTTGAATTAAACATAAAGATTTCAAGATTGACTAGCAATAGTGTCCATTAATTTGTAATACCTTGTGCCATGGCTGAGCTTTGATTTGAGGGAACTTGAATTCATTGTAACGAGGATTCATATTCTTTATCTCTTCTCTAGTTGGTGTTCCCAAAACCTGATTATACACACACACAAAAAGAAAACAACTCTAAGATGACGTAAAAATCAAAAAGAAAGAAAACAAGATAAATACATTAAACCATAGACAATATTACCTTAATGATCTCTACCAATTGATCAACACTGCTCTCTCCAGGGAATATAGGCTATAGACAATGAAAGGCACCAAGAAAGAGATGAATTATAGAACGCCATAAGTAATAAAAAGATTAAAAACTCCATGATGTAGTTACAGTTTTTATGTTTCTCACCTGTCCAAGAAGAAGTTCAGCCATGACACAACCTACAGACCACATATCGATCGCGTCTGTATATTCAGTTGCTCCAAATATGAGTTCGGGAGCTCTGTAATACCGTGAACATATATATGATATGTTAGGCTCTCCTGGAACCTGAAGCACCAAGAGAATCAATCACTTATCAATCAAAAGTCTTTCAATAACAAAAACCAACATTTACCTCAATAACAAACTGTCAAATCTAAAGACTTACCAACATTTTGGCACTTCCGAAATCACAAATCTTTAGCTCATGTGTAGTTGTATTAACCTGCAAAACCCCACATCGTTACCAAATTAAAGCAGATAATACTAGTTATTAATGAAACTCACGTTTATGCTAATTCCAAATGCTTACCAATACATTTTGAGGCTTGATGTCACGGTGACACACTCCTACAGCTCGATGCAGGTAATTCATGGCGCGGCAAATCTAATTAAAACAGCCACAAAAAACGTTTCTTAAGTCGCAATAGTTTCAAAAAAACTGAAGAAAGTTGACATTCAAGAAAAAAAATTTAAGACTTTTTTTGGGTCTAACCTGATAAGTGTAAAGCTGAACATAAATCAAAGGCATATGAAGATTCATCTTGGTGTAATGTCTGGAAGCACGGTAAATAGTCTCGGGTACATATTCCAAAACAAGGTTGAGATAGAGCTCTTCTTCTACTTTATCGGTTGTTCTGGAGAAGAAAGAATGCTTAAGCTCCACAACGTTAGGATGCTCAAGCATTCTCATAATCTGAAGCTCCCTGTTCTTGAATCTCTTGTCTTGTAACACTTTCTTTATAGCTACTTGTTCTCCTGTCTCCATACACTTTGCCTCAAAGACAACACCAAAAGAACCTGTACCAATAACATTCTCCGCTCTGTAGGAGATTGTCTGGATAAAACAAAACAAAAAATCATTAATTAGAAAGAGAGATTAGTTTCAAATTTTCAATGATGTAACACACGGAGATTAACCAACCTTGTCTTTTTGCTCATTTACACATTTTCTTCTAGTGGTAATAATCTGTCCAGATTCTGTTTTATTGCAATTGATGATTCCAACTTCTGTATCCTGTTGAAAAACATCCGTTTCGAGATTACAGATCAAAACGAAAACCGAAAAAAAAAAGAAGATCAAAATCAAACAAATAAAATTGAAACCTTGTCATCTCTGTTCCTCATCTCTTGGTTACTCTCTGGAATCTCTACGATTGCAACAGTTTCTCGTGAGCTCTCATCAAAAGCAAACCTCTCAGACTTGGTAGTTCCGCCAATCTGATGGAAAAAAAAATCAGACTTTATAAAATCGTTGAACAGAAAGATCAGTGTTTAAATATAGAAAGAAGATATCGTAATTACGTTATCAGAAGAGACGGAGATGCGTCCAGATGCAATACTCTTCAACCTACGCATCACATTCATCGTTACCAACTTTTAAAACTTTCCCGAAATTGAATTAAAAAAGAATAAAATCAGATTACGAAATTGATTTTCCAGGAAACAGAAGAGCGAGAGAGAGAGAGAGAAACAGAGAGAAAGGCTTAAGCTTTTACTTTTCCCTCCCCTTCCTTTCCCTCCCTCTGCTGTCCAAAACCCAGAAACCTCGAAAGAACAAATACAAACTTGTTTCTCTCTCTACTCTCTCTACTCTCTCTCTCTCTATATATATAATTGTATCTGCGGCGGAGAGACGCTTCTCTCGTTTTACAATGGCAAAGAGAAGACCAATCACATTCTTCGCTTTTTTCTTTTTTTCATACAGAGGTCAAACTTAGATTGTTGACCATTGGTTTAATGAGCTAAGAGGATAATCTAACGGTGGAGATTAAATTCGTAATTGACCAATATAACCTCACTTGTGGGTCAGTTTTACGGAGAAGAGGGATTGATGGAATCTAGATCGCCGCGCGCGGAATATCCGCAACTTTGACTGTTCCTTTGACCATTCTTTTTTGACCGTTTGGTGGTATTTAAAAGGATATTTAAGTTTTGCCGCAAAACAACGCAAAATATGTACACCAGTCACAATAAACCGGCCCATTTATAGCCCATATATAGATAATACGGTGTTGCAACAAAAACAAAAGAAGTTTAGCTAAAACGTAGGATTTGTGTATTTTCCCTAATGATTAACTTTCTCATCAACTCCACCAAGCTAGACAGCTAGTAAGTAGCTGTGATGGCTTGTGAGTTGTGTGATGCTTAAAAAATGGAACCTCCTAATTTTCATCCATATGTCAATCTTTTTTTAAAACCCGTTTAAATGCTTATGCTTACGTTTACAAGAATTACAAGAAACACAAGGATAATCTTGGTGGAATAGGGAACTAATGAAGGAAACAAGAGAGCATAGTAAACTAACTAGAGTGGCACTGGAAGGATCCAGAAAGGGAGAAGTGGTGGTGTGGAGAAGGCTGAGGGAGACTTGGGACGGAAGGAACGTGGTTTTCTAGTGGCGATATCGTAAACACCAAAGCCATCGCCTGCAAAGTAGATGGAGTTAGGATTTAGGCCAGGGAATGAGTTTGCCTTGACACAGAAAGCCTCATTACTGCCAAGGAATATGGAGAGATCTCCAAATGTCCTCTGTGTAAGACATGTTCATATCTTCCTCCTCCCTAAACACCATGAATCGCTTTGTGCCGCAACAATTGGCGAGTGTTATAGTTGAGGAAACCAAATTGATCTTTGAACAATGTGACTATGTGGATGTTATGTTTTTCTTTAGCCTCATATTAGTGTGGCTTCTTTTCTTAAGTGGCTTATGGAGTTCTGATGCTAAAACAATGCAACATGTCTTCTTTATTTGGCTTGTGTGAGTAGAACAACGAAAAATATGTACAACAATCACAATAACCAGTCTTTGGACCAAAAAATAAATGGACCAAACAAAATTCACAATAAACAGCCCATTTGTAGCCCATAAATTCAATAATGCCACTGTTAATAAATGGGCTAATATAGGCGATGGGCCTACAACCTGCCAAACTATGTATTTGTAAAATAATTTGGATGATGTATTTGTTCAGTGAAAAAGTTATGTGAAATGCAGACAAACAACCATGAATTATAAACAAAATCTACTTATACGGTGTTCCAACAACAAAAAGTTTAAATTAAACGTCGGATTTGATTTTTCTTCATAAGGTTGCAATTTTGAAGTTTCTACTAGATTTGCAGTGAAATACGATCTCTCATTTAGATTATAGTCCAAATTAAGTGGCGAACTAGTAATAATACAGTACTACTACTTGACCATCCAAAAAGGAAAAGGTTTTTTCAAGGGCAAAACTCTTTAGATTAATATAGCCCATGAAGAAGTTTCATATACTTTCATGTCTCACCTGCCAAACTCATTTATGAAAGTGTAGAAACAGCATTTAATGCTGCATGCGTTTCATAAGATATTCCCTAAAGTCAACATCTATTTAAAGGAAACTTACCAATCACTTTTATTTATGGGTTATATGTTTCTTTTGCATCACGTCATCCCCAGGATCTTGTACGGCCCGCCAACATTTTTATATACAACATTAAAACACGTGTAGCTATTCTTTACTCAGTTAATTTTAAGGTACGAAAATTCTTGAGTTTCGAGATTCAATCCGACGTGTTCAAGGAGGAAGACATTGCAACACAAAATAAACTTTATTTAAGATGTAAAGAAAGCTGTTTCATTAATGTTTCTCCATCAGCCACACACTCCATAGTCCATACTAATGCAGTTAACAAAATATTAAACAACAATTCCCATTTTTCACCGCCAAAAAGAATTAATCATCAAAATAATTAGTGAGTCAATACCCGAACCATAAAAATGGACAGCCACACGCGCCGGTTCGTTCTCGACTCCAAAAAGAAAAAAAACACATTATACATAACTTGAGCTATATTTATTTATCACATCGAAGAGCAGCTCTGATTTTCTGTACGGTGCACGAGATCAGATTATTAACGGTTTCGATTGATTCCACGTTGAGCTTGGCCGTAGGAAGAGAGTTAACCAGAATCTGAAACGCCACGGTGAGCAGCGAACCGTTTTCTTCCTTCCCTTGACCATCTGGGAGAATCGCAAACCCGGAAGGAAGCAGAGCCACGTAAGCAGAATCTGCACCGTTCATCACAGAGTGCATCGCAGGTATATCAACAGGCGCGTACACAACAAATGCTCCAGATGCGTCTATGCTCGCCTCTTGTAGTATTAACATACTGCTCTGATTCGCACTCATCGCCTGCAAACAAAACAAACAACAAAACTTAAATAATAATAAAATGTAGGGGTAGAAATGGGAATACAATTCTGAGCGAAATTGAAGGGGTAAAAACGGGAAAATGTGCCAATAATGCAGGAAAAGTAAAAAGTCAGTAGAGGGAAAAGAGAAAAAAAGGTCCCAAATGTCTTATTGATATTGACTTATTATCTTTTTATATTGACTTATTTTCCTGCGTTGCATGCTTCCAAATTCCAGATTTGTCCTTTTGCAATCAATCACGACATGATTCATACGACCACAAGCTTTCATTTCAGACACATGCATACATACATATGTACTTACAGTGGAACGGAGGAGGGAGACGGAATTGGAGTGATCTTGGCCCTTGAAGATGTTAGCAATCTCCTGCATCGGTCCACCGTTGGATAAAATATCCCATTCCGATCTCAAAAGCTCATCTCGTAGAAAATCAAAGAGCCGTCTTGGTGAAACCGGGACCCACACGGAGGTGGCGGCGCTTAAAAGAATCCCTGGTGGTTCGCCGGGATCATCCACGTTCTTCCTCGTCATGATCCTCACGTCATCATCGATGTTACCCACCTCAAGCCTGCTCCATTTCTGAGAAGAGGAAGCACACACGCCTCTAGAGAAATTCTCAGTCATTCTTTGGGCTAGCTTTAGCATACTCTTCTTCCCTAGAGAGCTTATAGCTGCATTTTCAACAAACAAAATCAATAAAACCGAAAACATTATTGGGATGAAGTGTTTGAATTAGCGTCTGGAACTCACGTGTGGGTTTATTGTTGTGGTTGGGGATTGTTGAGGACATGAGGATGGTGAGGCTTTCGCATTGCCGTTGCAGAGCGGATATCCACCGTTTGGAGCCGAAGGCGAGACCGGAGCTGACTAATGGACGATACAATTGGTGGACTTTGCTCTCGTCGTACTCGGTGTGATCAATCCATGTTACCTATGAGAAGAAAATGAAGTAACTTTATGATTGTGATTGTAATAGTTACAGAAACTTTGTATTAGTACTTTTTTTTTCAGTTGACCCAATACTTGGAAAAATGGATAAAGAGAAAAAAACATTTAAAATGACATGAAATTTAAATGTGATCAAGAATGTGATCAAGGTAACATAGATTAGAGTTTTCTACATGCTTCTATTCAATTAAATTTAATCAAAGGTCAATGGCAGGACATGACATAGCATATCTCGTACCTTAGAGTAGCCATTGGGCATGTCTTGCACAAGGCAACCAGACGGTAGCCTTCTACAGCTCAGAGAAGACCGAGCTGTGGCTGAACCGTCTCGTTCGCTTATCCTGTCGACAGAGACATCCACGACCGCCCAAACACCTTCTGCGTGTTGTTTACAGAACCTTAAGAAACTCACTTGACGAATCGGCACAAGTGGTGATAGCAACTGAAGCTCTGCTTCCATCTACACAAACCAAACTGTGTTTAATAATTATCTGATCCATTAATTAAATCCACTATGCATGTATGCGTTGTAAAAAAAAAAAAGTTAAGAACCCCTAAACAAGATTCTACCATTGGAGCATACAAAATAAAATTATCTTAACAAAGATTCTTAACAAAAAAATTATGATTAAATAATAACTAAGATCTCATTAAGAGTTTCCCCCATTGCACATGCTCTTACCAGATGAAGAGCACCGTTTCTTGTCCCTCCCATACCACTAGAGATAATTTCGGTAGTCGAATTTCTTGCGATCATACATGGAAACATCTCTGACCATCGTTCCTACAAAATCAACAATCATTGTAACAACATTTTCGAAAGTAGTTTTGTTAGTTGTATACAAGTGTACTAGTTTAAGTTACTAACCGAGTCCATTAAGGTCTCGACGAGGGCTAAGCTATTGATGATAACCATTCCAACTTCTTTAGAAGCTTCTGAGACAAACCCGTCCGGTTTAGGACCAACACAAGAGGTGAAATTTTTGTCGTATTCTTCTCGGTTAAGCATTTCGCGCCTGCCTTTCGAGCACGGGATCCAAAGTGGCTCACTTGTTTGCGCCATTTTCACGAGCTCGTCCATGGCGGAGAGAGCTAATTCCAGATACACTGACTTCTGATCGAGTCCAGTAGCAACATCCGTACTACCGGTACGTTTAACCGGAGCTGCCAAACCGGAGAAGAAGGGAGGTGATGAAATCTCGAATCCAGGAGGTACGAGAGTGAAACCGCCGCCCCCAGCACCACCGCCGTAACCGTTTTGTGAACCGACGCCGAGTTTGAGTGCGGAATTTGGTAAATGGTGTGAACCGGGGGGCTCAACGTCGGACCGGTTAATGAATTTACCGGCTAAGGCAAAGATACGGTCGAGTTCGTCTTTGAGGCGTGAGTTCTCGATTCGCAAGTGATGCTCTTCGAGAGAGATCTCTCCGAGAACGGCGGAGCCACCGCAGTGACCGCACATCGGATTCCTTATGGCTTCCCGTACAGACATGTTCTCCGCTCGGAGCTTATCGTTCTCTTGTCTCAGTAACGAATTTTCATGGCGTTCAATTTGCGTCTACCCGGAAAAGAAAAAAAAAAAAAAAAAAATTATATATACCAAAAACACCTTTTTAAAAAAAAAATCCAAAAAATGACGGTGAAGATGACGAAGAGAACCTTCATTTGAGTACGGCGGTTTTGGAACCAGAACTTGACTTGGCGAGAATCCAGGTTAAGCCGACGGCTAAGATCTAGCCGTTGGTTTTCACCGGGATGAGGACACTCCTTGAAAACCCTAAAAAAACCGAGAAGACGAAGGTTTGGAATTTCGATTAAATTAATTTACTAATCAAAAGGATTTGGGGATTTAATGGATATAATATTACGATTCGAGCTCTTGTATTTGTTGAGGAGTATGTCGGTGGTAACGTTTCTTCTTCTTTAAAGGTCTCTCAGAAGCGTCTAGGTCATCGTCGCCGGAGAGTGCTTCGGCGTTATCGCTTCCAGATCTGCTCTCTGGACTTCTCCGAGTGACACTCACCTCGAAACTCTCACCGGTTCTACCCACCTCTCCTCCGTTGTTATCTACATTCGTTTGCTGCCGGAGAAACAAAAAAAAAGACGTTTCAGAACAAAAAGAAACCCACTAGAAATAATCAAATCCAAAGAAAGAGAAAGAAAATTTAAACGTACGAGACCAAGAGAGAGACGAGGAGAAGAGAAGATGGATTTAACCAGACCACTGGACATATCGGCGGCTGCGGAAGAGAAATGATTTCCACCACCGACTGTTTCGCCGCCGGAGGATTTATCTTCGTCGTCGTGACGAACAAAACCGCTGAAATTCATTAATAATAAACCAGGATAATGATTATCTTAAGATAATATTCTCTCAATTGTTTCTCTCTTATATTAAATCCGTAACGGATGAAAGTTTGTTGCTTCTGTGCATGTTTAAGAAGAAGAAGAAGAAGACGAAAAGCGGTTTCAGATTTGTTCAGACGGAGAAAGGAGATGTGTAATGTTCGAAGCCTTACAATTACTATAAACAGCCAAGAATAGTTTGGTTGACTCTTCACTCTCACCTTTTTTTTTTCTTCCTTTTTTTCTCTTTCACATCCTTATAAAAGTCCACTCTAAGCTTAAATTACAGTCCTACCCTTCTCTCGGACCTTTTTGCTGTGTGTGTTTATATTATGGACTTGAGTCTTGGACAATAGTCCTCTCGACTTCGAGCGAGTGTAAACTATAATTATCAGCTTCTTATTAATAAGAAAACTGTTCATTTGAATGCCACTTACTATTTTTTTCCAAGTTTAGTTTTTTTAATGACATTTACAGAGATGTAATATTTTGTTCAGAAAATTAAATTGTTCATATTTTACATATGAAAAGCAAAGGAAAAAGTGAAAGTGCAATGTGGAGATGGAGATGGGCTGTGGTAAAGTGACTGATTTATTACATGGCCCATGTTCTAAATTTAGTACTACAGAGTTATTGCGATATAACCTAAGATCAATAATTGAATGATTGGATAATAATGGATATGAAAAGCTGTCAAATTGAACTACCTCATTTATAATACATGCTTTCTTGCTTACTCAAAACGTCACCGATTTACAGAAACACAAAAGGCCGGCAGAAAGTATTTATCACCAAGATGTTCACATGTTTTATCACAGTTTAAAAGAAAAATACAAAAATGAAGTGCTAGTTACATTTAATTATTATATTGAGGAAAAATCCAAAATACTTACAGTATATTTCAAAAATATCATAGTTTGTTTTTTAGAAAGTCTTTCGAAATTTTTTAGAAGGTTGGTTACAATTTATAAAGAAAAACGTATTTTTGAAGATGTCCTTAAGATAATACGATTTTTGAAAACATATATCCAGTTGGCAAATACTATATTAAATAAACGAAAAAATGGCAAATACTATAAGAAGTATATAAAAGTAGACGAGTAGACGGTTAATTATAACAATTAAAGCCTTAAAGGTAGTTATCATCATATTGTTAAATATCAAAAGCTATTGACATATGACATAGAAATCAAAAGTTCACACTACTGCATGCAAGTTGTTGTCTAAAAAAGAAAACCAGATGAATGGAACATCTTGTGTTAGCCGACAGCCATCTTTTACTTCGCTTTCAAACCATTTTTTCCAACATGTTCTTTCAAAACCTCAAAAGAATATTATAATAACTGAACGTTTGATTTTCATCCTTCGAAGTACTAGGAGGCTCAAACTCCAAGAAAGAAAATTACATCCTTAATGGGCCCAAGCCCACGTGGAAAACTAGACGAGAGATGGTGCGTGAGACAGAGCGTGATGGGCAAGGCTATTCATCTTTATTACCGGAGGCATTCATTATTGCCAAGGTCTCACTCACACATTGTATCATCTTTCTTCACCGAAAACAAGTAACACTATGAGGTCTCTGCTTCTAAGCCGACTCTCGAGGCTTTCTCTGAGGAAACCACCTCCGCTTGTACTTGTAAGCTTCTCTTCTCTGCTCTCTCTGTAATTGTTCTGTACTACTTTCTTCTTACTCTGATCTATGTTTGAAAAATCCGCAGAGACAGCTCGGTGGTGTTCGATTCTTGTCGAAGACCCCTATCTGCCACATCGTCGGCGCTGAACCTTGTGGATTTACCCCGAGGGATGGGGAAATCGGTAGGCTCGTGATTGCCGAATTTATTAGTGATTGTTTTGGTGATACCAGGGTTCTTGAAAAGAAGGTGCCCGTGAGCCTGATGACAGGACGGGAACGATAGGAGCATCCAACGGCTGGGTGGCTACTCTGAAAGACGGTGTTGTGTGTCTTCAAGATGATCTCATCCCGAGTGCGTCGGACTCAGCGCCGAAGCGAATCTCACTGCCTCCTCTCGAGACTCTGCCTCACTGCCAAACGCAGCTGGTGACTAACGTGGCCATGTCATCCGCTTCCCCTGACGAGGACGAAGACTGCATTCTGGCCGTTAAGTTCGTGGGGCCTCAGCTCAGCTTATGTAGGCCTGCTCTCGGGGACAAGGCCGAGTGGTTCAACATCAGAATCACGGATCCAGGCTTCTTCTCCTCCCGAGTCATGTATTCAAGGAGAGATAAGATGTTCTCCATGCCGGGCTCTGGAGGCACACGCACGGGATCTTGGGATCTTGAAAAACACAGGGACAAACCCAAGTTGCAGACATGGCGCTTTTTAAGGCATCCTGAGTTCGTGCAGACAGAATGGGGGGACATAGATACTTGTTACACGACGGAGCAGTTGGTTGAGTCACGACACACGGGGGATATGTTCATGGTTAAGCGGTTCAGAGAAAGAAACTACGATGAGGGTGACAGGATGGAAGAGAAGCAAATAATGGTGTTCAAGCTAGACGGGGATGAGGGCAGTCGTTGTTACAATGGACATGGAGATGCTATCTACACTGAAGACATTGGAGATCTCTGCATTTTCCTCTCCAAGTCCGAACCTTTCTGTCTCCAGGCCAGCTTGTATGGCAATTTCTCAAACTCCATCTATTTCGTAGACGACAATGGAAATGGAATGTTCAACTACAAGTTTGAGTATTCCAATAAAAAGTATGCAACTTACCCGGCCCCTTACTTCATTCCACCTCAGTCCTACCTTAATGCTTATGTGTAGGGTAATAATGTGGTTGCATCTTAATCTCAGTCTACGTTAGGTTGATGCTTCAATTTTCTCTATTCTCTTCTTGCTTTGTGTTTTACAAGACCTTTGCTATGATGTTATGTTGTGTAATATTCAGATAATGAGTCCGTATTCTCTAGAAATTAAATTCTCTTGTTTTGTGTTACCTGTATGAGATATAGATTGTGCCTTTCGAAAATGGTGGTTGTTAGCTTCCTGGTGAACGATTACTGTCCCCTCTGTAGAAAAGAGAATGTGAACCAAATCTCTTGCGGATTATTAAAGACTAAAATTTTAGGTAGTTGATTAATGATACGTTGGGGGCACTAATTAACTTTTTTTTTTGTTTTGTTTATTTCATAGTATGTTATAAGATTCAAGAATATGACAATTATCATTGAGTTGAATTTATTGTTGTAAGAAAATCAAAAACAAAAAAAACTTAACACCGTAAGAAGTTTAAAAATATAAAACTCAAATCATGAGAGCGCACTTGTATGGTTTTTATCTTCGTCGGGTGCAGGAATAGTCCAATACTGTTTCACCGCATAGTAAATCTTCACTCTTTCATGAGGACCCTTCTCGTGGTCGGCAATTCTACCTTCCCATTGTAACCCTTTGGTTAATTCCTTAACCTTAATTAAAACGTCCACGTCATCTCTTATAATCACTCCACCACCCGGTCTAAGAATCCGGTCCATCTCCAACAATATAGCTTCCGGTTCACACTTATCTTGGTACAAGGTGAAAACCGAGTCAGCATGGATAAAATCATACGTTCGTGGGTACGTCGACATCGCTTCGCACCTAACAAAGAGAACAAGAACCGGTTTAAACTACAAGAAAATTCCGGTTTAATTTTAGTCTGGTTTAAAGCTTACCAGTTTTGATACGTTCCGATTAGACCACGCTCGTAAATGACACCAAGAGTATTGAGCTTAGCCTCGACCGGGACAACGTTCATGACCCAGACGGGATCATCGGCTAGAGCCGCCGCGAATCCACCGAGGTAAGCGTTCATGTCTAGTAAATTTCTATACCTCCCGGTTTCACCCAACTGGTAGTCTAGTTTCTTGTAATAAGAAACTCTCTGTTTCCACAGTTTCGTGTTCTCCAAGAAAGCTTCCGGTGTGATTTCCTCGAGGTCGCCACTGTTAACCCTCGGAGGAACCGCATATAACCGAGCCGGCCACTTCTCTACCTTCCCTCCAGCCACCGTCTTTAGATCCTCCCCCTCATCAACTTCAGGTAATGGCGTCAAACATGAATCCATCTTCGTATACCTGAATCATTCGAAATTTGAAGCCAAATTCTAACATATTTCAATCGTATAGATCAGTGCAGAAACAAATTAATTACCAGGCCATATCCGGATCTTGATCATGACGACAAAACTCCGGATTCTTCAAAACCTGTCTGTTTTTTTTACAGTGAATGTGGTTAAATGGCTTTTGCCAGATAGCAAGATCATCTCTCTGAACAACTTTCTTCCAACACAAGTTTCTCGCGACCTGCTCGATCTGAGTCTGCTCTGCATTTAAATCATCCATCGTCCTTTCCCATCCTTTCCACCGTTTCTGCCAATTAATCGGCGGTCCAGACAGTATCCAATACCCTCCTGGCCTTAAAACTCTATCCACTTCCATCAAGTAAACACCACCTGCAAAATATAACCCAAAGTGTTAAAATCTCAAAAGTGGTCATTTCGTGATTGGTTTAGGGCTTGGAGTCGAACCGTTTTGGCCCCAAGGGATAAGGCAACGAGAGCAATGGGCTAAGTCAAAGGCTCTAGAAGGGTACGGTAAACGTATAGTGGCCATGATTCCGATCATCGCCGGCACACCACGCTCGAGTGCGAATTGGACCTGAGCTTCGTGTGTGTCCCTTGGAGCAAACGACATCGTTGTAATGTTTCTTGATAAAAGATACGCACCGAAGCTAGCCACCTGAAAAATCAAAAGGCACACATTTGAGTATTTGACCGATATCAACAACTTACTTAAAGTCAACCTTTCTTGATTTTGACTCTTTTTTTTTATAACTACTAATTTGATTTTCAACTTTACAAGTTTAACGGTAGGGTATAAGTATAACTACTGAAATAGGTCAACAGTGACATTAGATAATTAGGTGACTCATTAGTGGGACAGATTCAGCAACCAAAAACGTTGAAAAACTAATTGATGATAGCGCTAACTCCAAAATTTAATTGTTATTATTTAACACATTATCAAATGGATTTAATTTAGATATGATTAGATATGGATATGCATGAGAATATATATCGGCAGTTAAGTTGGATTAATTAATTATAAATCTAATCGCGTGAAATGTTAACAGATTATTCGATTGAACAGATTGATAGGGACAAATATTCTGTTCTTTTCTTTTGAAGTATTGAATAAATAATTAGTAAGCACAAATATAATATTAGAGATAGGCAAAATTAAGCAGAACCGGATGGTTCGGTTTAATCAGGATGGGAAAGAATTGCACGTACCCCGCACCCGGTATCGATGGCGGTACGGATAGAGCCGTCGCTGAGATCAATCAACCGTCCGATATCGTCAATGTACGCATCAGCACCACGTGGAAACATCGTACCGCCACCAGGAAACCAAAAGCGATCGTTCTCGTACCGGACCCAATTCTGGTTCTTTTTCTCAACCGTAAGCTCCGTGTGAGGCACATTGGCGAACCACGCCACGTCACGGCTCTCCGGCCACCGGAACGGCGTCTTGTAACCGTACGGCGCCGGGATTCGGCATTTTAGGATTTCGTCTCTCTCGGGACAATGCCTTTGCCTGTACTCCAACCTTTCCCTGGAGAACTTCAGCGATCGCTTCACGTCTTCGCACGGCGTGCTCTCGCTCAATCCAGCGTCGCACGACGGGAAACTCACGGCGGTTTCCGTTACCGGAGGTGGATCATGAGGGTTGTGGTGCGCGTCGAAGTCGAGATCCTTCTCGGAAGTGCTTCTGGAGAATTTCTCGCACGGTGCGCCGTCGGAGTCATCGAAGGCGGCGCGTGGATTCACCGCCGGGTTTCGCCAAACCCCGAGAAGGTAGCTCCCGACGCAGAGGAGCGCCACGAGGGTTACGTAATAGAGATTGGACTTCTTAGTCCTCGATGATATTCTAGTGAATAAATTCATCTCTTTTAAACAAAAGAATCAATGACTCTGAGTTTTAAGAAACCCAATTGAAATATATATACGTCAGTGTCACTGTGTGTATGTATATACACACGCAACGACGAGAGACGGAAAAAGAAGAAGAAAAAAACGATGAGAGCCGAATCAAATGTGTGACGAGTGAAATTTTCAAGGGTTGATATGAAGTAGTTCGAGGGTAATATAAGGGAGGAGAATCAGGGAGCGAGTGTGAGAAACGCGCCTTGAGGTCAACGCGGATTAATGTATCGTTCGTGAGAGATTAGGCTAAAACGTGGGAGCTTGTCATAGGCGACAATGGGGGAATTATTTTTCCGAATTTTCATCCATCAAATTATTTTAGAATTTTTTTTTTTCTTAGTAAAGTTAGGGATTGCATATATTCATGCATTTGTATTATGAGCAAGATATCTTTTAACGATTAGAATTTAGTATTTCTTTAAATGTTTTCTCTTACCATCTTATTTAAATCAAATCGACTGGAAAATTCCTTGTATGTGAGAGTACACGTGCCGATGAAGCGCGTGTGGTTTCGATACAGATATATACAACTGTAGGTGGGGTCCATTTGGGTCCTTTGGACGCAAAGAGACGCAATCCCTTTTGCACTTTACTCCGGTACGAACTAATTTAACCGTAAACCAAAGCACTTTTTTGAAGAACTTCTCGGTTCAACAGAGAAAATCACATAATGTATATTATTACCCTGGTCAAGCCTAAACTGAGATTCTCTTTTGCTCTGTATATACGCCAATTTTAAGAATGAATTGAACTTTTTCTGGGACCAGATGGTTTTAAACCTTGCGGGGATGTGAAGAAACCCCAAATAAGCAAAGTGTGTTCAACATTTGGAATCGCAAAACGCAGTCAGAGTTTGAATTTGGTGTTTGGTTTTTGTTTGCGGTTATGTGCTTACCTGTCGAGTTAATTTTTGGTACTTTCAAAAATCAGACCTTTGCCCAACCCCAACGTTGAGATTCTTGTTTCAAACTTCACTGAGTTTAGGGTTTCTTTTGGGAATACAGTGTTTACTTGGGGAAGAAGATAGGGCAAACAGCGTTAAACCGATTACCAGACTAATGATGATGATTATCATCCATGGAAACTCGAACATTTAGGTTGGAGATTTGGCTCTACTTTTTTTTTGTCTCCACTAGACTAGAGCCTTAATTTAGAGTTCATTAAAAATCCGAGTTCATTATATAATCATTATCCATGCAGATAAGTATTTAATTTATACGAGGACTTATAATAGCAGCAAATCACTCAAAAGGACCAACGGGAACTTTCTCAAATGCTTCTTCCATAAGCTTCAAGGTGTTTTGATCTTGGGGCGTGTCGGAAGCAACTGTGTTTTTTTTTGGAGAGAAACGAGAATCAGAAGAGGAAAGTTATGTGTGACAAAATAAGATCAGAAGAGGGAAGTGGTAATTACCTGGTAACATGAGATGATGGAGGTGACGAATCCAAAAGCTCCGGTGACACGAGGAGTGATCTTCTTTGGAGATAACTGAAGAAGACCAGCTGCTACAACAATGTCCATGGCTGATTTGATCAAAGCAAGAGTCCTCTCGTTCGATTGTTTAAGCTTAGCACGATACTCCTCATCCTGCATTTTACACAATTGACACAAACAGGAATTGAGTTTATAATATAACATTTCCCTTAGAAACAGAGGTTTTTTGATAAAAAAAAAAAACAGAGAACATTACGTGATACTTGTTGCTGTTCTTAAGTCCCTTTTCGATCTTCTTCATCGATGAAGAAAGCCTTCCAATCTCACCAATCTAATTAATAACAGAGGAAACCGATTTTATAAGAAGAAGCCAAAAATGTAATCATAAAGAAATAAATAAAACGACGGACCTCAACTAAAGTTGTACAGACAGATGATCCCATCCAGCAGAAAAGCGATATACGCCCAAGTAACTCAGCTCTCTCTTTGTTCTGTGATGTGATAAACATTAGCCCACACATGAAAACACTTCAAATGAAACTAGCTGTTCACGGGTTTGATTGTCACTGACCTTATATATCCCTGATCTCCCAAGCCAGACAATTTGATCCAGAAACAAGAAGGTGGATAAAAGTGCATTCTTCGACTGAAAAATAACAAAACAACCATCATTTTGATCGACCATAACAAAGATATGAAACTAGGGAAGTATTTGAATGAAGATGAAGAGCTCTGTGAAGCACCTTTCCAAGTAAAACAAGAGCAAGTGGAGTCCCTTTAGGCACAGGGCTGATAAGACCATGTAAGTCATTGACAAACTGCAACAATATCAGTTATAACAAAGCCAAAATTACTAATCACAAGGTAAACAAAGAAAGTCGAAACAGCAGAAGAAGAAAAAGGATTAACCTTGAAAAGACGGAAGACTTTCCTGGCCAAGCTAGTGGATTTGTCGACATTTTGGGCAGTACCAGGTTGTCCATCGCTCAAGAACTTGGAACCATACTGTATAGCTCTGCACAACTTATCCCTAGCCTCTGCTTTGTTCAGATACATAACCACGAGAGCAAGCTCGGCTCTTGATACATCTAACGTAGTCGCCATCTTCTCTCTTGAAAATGGTCATAGTATAGTCAAGAGACACATAGAACTTTCAAAACCGTGACACAATTGCTACTCAAGAGGCAACAAATTTCCAGCCTTTACAACTAAAAATTTCGAAACTTGGAGTTGTTTTTGATCGAAGAAAACCGAAAATGATTAACACACGAGGAAGATCAGATGGTACAATCCCAAGATTCAAATAAAAAACTTGGAAACAATCAGATAAAATCAAAATACCTTTGGAGATGATAGGAAGACGATCTTTATTAACACCTTCCAAGAGATGTGTGAACGGAGAAAGGATAGATTTAAAAAGGGAATTAGAGAAATAAGGGAAAAAGAAAAGAGATTCTCACAGTGCCTCTGTTTTTGGAACGTCAGCTATTGTTTTGTCGTGATCGGAGGAGATAGGGCTTGTTTGGTCATCTTCGTTTCCCGGTATACAAACAAAAACATCGCCGTTGGTCAACGCAAATGACATCCGTCATTCTCAGCCGTCGATTATGTTGACTCACCAGTGCTTCTCCCACACTTGATTATCTCTCTCACTCTGCTTGCGGAAGTTGAGGATATCCCGCGCGTCAGAACCACGTGGCACACATATCTAGGAAAGGAATTTTTTTACCGCCTCGAACTATTTTTTGTAACCATTTTTTTTTCCGTCGGTAAGAACTGTGAAGCGATTTACCTTGTTGGTGACGGAATTGCGTAATAAAAGTTGCATACACTGAAATTTCTAAAACCCATTAAAATTTCCTTATCGCTCAATTGCTCTAAAATCTTATTTGTAATATTTCCTTTTTTTTAATTGAGAATCCTATATAATCTTCAAATAGTCGTCCTCTCTTGCTAAAAAAAAGTTCTCCAAAACGACTTTTATTTTCCCTACACATCCAAATTTCCTCAACTTCTCGCCAGTCGACGTTCTATACACACTGTAAGTAAATTTCTATCATGGTCGACATACACATACATATAACTTTTGTGAGTTACAAAATTATTTCTCATGTGTGACTATATAATTATTACACAATAATACAAAGACGTATCATAATCTCTTCATAGGTATTTTCTGATGAAGCATTGTTCCCCCCTGTAAAACTTGTTTTCTTTCTCCATTGTTGTTGTTCTGTCGCGAGCGTGATTGTCCATATAGGTTATGTATTGGTTCCAAATCCTTAACGAAGATTAATGAGCACAGCTAATTAAAAGCCCAATGGACTTTGAGTTTGGCCCAATAAAACATTAAACCCGCTCTTCTCTAACCGACAAAAACCTTGTCGTTAGGGTTTTACATACACTAATCGTCGTTGTTCACTCGTCTCTGAACTGAAATTAAACAAAACAAAACTGCAGTTTTTATTCTTTTTTCGATGGAGCTCAATAAGGATCAGGCAGGCATGTCGGAGAATAATAAGCCTCAAGATCCAGATCCCAGATTCGCTCGCGAAGGTTACAGCGTTTTGCTCGACGTCAACGATGGAGACCGTCTTGTCTTTGCTCGTCTCTCTAGTGGCGCGTGAGTCTTCTTCAGATTAAAATTACTCATAACTCAATTATATCGATTGAATTTGGTTTTTGACTTCTTTCACTCTCTTCTCTTTGTCTTCGTACAGTATATTGAAAATTGGGAATAAGAATTACTCTTTAAAGCCATTGATCGGAGCTCCCTTTGGATCTCTGTTCCAAGTCGAAAACGGAGAAGAAGGTTCTTTCCTCTCTCGCATTCTACCCGTTAAACAAGGTTTGTGTCTCTCCCATAATCACATCAAATCCTTTTTGCTGAATATAAGAGAAAAACCAATTTTTTTTTTTTTTTTTGAATTTGGTCTAACTGATGTTTGCTAATCCCAGAAAATAACAGTAGTAATGTCATCGACGATTCGAGAGATAATCGAGAACTTGTCGACAATAACGAAGCCCAAAACCTTACCGGTGAAGAAATTGAAGCTATGCGGAGGTTAGAAGAAGACTTAATTCTCTCTCTGTGTAGATAATGTTAGATGCACACATTGGAAGATTTTGCTGACTTTTTCGATTTTAATGTGTAGAGAGGGTGCAAAAGGGGATGAAATTATTGAAGCTCTAATTGCAAATAGCAAAACTTTTGATAAGAAGTTTCAGTTGTCTCAGGTATGTATTTACAGTCTAATCTCTCTCGCTGCTTCTACTTTAAACAGCAAAGTTAATCTTTAGTTTTTGTTTTGTAGGAAAAATATAAGCTAAAGAAGCAGAAGAAATATGCGCCTAAGCTGCTTCTAAGACGGCCTTTTGCTCGAAGGTGTGTCTTCGGTTTTTTCTTTTTTCTGTCTACTTTTGTTTTTCACTTCTTTCGATTTTCTCTTATTTTCGGTTCTCTTTATGTTTACCAGTATATGTGAAGCTTACTTCAAGAAATACCCAGCCAGAATCGGGTAAGTATATATCTTCTGTAGATTCGTAGTCTTTGTTTTCCTCTGTTGAGATTTGAATTCCTCTTGGTTTGGTGTTGATTGATTGTGTATCCTTTTTTTTCTTGGTATTGTTGTGTTGTAGATTCTTACGAGTAGATGCGTTATCTCTTTTGTTAACAATGGCTAATGTCACGGCATACTCGGATGTGCTTGTGGTGGATATGGTTGGTGGCCTTGTCACTGGTGCAGTTGCTGAACGATTAGGAGGTAGAGAGCTTTTCTTTATATAGAACTACTGCATCTAGGATTCACTGTCTGATTTATTTCTGTAACAATGTGATGTATGATTCTTTGAAACAGGCACTGGTTATGTTTGCAATACGTATAAAGGAAACTCCCCTTATCCTGTGGAGATGGTGAGGATGTTCAACTTTAGTGACAAGGTTATAGAGAGGTAATGTTCGATTGTCTCTTTAAGTCCTTTTACTCTCTGTTGTTTCTAATTGAAGCCGTTATGTAATTTGACATTTTTTGGATATGTGGTTCCCTTTCTGTGTGCAGGATCGTGCAGTCATCTATAAACGAGCTCTCATCAGCCAAAACTGCATCTCCTGAAGAAAACAATCAACAAGAAGGAGTTTACAACTCTGAGATTAATATCAGTGTAAGTTGCCAATTCTGAACCGTTTCACATTGAGTCTTAATTTGATAGCTCTTCTGATTTTAACCGAAGGTTTCAAAATTGAAAATTTGCAGGAACCATCTACATCTGATATGGTAGAAGATACACCTGTGACAGCTGAGGCTACAGTAGTGGATATTGTTGTCCCAGAGAGCAAAATTATCAAGTCGCCAAAAGCTGGAGCCAATGCTTCGAAAGAAGCAATAGAAATGTGGAAAGAAAACGGTTTCTCTAGGTAAGTACTATATATATAACTGTTTCTCTATGATTGAAATTTTTTCTCGGTTTGTAAATGTCGTCACTTATGTCGTCGTCTGAATTGCAGTTTAATAATGGCTGCACAAGACCAAGACCCATGGAGCTTAGCCAAAGATGTATTGCCACTGCTCTCGTACTCTGCTCCGTTTGCAATATATCATCAGTATTTACAGGTATGGAGCTTAGCCAAAGCTTTTTTCAGTATGTTTGGTTATAAATTTTGCATAAGATCAAAATCTCATACTGTATGATGAAATTTGTACAGCCTCTGGCGACATGTATGCACAACCTTCAGCAGGGGAAGATGGCGATCAATCTGCAAATAACAGAACCGTGGCTACGTGAATATCAGGTATGATCAAATTCTTATTTTTTTCTCAAATCTCAATAGAATAATAGATCATCGATGAAGAGGTGCTAATAGATTAAAAAAAAATGCAGGTGCTTCCCTCAAGATCACACCCTCACATGCAGATGAGTTCTTTTGGAGGCTATGTTCTAAGCGGCATCAGAATCTCCACCACTTGATTATTGTTTCCAAACCAAACCCCATTGCTTCTTATCATTTTCAAGAATTGAGGTTTGATGTTGTTTGATCTTTTTTCCCCAAAAAGGTCTTTGTATTTGTTTGTTGTTGCGAGATATAGGTTGCTGAGATTATAGGAAAACTTCATTTTTGATATATATACTCTTTTGTTTTTCAATCCAATCTATATAGTTTATTAATAAAAAGGTCGATATATGCTAATATTGAAAATTGTACAAAATCTTGTAAAGTAAGATCTTAATCTTACAGATGATCAAATGCATTAATATAAAAAGACATCATCATCATCATTCTTCTTACTAGTATTACCATTGGCTTCATTAAGATTATGAAACATCACAAAATACACTTATATATACGAAATTACATATATTTTAATAATATAAGATCAGCTTCATTTTCTTCCCCATTCTACTTCCTACCAAAGAAACTTCTCAACTTCCCTTTCTCAATCCTCTCAAGAAGCTTCTTAGAACCAGGAACCTCCAATTCCGACAATTTCTTCAGATAACCGACAGCTCCATACGACACCATCAGCTTCTTACACTTCCTGCTTGAACACAGAGCCGCCAAACCCGAAACCGCATACTTTTTCGCCGAGTTGCTCGGACTCGGCTCAAGCAACATCACAAGACTCGTCACGCTCTTCTCATCTCTCTTCACTTCTCTGCAGTTCCTCGGAACCGTTACGAGACTCGCTATAGCTTGAGCTGCAACCTCTCTAGCTCCACTCGCTTTCGCCTCCAACATTCTTATCAGCAAAGGGATGCAACCCGATTCACCGATCATTCTCTTAGTCTCATTCGATGTAGCAATCCTGCAAATCGTCGACGCAGCTGCTTGTTGAGCTCCGATTGATCCTGATTTAAGAACATGGACTAAACTTGGGATTATCTGCAAGCATGTTTCATCAGAAACAGAGCCAACAAGGTTCCGAATCGCTGCAACTCCTGATTCTTGAGGGAGAGGTCCGTCTAAGTAAGCGAGCAGAGTCTGAATCCCGTTCTCTGATATGACCGATCTTCGAAGAGCTTCGTTGCTCGAAGTGAGATTCTGAAGACACTCCGCTGCGTATTCTTTAGATCCCAACAGAATCCCACAGTTTAGTATGTTAATCATCACTTTAACGATTCCTTCTTCCGCTAGATTCTGTCTTACTTCAGGGACAGCGGAGATGTTCTTCAAAGTACAAGCGGAAGCTGCTTGAGAAACAGAGTCCCCTGTTTTGCAAATCTCGATCAACGGACTAACCCCACCGTGACCAACAATCGAACGCGCCGTCTCTGACGAAATCGACATCCTCTGCAACGAGATAACCGCTTTCTCTTTAGCTACTGGACTTCCGGATTCCAGCAGCCTTATCAACGGAGGCAATGCGTTCTCGGAGACGAGCCAGTTCTCGCAACCGCCTGATTCTGCTAAAGAGCAGATCACAGTCACAGCGTTTTCCCTAACGCTAGGCGAAGTGGCGGTCAAAAGCTGCACCAAAGACGCGACATTGGTCCGGCCTAAAGCGGTTATAACCGCTTTTTCGTCTTCTTTCATTACCTCGAGGAGCTGCTCAAGCGCTTTGCGTTTAGACTCCAAGTGACCTATCTGAAGCCGAGCAAGCAATTCTCTAACGCTGAACGTTTCCAGGTCTTGAATCGAAGAAGATAATGGCTGCGAAACCTCGCCTAGAACGCCTGTTTTCATCAGCAGTCCACAGTCTTTTAAGCTGAGATCGATTTTGGCTGATAGAGAATCGAGATCGCTCTGCATCTTCAGTTTCCCTTCTTGCTTCTCGTTTACGCATACGATTGCGAGCTCGATGGCTTCTCTCAAGGTTTCTAAGACCGCTTGGAGTTGCTCTTTGCAGAGAGTGTTTTTGGAGAAACAAGGATGGCTAGACAAATCCGATAAACATGTCGGTATCTTCTCTAATCTTGAGATTATCACTCTCCATCTGCTGGAGAAACCTTTCACTGTTCTTGCTTTGGACAAAGCAACCGGGACAAGCTCTTGTGCCTGTAATAGCAAATCTTCAACTGTTGGATCAAGCAGAACTTCGTTTCCGGTTTTCTCCTCCACCATGATCACACAAGCTCTGTTTCACTGAATTGCACAGAAAAGAAGAATACAAATCAAATTAGCGAGCTACAGAGAACAAAAACCAAAATCCAGAAAGGATCAAATATGCCTTGATGAGATAAAACTGGCAAAGAATTGATCTTTAGTTTTGTAATGGAAAGATTAAAAGTGGGGAGCAAAAAGTAATGAAGGGAGTAGTTGAATGAGTGATGAACAAGTTGGTAGATATGTTATAAATAAGGACACGGATTTAAAAACAAAAACAAAAAGGAAGAAGCCATCAAAAAGAGTTCTTGAGAATCTTGAAAATGATCACAGAAAAGCTTTCGATATTTGCTTGAGAACAAAACCCTACCAGACAAAATTTAACAAGTCATTTTCCAGTTTCCTTTACTCCGTCGGTGTGAACATTAATTGCCTCAAAAGCTAATGATAAGATAATAAATAAATAGGAAGAAGCATCATCCGTCATCATCTTATTATATATGAGAAATATTTAAATGAAAGGCTCAAACACTTCTGGAAAATTGAAGGAAAAAGACAAGAATACCCTTCTGAAGAACAAAGACTGAGAGGAGAGCTCCAAACACAGATAAAAAAAAAACAAAGATTTGATGATTAAGCTGGTTTAGAGGAAAATTAATAAAGAGGCTTTACATAAGACTTTGTTTCAAAGAGAAGATGTGAGTCTCTTTCAACAAATCGTGTGCTTAAAATTTTCATAAGAGTTCGAACCAAACTCCACTAACACTACACAGAAGTTTGGTGACAAATCCACAACTTGTCTTTACTGCAAGAAAAGGAAAAAAAAAAAAAATACCTTTTCCCCTTAAAGCTTGTGTGAAATACTGAAATGCAAGAGAATCAAACAGAATATGAAGAAAAATTGAAACACAGGGAAGTTCTTTAAGAATAAACAATATAAATTCCCCCAGAAAGTGGAAAAAAATTACCTGGAAACAAAGAGTGTCTAACGAATTTGTGTGCAGGAGCACTTTGAATTTCGAAATTGTATCAAGACAAAAGTAGAAACCTTTCCTTCTCGATGTTTTCAAGCTATGGCGAGTCTTCAGAGACTCTTTTTCAAACAGAAGCAGCTGTGTCAGGGTAAGTTAAGTCAGCTTTAGATTTGTTCTGTCAGAAACGTAACGCACGATTTTTTTTTCATCGTATCGCGAGAATTTTCAAATTTCGGTGATCAAACGGCTCTACTTTCATCTTGGAGAGCCTAATCGAACGATTGGGATATGATTGAAATTTGAAATGGCTTAGTGATTAGCTGACGTGGACATGTACCTGGTCTTCTCGGGAGCGTCACGTGTGCGGAAGTCAAGAAAATCGCCCTTGTGTGTTCGTTAAATTCACGAAAGTGCCATTGAGTTTAGTAGTATCAACTTTTGAGGCCCAGAAAGGAGAAAGTGTCGAGGGGACCGAGGCGCGTGAGGCTTGTGGGCCTTATTAACGTGCATGAAACGGCACGCACTTGTCTGCTAATGCTGTTGAGAGAGAGAGAGAGAGAGAGCGTCGGTTTTTGTGATTTTAATTAATGTATCATTAAGGTCATTAATATCACTCTTGAAGTCTTGATTAGCTGATCGATCATCAAGCCAAAAAATAACTCGATCGAAATAATTAGTACTAAGCCCTATCTCATCCTTCATACACGAGTCACATTTCAGTATAAATAAACCTACACATGTTTCAGCAACTCCACAATATTAATTATAAAAATGTTGTTAATTTATAAGTTAATCATGTAACTACTAATTTATTGTAAGTATTGTCATTTTACTTCTGGGCTTCAAAGTTGGATCGCGTCATCAGAGTTTGCAGTCCATATAAAGATGGGCCTAAATTGGAAGCTCAATATCAATTTTAAAAATCCCTTTTTAAAGGATTTCAGATCACTTACCAACAATAACAATGAAGGTTCCAAAATTCATCATATCTATCAATTTCATTTCTAGATCGATTAGTTTCTACTACGAAGATTGATATTCAGGCTCCAAATGGGATAACAATGCAATATCTATCTTCTGCAATGCGACACTTGCGACTGAAGAAGCGCTCAGATACACAATAAACTCAAGGATAAAGGAACGAACTTTTACTTAAATTCAACTCCAAGATCCATACTTTAAAACTCAAGTGATCAACAAACAAAGTTTACTAGCTCAAAATCATCCAAAACTAAAAAAAAAACGAAGGAAGAAGAAACTAAAGGATAAGAGATGTGGCTGAGAGAGCAGAGTCATCTTCTTCACTGAACGAGACCCTTTTTCCTGAAAGAGCAACCGTCAGTGAGATGTGCCTTTCCTCCTGTGGGTTGGCACAGCACAGTCTGGCAGTTTCCACACACCACAACCGTCTGCGAGTGGCTGAACACCGTCGTACTGCAATTTCCACACAACACATTCATTAGCAAAAACATGGACATTTCGGATAACAAAGTTCTAATTTTTAAGAGAGTTTTTTCAAAACTTACATGTTGAAGCAGCCTTGGCATTTCACATCCTACATCAACCACAACACGTACAAAGAAATACGAATCCAATCAGCACCATCAAGAAGTTAAATGAGGACCAAACATAAAAAACTCAATTACACAACCGTTCCTAAACATCCGAAAATGAAGAGTGAAGCAAAAAAAAGTATTCAACTTTCAATTACCATGAAAAAGGAATTGGGAGACTGAACAAGGCGCTTGAGCTTGTGCTTCCTCTTCTCAAGCTCAGCAGGTGGGTTAAGCAGATCAATATCGTTTTGAAGAACCTGAGATTTTATTCAAACACACAGTTTTATCAGAACCAATCAAATCACGAAAACCCTAATTAAAAATCTCTCTAAACCAAAGAATTGCATTCAGAGAAGAGGACATGATAAACTACACGCAAATGATTCGTTTCTTCTTTGTTTTCCCCTCACAGAAACTCTCAGATTCTGCGATAAAATGGAATCAAGGCGTCTAACAAAGAAAATCGAAACGAGATTGAAGAATCGAGAACTAACCATCTTCGTTAGTAGCTGGTAGAGATGACAAGCCTTAGAGAGGACACAATCAGCCGACAAAATGCTTTTGAAAGTTGCAAACCCTAATTTGCATAAACAACAACGCCTTATAAACTGTCCAAGAACCGACCTATCCCTATTTCCTTACTAAAGTGCGCCCTCGTTATTTAGTTGATAAATAAATTTCCCGAATTCAGTTGAACCGGCCGGGTTGGTCGAAGGCGAATGATTAAGGTTCCGGTCCGAAAAGGTAGTGGGTTCGAACACCAATTTTTTATTTATCTTTTCGAACATAAAAGTTTGGGCTGACGTATTCGGCTCAGTATACACTTGATCGATTGGGCTGAGCAATGGACCATATAATAATTTCAAAGGTCCCACATTATTAATTTCCCAAATTAAATTTTTTTACCCATCAAAAAAGAAAAAATCATTTATAACAAATTTTAAATGCATTTGCTCAGAAGTCGCAACTTTTCAGCCGAAACGTCGTCGTGACCTCTTTTTTTCTCCCTCTCTTTCCCTTCTCTCTGTTCTGTGTGAAGTGTGAACGCTCACTCAAACGAAGAAGACGCTCTATCTCTTTTGCCCTCGCCGGAACTTATGCAGTTCACCGACGGAGACGACGATGACGACTTCCAGATCCCTCCTTCCACTCAGCTTTCGATACGAAAACCCCTTCAGCCAACCAACCGTAACATCTCTCAGCCCCCTCCAAAGAAGAAGCCCAGGCTAAGCCGTAATCCGGGGAAGGAGAATGTTGCTCCGACTCCTGAATTTAGCTCCGACCCAGATTTCTCATCTGGGAATTACGCGCCGAGTGCGGATCTTCTGGGCTCTTCTTCTACTCCAGTGTGTAGCTTATTAGATTGTATCCCGTCGAGTGTTGATTGCTCAGCTGGAGATTTCGGTGAGCCTGTATACTCTCTCGGTGTGGAAACAGAAGACGAACAAGTTTTATTTGATACAAAGGAGAGGGATGACTGTTTTAAGGCGAATCGGGAGGGTTATTTGTGCAATTCTATGGAGGCTAGGTTATTGAAGTCGAGAATTCAACTCAGGTTTGACGGTGGAATCCATGAGGACGAAGGGTTTGTTGAGTCCGACTCTGAGCTTGACGTGTTGATAAAGCTTTGCTCTGAGGGTAACAGTGGAGAGTGTAGTGTAGGCAAGGACGATTCGATTCAGTGCCCGCTGTGTTCAATGGATATCTCAGCTTTGAGTGAAGAGCAGAGGCAAGTTCATAGCAATGAGTGTCTTGACAAGTCACATAATCAGGCTCCTGAAAAAGTAAGCTTCTTTCTTTGTTATCTCATAGCTTTTTTTTCGGTTCGGGAACTCGCTCTCTGTGAATTGATATCAACCAGATTATGCTGATAGTTTTACTTCATTCCGCCATTGATTGATTGCTAACTTGTAAACTTGGTGTTAGGACTCTCCGAGGAAATGCGAGAATTCCTCATCTTTTATTGAAGAATCTGTTGATGATCCAGTTCGGCATCCACAGCTAGTTAATGATCATCTCACTCCGGTGCTCAAATGGCTTAGGAGTCTAGGCTTAGCTAAATATGAAGATGTGTTTCGTCGTGAAGAGATCGATTGGGATACACTTCAGTCACTCACAGAGGAGGTAATGGAAACAAAAGCTTGATAAGTATCTTCACCGAACTGAGGAACATACAAATTTTCTTCTTTTTTATGTTTACATAAACAATTAGGATTTGCGAATTGACGAGGTTATAACTCCACAGGATCTCCTGAGCATCGGTATCACGTCACTTGGTCCCAGAAAGAAGATTGTGAATGCGCTTAGCACACTTAGAGAAGAAGCCTGTGCTGAAGCGCAGGCACGGTCTCTTTGTGGAAGCAGCCGTGTTACAGAGAGACAGAGGGACAAGTCAACCAATCGTAAGGCAAGTGAGCCCAAGAAACCAACAGCCAACAAGTTGATTACAGAGTTTTTCCCTGGTCAGGCCACCGGCAGCACGAAGATCCGTAAGTCCCCTAAAGAAACTGCCACCGAAAAGAGTCCATCGGATTCGGGATGTCGACGTGCTGTGAGAAGAAATGGCAACAATGGAAAATCTAAAGTCGTTCCACAGTGGAATTGCGTTCCGGGGACACCTTTTCGAGTGGTAATTCTCCATAACAAGCCAGGCCATGGTTTTTTCACTTCTTTGTAGATAGTTCTCCTTCTGACTTCTGAGTGCTGAATCTTTGTGTTTGGTGACTTTCTGGTTTAATGCAGGACGCATTCAAGTACCTCACACGCGATTGTTGCCATTGGTTTCTTACACACTTTCATCTCGATCGTAAGTAGTATGCCTGATTATATATATTTATACCACACTAACACAGAAGAATCCTGCACATCTTTGGAAACAATGCTTAAAAGTCTCTGGATCCTCATTTACAGATTATCAAGGTCTGACAAAGTCATTTAGTCATGGGAAGATATACTGTTCCTTAGTTACCGCAAAGCTGGTAAATATGAAGATTGGGATCCCTTGGGAGAGACTGCAAGTCTTGCAGATTGGCCAGAAGGTTAATATTGCGGGCATTGATGTGACATGCTTTGACGCAAACCACTGCCCTGGATCCATCATGATACTCTTTGAAGCAGCCAATGGTAAGGTACGTTGTGAAATTAGACATATCTAATGTGTATTCATCAGCATCTGTTTAACATGTCAATCATAAAATAATTGTCCATGGGATTTGTTGATTTGTATAGGCTGTTCTACAAACGGGAGATTTTCGGTATAGTGAAGAGATGTCAAACTGGCTAATGGGTTCGCATATCAGCATTCTTATCCTTGATACTACATACTGTAACCCCCAGGTTAGTCATGCATCATTATTGTATCATATTGTAGCATCCGGTTTATATCGGTATTTGAAATCCATTTGTGCCTCAAGTTTCTCTGCATGATTCCTCTATTTCTACCTTTTTTATTCCTTCCGGAGAGGGAAAGAGAACTTCCTATGATTGTATTGATACAAATGGCATCATTTGTTGCAGTATGACTTTCCAAAGCAAGAGGCGGTAATACAGTTTGTTGTCGAGGCTATACAAGCAGAAGCTTTCAATCCCAAGACCCTTTTCTTAATTGGAAGTTACACCATAGGTAATATATGTTTTTCGCTTATTTTCTGAATCGGTATAACATGTTGAGACCGGCTTATTCTCATGTGTATATCATCTTTTGTTTGAAAGGAAAGGAGAGGCTGTTCTTGGAAGTTGCACGTGTGCTACGTGAAAAGATCTACATCAACCCTGCGAAACTAAAACTCCTCGAGTGCTTGGGGTTCTCCAAGGAAGATATGCAGTGGTTTACAGTGAAGGAAGAAGAGAGCCACATTCACGTTGTACCCTTGTGGACACTTGCCAGTTTTAAACGGCTGAAGCATATAGCTAACCGCTACACAGTAAAGAAACACATCCTTTTATTTATTTTTAGCTGATTTCTTTAGAAGATGAGTTCTTTAGGCTATTTTTCTGTCATGCAGAACCGATACAGCCTTATCGTTGCATTCTCTCCTACTGGCTGGACATCTGGTAAAACCAAAAAGAAGTCTCCTGGAAGAAGGTTACAACAGGGTACTATAATAAGGTAATTGAATTCGCCATCTTCAAGTCCTGTGGTGCATTGAGCTCAAAAATCATGAGAATCTTAATGTGTAATTTTTTCAGGTACGAGGTTCCATACAGTGAGCATAGCAGCTTCACAGAGCTGAGAGAGTTTGTGCAACAAGTGTCGCCTGAAGTTATCATACCGAGTGTTAACAACGATGGACCCGACGCTGCAGCTGCAATGGTGTCTATGTTGGTTTCTTAGCTCTCTGTTCTAACATTGGCGATTAAGCTCATTGGCTGCTCAAGTTTGCAACAAAAGATCGCCAAAGATTGAACAAGGAAATAGATGTCTAATTAAATGTAGCAATGTAACCACATGATTATGTAATGGTATGTATTGTTATCGTTACTTCAACTCTTTGGCCTGGTTTCTTTAGAAGAACTAATATTACGCAAGTCTTCGAAATTAGGTCTATAAAATGAAGAAGATTAACAAATTTATCAGCTTTCATTGATAAGAAGATTGCAGTCAAATGAAGAGAAAACAGATATCTGTGAAGAAAGATCCTTAATAAGATAGATCAAGTACTCTACTATGAATCGTTCAAGGAATACATTAGGGTTCCGTAGCTGCAGATATTACAAAAACAAAGTAACAAACAGCGAATCTGTTTCAAATCCTTATCATAGACAGAAGTTCTCGATGACGAAGAACATAGATAGTAAAAGTCGCGATGATCATCATCTATCTCCTCAACGATCTGTTGTTTATCCACCGTGCAAGGTCGAAATGAAAACTATAACATCTTTGTCTTCGATTGTTGTATCGAGCTGACCGCTTAGCTCCCAATCACAGTCATTCACTAGCACAAGAACTCCAGGTCTCCTGCACAAACATTTGATGTTTTTTCCCTGTTTAACAAACATTTAACCTTACAAATCTGAGCTGATTAAGAAGAAAAGGCATACTTACACAGTATCTCCTTTCATGAACATCTCAGGCCTCTCTTTGATCACATTTGTACGAACCCAAGAAAGCAAATGCTTCATTGTTAACTAATTTAGAAGGGCAAAAAGTATGTTACTCTGAGTATGAAAGCTGACAGCTTTAGATAAATCATAGATGAGAGAATGTAACTATGTAAACTTACATCATCTTCTCCATTGGGCAAATCGACGTTTACTTTATGGATCTTTTCAGAATCACAGAGCAGCTCTAAACCACCTCTACATATCAAATGATAATTTAATCAGTGAGCAAGAACTAAACAAATATATTCATGGTTCATCTTCTTCAGTTTCATCACTACACTCAAGCAATCAACAAAAGAATCTCAAAAAACACCAAATCACCACTATTCGATGATCCAATAACTAAATGAAAAGTTGACGAATTATAAACTCTACAAACAGAAAAAATAAACGCCTATTAAGAACGGAGAACAGAGAATGCTTAACAAAAGAGCATCACTCAGCAAAACTCGCCGAGAGCTCGGAAATTTCGAAATAGATCAAACTATTTTCACAGAGAAAGGGATAATCTCACCCGAATTCAAGAGTCAATTGCATCCTCGCAGTGAATTAACTACAAACCCCAGCTCTTCTAGGGTTTTTCTCTTTCCGCCTCGTCGTCGTCGTCACTGCGCAAGAAAACGTAGAATCCAGTCAACAATCTCGCAACGACGTCGTTCTAGTTTAGGACATGTTGGGCTCTGTAATTTGGGTCTATAGTATAATACTACAAGATAAGGCCTATTACTTATCCCGATGAGTGATCCTCTGATACGCACACGTTAAAAATGACTCATCTAATCCTAACCGTTGGATTTAAGAATTGTACATATTGACGGACAAGATTAGATCCTAGTTTTCACTACGAAATAGATGGATGCTTCACACACCATACACCCCAGCAACCGGCAAAATTGCAACCAAGAGAAGACGAACGGAAAATTCAGAGAGATTCAACGTGAATGGGATTTTCTTGTTTACGATTTTCTTCTGTGAAATAGAAATTTGTTTGGTTTCAAAATTTTCCGGTTTTTGAAGCTCCATGGAAGCTTATAAGCAATGGGTTTGGAGAAATAGAGAGTATGTACATTCCATAGGATCTCTTGCCAACGTAAGATTGATTCCTCTTCTGCTTAATCCCTTTGATTTTTCCCAGTTTTTTTGCTGTATGGATTCTCTGTCGATTAGTGTTTATTTTCGTTTTCTCCTTCGTGCCAAATTCAAAGCTTCATCATCTGGTTGTTTGGAGTTTTGCTTGAGTAGCAGTAGTGTTTATGTACAGTGCGATTTAAGATCGAAACCTTTCTCTATTGAGTTTTAATAATATTTGAAACCCATACAAAAGCTTAATACTGGTATATCGTGGCTCGTTGATTTGATGCGATTGCGATCTTAATCGCTCTCTAAAGTGTTGGGAGGTTTTTGGAACTGTGAATTCCATAAGCTATATTCTATATTATAACTCGTTTCATGGATCAAAAACTTTTTTCTCAGTATATTGAGTTTGATTATTTGGTTGCAGGGGTTGACATGGCTGCTTCCTGAGAAGTTTTCTGCTTCAGAGATTGGACCAGAAGCAGGTTTTGTGAAACTTTGGTAACATTTTACTGCTTTCGATCTTAGAAAACCTAATTTCTTTTGTCCTTGTTTAGCTCCTAAAGGTCTCTTATTGGAAATGGAACTTGTGTTATAAATGTCCTATACTGACACTCGTTTTATCGGTTCTCAAATCGCGTACTGATAAATTCATCAGAACCTTTGACTTTGAAAGAATGTTTCTTATCTTGCTTTTGAATCCGGAAGTGTGACAGAAAGTTTTTGTAATATACTCTGCAGTAACGGCTTTTCTGGGGATATTCACAACCATCAATGAACACATTATTGAAAATGCTCCAACAACGCCTGCTCATGTTGGATCTTCCAAGACTGATCCATCCCTTTCTTATCCGCTACTCATCGCCATCCTAAAAGACTTGGAAACTGTTGTGGAAGTAGCAGCTGAACACTTCTATGGAGAGAAAAAATGGAACTACATTATTGGTACCGAAGCTATGAAGTAAGTTTGCTATTTTTTCTCATTCACTTGGATCTATATACAACATACTAAGTCGTCGTTTTGATAACCGAAACATGTTTTAACTTTCAGGGCTCTTATTAGATTAGCCTTGTTTCGGGATAGCGGATATAAGATGCTTCTACAAGGAGGGGAAACACCTAATGATGAGAAAGACTCTAACCAAAATAGAGCTGGTGATGCAGATAGGAATCCTAGGAACCAAGATCATCATAATCCATGGAACTTGGAAGGACGTGCGATGTCAGCTTTAAACTCATTCGGTCAGAATGCAAGAACAAGAACAGCAACAACAACATCATATAACTCGGGTTGGTCTCGAAGGATTCAACATCAGCAAGCAGTTATAGAGCCTGCGATGGTCAAGGAGAAGCGAGCAACGCTCTCGGAGCTATTATCTGAGAAGGGTGTTAAGGGAGCGTTGTTTGTAATGGGTGAGGTTTTAATCATAACGAGACCGCTCATCTACGTTCTTTTCATCAGAAGATATGGAATCCGGTCTTGGATTCCTTGGGCTATATCGCTTTCCGTGGACACACTTGGAATGGGGATTCTCTCAAATTTAAAGCTGTGGGGAGAGAAGAGCAAGCAAATCCATTTCTCTCAACCTGAAAAGGACGAGGTTAGACATTTCAGTAGGGCATCAATTGCGTTAATGTTGAACCACTTTTAACTGAAAAAAAACTCCATTGTTTGCGATATTCAGCTTAGGAGACGGAAGCTGCTATGGGCATTGTACCTGATGAGAGATCCATTCTTCACCAAGTACACAAGGTTTGTTCTGATTTGGGCATCATCCCTAGGTTTAGGCTATCGCGGTTAATGATAAACCGATATTCTTGTCTGGTGATTGCAGGCAGAAGCTGGAACGCTCTCAGAAGACGGTGGAACCAGTTCCTTTGATCGGATTCCTCACAGGTTTGCTTTTAAGATTTCATTACATTCACAAGATATCACTGCTCCCTCGTGTTTTTCTTGCACTTACTGTCTATATTTATCTCGTGGAAATTACAGAGAAAATTGTTGAGCTTTTGGTGGGAGCTCAGTCACGGTACACTTACATATCGGGATCGTGAGTGTTAAACCCGTTTTGCTCTCAAGGGTTTCTGCAACGGCACTGGAATACTTTTTTAGATCTACTTAGGGAGTGGTTTCATGCTTTGTAAGAAATTGCGTTTATTGCAATTAGGACATAATCACAGACTGATGTAATTTGATGATGAGCTGTTTATGTCTCTAAAGAATGGGACCCATACAATAAATAAAACAAGCATCAAAGTTTTATTTTGAGTCTACGAAAGAGAATTGTTGATAAGTTAAAAGGTGTAGGTAACCAATTTGTATTCTGAATCCGTATACAGCAGTAAATAATGTTCACACAAATTGCATCTCCTAACAAATTCTTGATTTTAGAGTAATTCAAATCAAAATGGTATGGTTAACAATGGCGGAGAGATGATCAAGAGAGAAACCTTTTTCATTACTAATTTTAATACATTGGGGACTTGAAATAAAAACAAAATTAAAATACAACCAGAATCCGAACATTAGAATACACAATACTTTTGCTCTAACATATTTGAAGGATTTTATAATTGTTCTACATAATAATTGTGGAAATCCAAAACATTAAGATTGTATCTTTACGTCAGATACCGATCAGCCTGAAACAAACTAATGCTGACGTGATGACATGCGGTAGGCAAAAGTTGGTGGGCTGCCAAATTACGATATAATCCCACAATGGTGGGTCCGAATCTGTTTCCGCAAAATGTGGAACCCACACGGGGTTTAAAGCCTGTAGAAGATTACCGGCTAACCCGATATTATGTGTCTATATTCCAATTGGGTTTACTTCTGATCCGATCCGTTCGTTTATAATCAAAAACAACTCAAAAAGTGTGAGGGGAGAGTGGTGGGGTCCGAAAATTGGGCCTTGCCCTCAACATTGTGTGGTGTGATCGGTACTGGAGAGTAGGGTCCAGTTCAGGCCCACTTTATTAACCCGTTTTCGTTTTGTAGCCTTTTCTTTTCTTCTGGTAGGCCCCGCTTTCTGTTCATATGTTTGGTTGTGGTTCAAACCGGTTTCGTGTTTTACTACTATTTTTATTTTGTGAATCAAACTGAAAGTGAAACTAGTTTTTGATTTGGGTTAGATATAGTTCAAGTTCTTGTTTTTCTATGATAATATTTCTTTCTTTCATCTTCAAACAAATATATTAAGTAACTATTTTTCTATGTTATTATTCGGGTTTAGTTATTCATATATACAAAATGTAAACCAATTAAATTGGAACTAAGAATCAATGTTTCTCTTTTGCATTGAATCTGTTCGATATATGTTTGTGAAATGGCTTAACCGGTTTAGTCCACGGACGATAGGATTTGGGAATCTAGGAAAGGATTATTCCCGAGACACTAATAAGCTTTTTGGTGGCGCAGCCTTGTGACCTACATAGATGGGGTCCAAACCCAAGAATGGGCGTTTAGCTTTTTCTGTTAAGAATTTTTTTTTTCCTACCTAATAAAAATTTATTCAAATCTTTTCAATAGTTAAAAAATAAAAAAAGATAAAATTGACGGCTTAAAAATTAGGGATGGAATCAAAAAGTTATGACAAGCGAAGGAAATTAGTGTTGGATGTTGTTTACTTATTCTGCCAATCTGCTTATTCGGGTTTCGTTCTTCTTCTTGGTTTAAATAGTAACTAAAACATATCGGGTTTGGCTTCGGTTAAGAGCTAAAACTTCAGTCGACCAAAAAAAAAGGAATTGAAACTTACATTCTGTAAGATTTATATACATCGAACTTTGATATAGTAACGAATTTTAGAGAGAAAATCTTGCATTACGTTGCAAATATTGTAAACTCAATAATTGTTTTTCTTCTCTTTAGGATAAACAGTAGTAATAAAGTTCTTCGAAATCTTTTTCAAAAAAAAAAAAGTTCTTCGAAATAAAGTTTACTGGACCCCAGTGAACCGATGGTCCAATAGAAGATGGAACCATAGAACGGGATCGATCCACGTGGTAAAATCCTAATGGCTTTCGAGAGCTCATCCAACATATCAAGAACCGTTGATTTTTTCCCGGATCAAAAAGCGTGTCAGTATTCTCACTGTCTTCTTGCTATATATATATATAGACGACTCACATTTTACTATCTCCCTCGACGTGTAACGCCGTTAAAGCGATTCTTTTCCAGAGTATCCGCTTCTCTGTTTCGCTTTTACATCCATCTTTCGTCGTCATCTCCACCGTCCGTTCTCGTTAAGCTATAATTTAATGACGACGATTAAGAAGCAGGAAGTTGAGCGCCTAAAAGCCGTTGATCTAAGCATCATCAACGGCGTCAGAAACGCGGAATCTCCTAAACCCTTTGAAGTGAATCCCACAGTGAGTCTCGAGCCCAAGGCGGAGCCGTCGTTAGAGGCGGCGATGCAGCAGCTTCCGTCGATTTCAATGTCTTTAGCTCCACCGTCGTCGATGGGTCCGCCATTGAAGAGAGCTTCGACTAAAGACCGTCACACGAAGGTTGAAGGAAGAGGGAGAAGGATACGGATGCCTGCCACGTGTGCAGCTAGGATATTTCAATTGACTCGAGAGCTAGGTCACAAATCCGACGGCGAGACCATTCGGTGGTTGTTAGAAAACGCTGAGCCGGCGATTATTGCCGCCACGGGTACGGGAACGGTTCCCGCCATCGCTATGTCGGTTAACGGAACCCTCAAAATCCCAACCACCACGAACGCTGATTCCGATTTGGGGGAAAATCCGGCGAAGAAGAGACGCAAACGACCTTCTAACAGTGAGTATATAGACATAAACGAAGCCGTTACGGTTTCCTCCGGTTTAGCTCCCATTTCCACGGCACCAATCCAGCCTCTGCAAGCTCCGGTATCCACCGTGGCTCAACAAACTCTGCCGCAAGGGATGATTCCGATGTGGGCGATTCCATCGAACGCTGTGATTCCGGCAGTAGGAGCTTTCTTCTTGGTTCCACACGTCGCTGGTCCGTCGCTGCAGCCTCAGATATTAGCTTATCCAGCTGCCGCCCCTGCCGCGTCACCTTCGTCTTACGTCGCCGCCGTCCAACATGCTTCATCCATGGCTCGACCTCCTCATATACAAGTTCTTCCGAGCAACGGCGTGATAACCGGTTCGAAGCCATCGAATACGACGTCGGTCATGGCTCCGAGCTCGAGCTCCGACGTAACAACCGGAGGTTCGTCATCTGCAAATACGACGACGCACATGCTCAGAGACTTCTCGTTAGAGGTTTACGAGAAACAAGAGCTTCACCAGTTCATGACCACCACGACACGGTCATCGAACCACTGAAGAAACAAACAAAAAACGACGGCGTATTGGCTAGTGATCACCGGAGGAGGAAGAAAGGGCACGTGGGCACGTGAGGAGAGGAGTAAAGACGCGCACGTGTTAAGTGGGCCTAGATTTTAGGCAAATGTGGGGTCCATAGCTTTGGTGGGTCAACACGCACCAAAAACGAAAAACAAAAAAAAAAGCAGAGAGAGGGGCTCTGGCGAGTGGGAAGAAGGAGGGAGTCCCACCTTACGCATAGCTTCCGAGGCGGCCAGGTTGGGTGTGGTCCCTATTTCGGTAGGGCTACGTGGTCCGTGCGAGTGGGACCCATTCAAGCATAATTTTGAAACGTTTCGTTTTTGGTGGGCCTCACCACTTTGTCTTAACTTTTTGGACTTTGTTTTTTCGGTTTGTAATTACAAAAATTAGTCACAAAAAGATTTACTGAAGCCCTTCTAAATAATCTGTAAGCCATGGTCCACCCCAACAACAATTGTGATATTGATGTTTTAAATTTTTAATCTGCTCGAAAATAAAAATGTTTTTTATCCAACGCTGATGATTTTTCTTCTAAAAATTGTGATACCATTACTTTTAAGATAATTCATTTTTTCTTAGAACTGTTAGAAAGCATTTTACTTTATTGTTCCTTTTTTGAATTTTATAAAGTCTACTCCGTGTATGATATGTTTTGCTTGGCGGGGCCTAGTAGCTTGCTTGTACCACTAATACGGCTTCGTTTCGTGGGGCCTGAACCATCCCACTCATGGACGCGAGTTGGTCACCACCAGTTTAACGCTAAGGAAATAAAGGAACAGGCTGGCGTGGGCCCTACTTCTGTCCGTTAGATCTCTACCGTTCATTCTATCTTCTCGTCCTAACCGTTGAATTTATATTTCCTTTGCTTCCCTTCAACTTTCAGTGGTTGATATTTTTCTTTTGCTCACGTCTCAACGCCAGACACGATTTACTATAAGATAAATTTATCCAATGTCTGATAATCAAGTGTGGTTGTTACTTGTTAAACCATTATTCTTTGTTTCTCACCGTTAACAGTATATTTTAAATGTAGTTTTACTTGATTATGAAAGTTGTAAATTAATAAAAAAATATAAATCACAGTCACGAGGTAAAGGAATTATTGGAGGCCCAAACCAACTTGGTGGATGGGGGAAAAGTTCCAGAAGAGTTGGCTAGAGGATTACACGTGGACTTGACATGTCGCTCTCTTCTTTTATTGTGGACCTCTTCTTTTTTTTGTAGCTTGACCAATAAATTTAAAAATGGGTAATCAAACAAAATAAACCTATGCTGTATTGCTTGCTTGACATCAAAGACTTAAGCCCAAAGAAAAAAAAAAAAAAATGGAATGTGCTTGCATAACATTTAGGGTCCATTGGTAACAGAAAAATAATACTTAAGGGCGATAAATTAAAGGCCCATTATTCGCAGGCCCCGTTTACAATGAACAACCCCAGCTTAGCGTATTATCTGTTGACACACGTTTCAAGTCAATGATAATAGTAGTAGTTAAAAATTCCGACACACTCTATTACATAAGAATGTCGGCCAAATATGTCAACTAGGTGCGGATAAACCTGTACTAGTAAATTCGGGATACTGTATTAACTATTTAAGCAAATTATGTCTCGCTAATATGACCTGGACAACAACAAAGTACCCATCGCCTATTTCAATATTGTTGAATAGTAGTCAGTCAGAACTACTATAACAAAACTAATTTATTTAGCTGAACGGTGAAAATTGAAATGAACTACCACATACTATTTTGTAAAGCATATTAGTGAAGATTACTAAATCGAATCGGATACAAAGTTACAAATGTTTGGACTAAAACTTGTTCGAGTAATATATGATCATAATTATATGAGAAAGAATTTTGCAAGGTTGTCAGAAAAAACCAAATAAAATAGTTTTTTTTTCTCGATGCTGGTGGCTTAAGTATTATATACTCCCATTTGTCATTTGAGATGATTTATATGAGTTTTTATGACAGTCCATGCCGAGTCCATGTGCAATCATAATCCTCATATAAATTATCTGCTTCCGTTGACGAAAACTTTATCGTGGCCCCTTGTAATTATATTGTTTATTCCATAATCGATTTGCTCATTTTCACAGCTGCCATAGAAACAGTTGTTCGCTAAGTTTAGCTTTAAAATAAACACTATCATTACCAGAGATTTTAAGTTCTAACAGAAACCCAAAAAATAATAATCAAACATTTAATTTTAGTTATTGAAGAATAAAAATAATTTGGAGGATAATTAATTATTTTTAACCACATTAAAAAAAAGATATTGGAAAGAAACAAATGACATTCCACCACAAGCGTGTACCAATCTCTCCCGCTCTCTCTCTCTCTCTCTCCCCTCTTGCTTTTCTGTCTCTCTCTGTGTTCTCACAAACACCGAGGATGGCGGATCCTGATTTGGCGTCTCCGCTGATCCAGCGTGAAACGTCCGATCAGCAAGAGGTCGTTATCTCAATCGATGACGACGGCGATGACTCAGGAGTTAATGATCTTCCCTCCGTTGGAATTGAAAACCCCCTTGGTGAGAATCGGGGCCCTCGTGTCCCACGTGGCCTTGAATTTGACCACCTTGACCCGAGTAATCCTTTCGGGTTTCTCAGCGAGGCCGAGCCTCCGGTTCTCGGTCCGACGACGGTGGATCCATTCCGGAACGACACGCCCGGAGTTTGCGGACTCTACGAAGCGATTAAGATCGTGATTTGCCTCCCGATTGCTTTGGTTAGACTTGTTCTGTTTGGGGCTAGCTTAGCCGTTGGTTACTTGGCTACGAAGCTGGCTCTTGCTGGCTGGAAAGATAAACACAACCCTATGCCTCAGTGGAGATGCAGAATCATGTGGATTACTCGGATCTGTACCAGATGCATCCTCTTCTCTTTTGGGTGAGTTTCGCGTTCTCTCTTAATCGGCAAATTAGTGTTTTTACTACTTCGATTTGAACTTAAGTTTTGGTATTAGATTGTAGTTTGTTGGATGATGTTGCTACAAGTATAGATTTTTTTCCGATGCTCAGAATCTTCCTTGCTCCTGCAGTTACCAGTGGATACGAAGGAAAGGGAAACCTGCTCGGAGGGAGCTTGCTCCGATCGTTGTATCAAACCATGTATCTTATATTGAGCCCATCTTCTACTTCTATGAGTTATCACCCACCATTGTTGCATCGGAGTCGCATGATTCACTTCCATTTGTTGGAACTATTATCAGGGCAATGCAGGTAGGCACCTAAGCTTAGCCCATTTAGTTTAAGATGCTGGTGCGTAGTTTATACTAAAGATTCCGCTTTTTTGCAACTTTTGTTTTTGGAATTTTGTAGGTGATATATGTTAATAGATTCTCACAGGCATCAAGGAAAATGGCTGTACATGAAATAAAGGTATATAGTTTCTGTGGCATGCGATTGATGTATTTGAATCAAGGAACTTTATCTTTCATACACACTTTATCATTTGATTTGTGAACCATCTGTGGTTGAAAAGGATTCAAATGGTTTTTTGTATCTGATACGCAATGTACTTTCAAGGATGTAAATACAGAGAAAAGCTTCCTGCGATAGGTTTCCCCGCCTGCTGTTGTTCCCGGAAGGAACCACGACTAATGGCAAAGTTCTTATTTCCTTCCAACTCGGCGCTTTCATCCCTGGTTACCCGATTCAACCTGTAGTTGTTCGTTATCCCCATGTACATTTCGATCAATCCTGGTGAGACTCTTTCGTCTCTGTAATTTGTTTTACACACTTTCTACTTTCTCAAGAAAAAGAAAAATGATCCCTTTCTGATGTTTATGAGAATGTTCAGGGGAAATATTTCTTTGTTGATGCTCATGTTTAGAATGTTCACCCAGTTTCACAATTTCATGGAGGTAGGCTATGTTCATATTGCGTAAGCTTTCTTGATTGATTATACTCTCTGTTTTAGAATTTCACTTATTTGGATCATTTTATTTGGGAATGAAACAGGTGGAGTACCTTCCAGTAATATATCCCAATGAAAATCAAAAGCTGAATGCTGTGCGTCTCTCCCAGAAGGTGTGTGTTTGGTGGGGATGGAGATTATTTTTCTGCATTTGTTTCTTTCTTATGGTGAAAAAATAGTCCTCATGGTGTGACTTATGAATACAGACGAGTCATGCAATTGCAACATCTTTGAATGTCGTCCAAACATCACATTCTTATGGGGACTTGATGCTACTCAACAGAGCATCTGAGTTAAAGCTGGTACGTGCAGCTCATGGATGTTTTGCTCTTTTGAATAGCTTCGTATGTTCTTTCTTAGTCTCGTAGTTTCTTCAGAAAACACTGACCCACAGTTGAACCACAAGTCATGTATTCTTGTCCGTTCGAGTCAGAAAGCAGTTTATCTTGTTGATTCATATTAAATGTTCTGTTGCAGGAGAACCCCTCTAACTACATGGTTGAAATGGCGAGGGTTGACTCGGTAAGTTTATCATCCACCGTCACAAGTTTGTTTAATTACATGAAACAGACAATTTATCTTCGACTGTGGTATTATCGAGTACACAAAACAATGGATAAACATGTGGAACCTCATTATGTTGATAGTGTCCTGTATATAAGCTCTATCAAAAGAAGAAGTTCTGTATACGTGGCATTTTTTGTCTCCCTATTGATCGCGTTGCTCTGTCTTTGTTCCTTTCAGCTATTCCATGTAAGCAGCTTAGAGGCAGTGCGGTTTTTGGATACATTTTCTTCCATGAATCCAGACGCGAGGTAATAACTTTTCGCAAGTGATATACCTGTTTTTGGCATTCCAGTTCTCAAAAGATTGAGACTTTCCTGCAATGTTATCCTTTCTGCAGTGGACGCGTTACGCTACACGACTTTCTTCGGGGACATAGACTGAAGCTTTGCAGTCTCTCTACAGGGGTCAGTTATGATAATAAATGATTTCCTTACCTTTTTACCGTTATGCCTCGGGAAAGTTACTTATACAAGCATACTACTGTAGATATTCGGGTTCATTGATGTGGAGAAGGCCGGATCAATCACTTTCAGACAGGTAATTTCAAGGGATCCCTCTACAACGTAACATGTCGTATATGATTCAGTCGTCTTCGTGGACAAACACACCGTTTGTAAAAATTCGTAGCATATGATCCCTAATGTATGTTCCTCTTCCGCTGATTGGTCTGCAGTTCTTGTTTGCCTCGGCTCATGTATCGGCACAGCCACTTTTTCAGCAAACATGCGAGCGATCATTTTCACATTGTGACGCAGATGGAGATGGCTATATCTCCATTCAAGAAGTAGATTTAATCATTCACCTCTTTTATATCATATTTGCTTCTGGGTTCTTATGACTTACTCCTTTCTTTATCTCTGGCTCAGCTTGGAGACGCGCTGAAACACAGAATCCCAAACTTGAACAAGGACGAGGTAAAGTGTACATAGATTCACCCTTCCATTGAAATTCAAACCCAAATCTCTTTAACTTGGGAAAGATCTATAATCCTAACGGGTTGGGTATATCTCATGTTTTCAGATTCAAGGGATGTACATTTCGCTAGACGAAGACAAAGATCAAAGAATAAGCAAGAACGACTTCTTGTCCTGCTTAAGAAAAAACCCTCTTCTTATAGCTATCTTCGCGCCTAACTTTGCTCCAACGTAACACAGACAGATCAAAAAAAATTGGGCTGGTTCCGATCGGTGCGATGATTTAGTCTTGTCTTTGTGGTACTATTATATATATACCTTTGTTTTTGTCTTCTTTATCTCTTTTTCAGATAGTAAAAAGAATGCCAAAAGAAAGGGGCTGCTAAGTTTTTGGCCTATCCCCCTCCTCCTCCATGGACCCATCCAATGAGTTTTGGACTATAACTGCTTGCCGTTTTCTGCCCCAAAAAAAAACGCTTTGGTGTTTGCTCCTCTAGTTCTGAGCAAACTCTACTGTCTTTGTTTCCCTTTTATTTATTTTTTGTCATTTTTGGGGTTACATATGTATTATCCAAATTTCGATTGTATGAGTGGATATTTATTTTTTGAATTATTTTACCGAAAGTCTCCCCTTAATAATCTAAAACTATTAGTGTAATTTTTTCGACATCTGAAATCCGATTAATAATTATATAATGTTTTGTAGTAGTGGACCAGTGGTATTATTGTAAGAATAAAAAAAAAAGCCCAGGTGGGGAAAGCTGACGCAAGCATGGTTTTATAAGTAGATTAAAAAAAATAAGAACCGTCGGATTGAAAGAGCATAGGGCGATGCACAGCACGCTCTGTGGTCCCCTCCACAGAGGATGTGAATCTTCCCTACCCCATGTGCCCGACATGTGTCGGTTCCTCAACTGGGAAGTGCCAACTCTCTCCCCAATGGCCAAATCAAATCTCTCCCTCACACTCTCCAATTAACTTATTTTTATAAACCCTCTTTATCCGACATTTTATAACTTGATCACAACCCATTTACTAACTAAGTATTATATGGTTTTAATTTTACGTGTGGATGGATTTATTTTATATATCTATATAATATGCTTGATGATGAGTGAGGCCATATCATCATCAATGGACAGAGAGATATCATTGGATTCAGCTGAAATGCTAATGAATACATGTGCAAATGTATTGAGCCTATTGACATATAATTCCCCCTAATCACGCGTTTACAGAAAGTTAAGCAACTAATAAATTAATGATTTCTTTATTTTGTAATCTATCTTTAGTTTAGTGAATACAAGACCAGTAATGATTTGTTTAATTCGTAAGATATAAAAAGCTTTATGTAGTTTACTATCAGAAGAAAATTCCGCATATGTGTATGTTTATTTCATTAGAGAGCTAACTCTTACAAATATAATGGAAAAAAATGCTGGTAGCTTAGGAATATTGGTGTCGTATTTTCTTTTTAAAAATTTCCGATATTCAGTACAACAAAATTTAATTGCAACATTTGGAAACTATCTATAAATAAAGAAACATATGAGGAAAACATAGTGAAATTACGTTGGATCTAGAAAAAAAGATTCATGGTGTATTTCATCATTTAAAGGATTCATAAAGAGATATAATATTTCACGTTTAAAAAGATAAAATTCGGAAATTACATTATTTAGTTTTCTGAATGAGAAAGAATATGAAAGACAGTGTTTTATAGAAATTTATATGTCTATATATAGTAATAATATATCATTGGGCCAAGCAAGGTCCAAATTACTTAAGATATCTTCACTTATTTTGGTTGTCGTTTGTGTCAACTGGTCAACAAACAAATTCTTCTATGCTCGGGATGAAAAACGGTTATTCATAGAATATAGTATATATTTTGCGTGTTTTATGCTTTTTTGGTCTTTCTAAATTCTAATAGTGTCCGAGAAAAGATTAAAGTTTCACGTGTGAATTCTTGAAACATGAGACTAAGGCCGTTTCAGGTGATTCATATCTTGATGAAGTAGCTGATTAGATTAACTTTGCCGTTTTTAGACGTTAATGACCACTCACTCAAGGGTGCTCTATGTACCGGATAGCGTGGTAGTCTAGTTATATACTACTTGGTTGTGTGAAAAGATGAAAAATTGAAATTTAGAATCAGAGTTTTATAAAAAAAAAAAAAGTAGTAATCAAACGTTTGTTCTATAACTAAACAAAAATCAGAAAGATTCTATATATTTTGATAGATCCACATGCATGTAAACTCGCCTAAAGTTTTATTTTTGAAAGATTGACCATTGATATATACCTGGACAACGTTTTTACTCCTAACATTTTTAGTATTATATGAAATTCATTCAACTAAAAGTCGTTTACTCCATTCCTTTTTGAATATCAGTTTTTAAAAAAAAATATATAAAAAAGAGCGTTTCTTCTAATAACATCCAGTGATTACCTAAACTTCGTTTGAAAGTTGTATCTCCATCCATTGAGTATATATTGAAATTGTTCCGTATGCATGCGAATATTCTGTAAAATAATCCACGGGAACACCATTAATATTTATTTTATTTTTGGCAATCACCAACGTTTATATGTTATAAAATCATTACTGAAAAAATGCATGAGGTTCAGACTTTTACCGAACCTGAAAGAAACCAAACTGAAATCACAAGATTGTTAGAAACAGTAGAAAACGAAAGGAGTAGGTTTCTGGACAATAAAGGAAATATGTCCTTTTTCTGGGGGCGCATTCACAAATCACACACATATATATACACATATTTTCGTTCTCCTCAATAGTATAAATATACTAATTTGAACACCTAAATAGGTAAATATATATATGAAAAAAGTGAATGTAAAGGATCGAAAAACAAGATTTAACCTAAAAGAGGAAGTAAGCAGGTTAAAAGAGGTGAGATAAGTAGGGCCCATATTAGTTTGCTATAATACTGTGGAATTTTATTTTATTTTTGGGTGGGTCCCATCATGACCAAAGTGTGGAGCACGATTTATCATCTTTGGAGTTAATAAATAATAATTATATTTTTGTCTTGGGATTTTTCGATTGGAGCATGAGAAAAAGTAAGAGGTGTGTTTTCGAATTATCATTGGCCAACCTTTGTACGTGACTGTACGGACGACGTTGATGTATTTCTAATATTATTATTGTACGCTCTTTTTTATTTTATTTTTCTAATTTCTTATTCGTTACCTAAACTCAGTTTTTTTTTTGCAATCAAAATTTTATCTAGTGGTTAAACGTAAAAATATCATACTAAATTTTATCACACTTTCAAATTTAGGCCTAGACTAGAAAAACGACATATCTAGTGGTTAAACCATTTTTGTTCAAATAAACGGAGGATTCCAAACCATAATTTAATCTACTTATGAGACATGGTACACTTGAGTATTTTTTGTTATTACTAATAACGTCAATAATAACTGAAAAAAAAACTGAATTCCCAATGAAATAATTTCGAACTATAGTCTTTTAACTTATATGATGAATCTTATAACAAGTGTCTAGTTATTTCGGTAAAATATTATTTCTACTCACGGATATTATGTGTCTATAATCTGAATTGGTTTGAAAAAAATGCATAACCATGAACTTATAAGTTATAACCGCATTACACATGCGTAAACTAATGCAACCACAAAAATACAGAGACAAGTAGCTCGCAGATATACACAAAATATTTTCGGACCTGTCGGTAATATTTAATAAAAATATATACGTCACCAGCGAGAGAGATGTTCATTTTGCGAAATAAATAGTCTGCGTGGTCCTACTCCTCCCTATATATTAAGATTTCGATTAACCATTTTATCTCCCAAAAAAGGATTTTTTTTTTTTTTGGTGCCACTAGGTAGACAAGACGTTCGATAAGCTGAATTATTATTGTTTTTCTAAGTTACGTTTTCGTTTTATGACTGTAGAAAAATATAGTCCGAGTGACAAATAGACATTAGACACGTCGGTACTAGTACACGTCATTTGCCTCATTGTCTTTGCAATTCCAACTATTTGATTGGTGAAATATAATGTTATGGTGAAATTGTGTACTGAATTTTAAAACATTCAGTTTTTTACCCGTGATTTTATTATATTTAAGAAATTAGATATCCTTATTTTCAGATTAATTACATGTGGGGCATATATAGGTTCGATAGAGTATTTGTGTCCACACTTAAATCAAAAAGATATTTTTCTTTATAAATCTTATATATTAAATAATTTGACAGCCAATTCCATCCATCTAGATATTTATGAATGGAAAAAGATGTGTGTGTAAATATTTCCATATGTATCAAAATATGCTATTTTTGGTCTTTCTTAAGGCTTTTTTCCAAAATAAGTAAAGGATGAGGTTTCAAGCGACCATCATATTTGCGACACATATTACTATTTGCACTTACTTTGCTATTATTTAAATACTTTTCAAAGAAAAAGAAAAAAAAGAAGAAAACAGGAAAATTTGTTCCACACCATTACCATAACTACAACGAGAAGAGGATCTTTTTAAGGAGAAAGCAGAGAGAGAAGAGAGGAGAGTGTGTGAGTTTTGTCTTTTGTTTCTTTTATTACACACAAATAGATGAAACGAGGAAAGCTACTCCTTTTGCTACTTCCATAAAAAGGTCCTTCCTTTAGCAGAGAATCAAGTTTGATCATCATCTTCTTCTCTTTCATTTCACCCACCATTAATGCTCTTATTTTACTCTCCTATATCTCTTTTTATACACAGACGTGCTTCTTAGTTCCCTCTTCTGTTGATCTCCTCCTTACAAGCTTCCTGCTTAGGTTTTTTAAAATACTTTTGGCCATCGGTAAGATCTCTTCGCTATGCTCTTTCTTTCTTTTTTCTTTTTGTTGCTTTGTAATCTTCGATTATTAGTCTGATGGATCTACTTTCATTTCGATTTGATGTTTTTGTTTCTGTGGTTTTGTTTTGTTTCTCCTAAATCTCTCATGGAAAGTTGCATCTTTTTTCCAATTAAACCCCCAAAACCAAAATAAAAATAAAGCTTGCATCTTTCATTCATTTCTAAGCAATCCATGTCACAAACTGTATAAATTAGTACTTTAGATTGTTTTGCTTTTTGGGTACTTAATCATCTTCATCGCTCGTTGACTTCATCAGTCGAAGGAAAAAAAACAAATTACATTTCCATCACCTCCAAATTTTGTTTCTTATGAAAGCTACTCTCTTTGATTCGTGTATCAAATGGGTTGTTTTGTGTGTGTGACTAATCTAGTTTTTGAAGTGGTTGCACCATTGATATCATGTTCTCTGCAATTAACAAAAAAAAAGATTATATTTCTTTTTTTCTTCTGTGAAAGGGAAAATTAAACAAGGAGTAAGAAATGGTGAGGGGAAAAACTCAGATGAAGCGAATAGAGAATGCAACAAGCAGACAAGTGACTTTCTCTAAGCGAAGGAATGGTTTGTTGAAGAAAGCCTTTGAGCTCTCAGTGCTTTGTGATGCTGAAGTTTCTCTCATCATCTTCTCCCCTAAGGGAAAGCTTTATGAATTCGCCAGCTCCAAGTACGTTCCTTTTTTCCCATCTACAGAGAGAGAGAGAGAGAGAGAGAGAGAGAGAGAGAGAGAGAGAGAGAGAGAAAGAAAGAAAGAGATCTCATTAATCTCTCTACTATATATTGTCTTGACTGAGTTTATATATAAGGATTTGTTGGCTGTTTGTGGAATCAAATCTCTTTGACGTTTGCTTAGAGAGGGTGTTAAATGAGTTTCTTGGTTTCTACAATTTTAGGGCTATTATTAAAGTAGAATCAAGTACATCAACTTATTTGTATTCTTTTTTTTTTTACACTAGTACATCATCTTGTTTAATAGTCTGAGATGTCTCTCTCATTTTGTTTCTGAAGTTATGATAAAAGTTATAAGTAAATTCTGTCAAAGAACTCTGGCAAGCACTTTGCACTGTTATATATTTTATCATCTTAGATCTTATATTAGAGATCATGATCACACATACATACAACTCCTTGAGTTTTGTATTTAATATCCTCTCTTTTTTTAGTTATATTCAAAAGATCATATTTATGTTGCAATTAGCATTCTTTTGGTATCAGATGATATACATTCTTGTTATATTAATCTTTGTTTTAGCGAAAACAAGTTGCTTTAAGTGATGATTAGGAAGTTGTTTCATCACTCATGCTTCATTTCATGCTCATTCCTACTTTAATGGAATTTAATTGCATATTTGTTCCTGTCTGTCTCTCTACCTGATTTTGCATCGAAACTCAAACCAGAATCTAAATATAGATTGCTTTGAGAATGAGAAAGAAGTTATCTCGTACTGTTAGGTAGAAGGGAAACCAAACTTACTTTTGACTCATTACTTCTGTAAATGGAAAAAGTCAGCTTTTGTTCAGAAAATATGTCCATTTAGGAAAAAGGGCTCACATGTTTATGGTTTTCCAAAATGGGGGAAAAAACTCAAAAAGTAGAAGACTTTTCAAGTTATGTACTTAAGTTTTGTAATTACTTCAATTAAGAATGTTCTTATAATGTCTTGTTTTTGAGTACGAGAGAAATTGAGTTGTTTTCTTACATTGTACGAACTTAATCTCTGATGAGTTAATTAGCTTCATTGTTTGAATGCTTTGAACAGTATGCAGGACACCATAGATCGTTATCTGAGGCATACCAAGGACCGAATCAACACCAAGCCGGTTTCTGAAGAAAATATGCAGGTTAATCACATGATCTTGCGTACAAATTTTCTATAACAACTTTAGTATAAAATTAAAATGGATTAAGAAAAAATAATCATAGTCTGTATATAATCTCCATATCACGTATTAGTATCTCAATGTCACATGCAATAACATTTTGTGATATAACCAACAGCATTTGAAACATGAAGCAGCAAACATGATGAAGAAAATTGAACAACTTGAAGCTTCCAAACGGTTTGTGATCCAATACAAACACATTTTACACACTTGAATATCTATCATGTAGTAAGAGTTTGATCGTATAAAATGTTGTTGTTGTTGTTTGAAAAAATTAGTAAACTCCTGGGAGAAGGCATAGGATCATGCTCGATTGAGGAGCTGCAGCAAATTGAGCAACAACTTGAGAAAAGTGTCAAATGTATTCGAGCAAGAAAGGTATATATGTATATTTGAATAGATATCCCACTTTAATTTTCTTGGATTCATCTTGTAATAACACTCATAATACTAACTTAATTACTCGATATCTCTACTAGACTCAAGTGTTTAAGGAACAAATTGAGCAGCTTAAGCAAAAGGTAAAGTAGTTTTGATGAGCGTATATATATAAATGGTGGAATATATATTCCAACTTAATAATCTTCTTGTGCTTGCTTTTTACAAATGGAATAAAAACTTTGCAGGAGAAAGCTCTAGCTGCGGAAAACGAGAAGCTCACTGAAAAGGTACACTATATATATATATTCTAAAATTGAGTTTCTCTTATGGGTCTCAAGTTAGGGTTTCACATTCGTTTCTTTTATTCGGTTAAGATGGTATATTTTTTGTTCTCTTTTTTTAGGTAATTTGGTCGACAGGAGAATTCTTATACTAGTATAGTTCTTCTTGGTTAATCTTTAACTGTTACATTTGCATTATAATCCCACAGTGTTCTGAAGATCGTCATGACTCATGACCTTGGTCGTCGTCTATGTGTTGTTCTATCTTCTTTGCAACTATCAATTTTGTATGTATATATATTAATAATTATTATTTATATTGCAGTGGGGATCTCATGAAATCGAAGTTTGGTCGAACAAGAATCAAGAAAGTGGAAGAGGCGATGAAGAGAGTAGCCCAAGTTCTGAAGTAGAGACACAATTGTTCATTGGGTTACCTTGTTCTTCAAGAAAGTGAAGAAACTACTCTCCCACCAAACAAACAAAAAAGAAACACCCCAAGTAAAAACAGGTTTAGCAGTGAGTGTTTAAGGACATGTAAAAAAAGTCTAAACTGCTTGTCTTCTTTCTCTCTCTCACTCTCTTCTTTAATGATGTTCATCATATTCTGCTAAAACCGAACTGCCTTTATGTATCTATGTTCTTACACTTGCTTCTCTAGAATATAATCATGTTTATTGTTTACTTTCAACTTTTTTTTATTATAGGTATGCGATTTGATTAAGCAAATATCGACTTAATCTTAAATACTAAATTACGTTATCTCTTGAACGTTAAGATTACAAAAATAAAATAAAATAAGGGGTTTTGAAACATACTATAATCTAAGAACAAAATGGAATCGCATAGATACATGAAAGAGGTGTATAACATTTGCTTTTGGAATAATAGATATGGGACCGTGATATCATTTCGTAAGGGCCTACTTATTAAAGGGCTTACTTTGCGATAATAGCCCATTAAACGTAATAAGTTGTTCAGAGACTAAAAACTTGATATAATAAATAAGTTTGGAAAAGACAAGATCAGTGAGGTTTGCCAAACACAAACTGGAGGAGCTCCCGCGAAAGTCAAATCAAGTAACAGCAATGTGGGCCCCAAACTATATTCCGAGGATACTTATTTGTTTTGGAATGTCAGTTAATTTTACTAGTCACCCATTTGTTTCTGAACCTACAACTTATATATATCGAATTCGTGATATTTTTATAATTCTTCATATATAAAAGAAAGTCTGAGACCTCTTTTTATTTATTTATTAATGTCCATTAATATATTTCTTTCATTGCTTTTAAGATCTTATATTTTATCACATATCACATAAAAATGGTATGAAGAAAATATTACCATGTGTTATGTGATAGTGCTATGGTATTCAAAAATGAATATATTAATGGTCCGGTGACAAAAGAAAATAGATTAATGGACATGAACAATTGAGAAGTGCTTATTGTTTATGTATGGTATATATAAGTTGTAGGCACACACACTCTCTATAGTTAGTTTGAAAATGAGTAAATTTTAAAAATGTTTTTTTTTACATCAGGTGACAACACAAGAGTTTAACAAGCCCTTACATTCGAATAAGTTCACACGAGCTTTAAATTAAATATTCCACCAGCAAATGACAAATAGCTGTATCATATAGTTAACAAAAGATCAAATAACCCAATTTTGGACGAAATTGGTCTCACATGCCACATTACTCTTTGATACCAAAGATCCTTCACCTTGCACATAATAATGTTGTTGGAACCTAACACAAATACCAAACATGTTTAATAATAAAACCAACTTCTATCTATTTTCACAAAACAAAGAAAAAAAATAATGATATATTGTATACCCTATTTGTAAAAACGGTTCACTGTTGCGATCCATTAAATTCAGATGAGTGGACTGAATCGCGAATTCTGAATTGTTAGGGTCGCTAGTTACTGATGCCCTCGAGTTTGGCCATAATTCTTGAAACGTTTTGAAAGCATGACCTTCGGTCTCAAGCTATTGACAAATATATTAAAAATGTAAACGATATGTACATACATTTCTACAAATTATATATTCTTTACTAATATAAAGATGTGAAACCTTAATCTTGAGTTGTTTGTTTATGTCTCCTAGTTGCCTCTCCTGTCATGTCAAAAGTAGTTTGATTGATATGTATATACCGTGTATACTATAGTGGTATGTGTCGTTTATATATAACTTGCCTTTTTCCGAAGATCTTCCATTTCTTCCATCATAACTTGTATCTGCATATATATTAAGACTGACTAGTCAATTATGAATACTATACTAAACATATAACTGGAAATGAAATAAGATCGGTCTAGATCATATAACCTTGCGTTGTCGAGTTGCGGCGAGAGAAGCTTCAAGCTGTTTCTCTAGTGCTTGCAGTTCCTTCACATTCATATCTCCAATATCTTCTCCAAGCAAATGCCTTGATAATTAGGAATCAACACACACAAAGTATATATGAGATTTTAAACTAGACATATATATAACATAAGATGATAATTATACTATACAATTTCAAGGGTTGAGAAAACTATTACTAGACCTATTAGTGCGAACAAGAGATTCGTATTTGGCTTTAAGCTTTGTCACTTCGTGACACCAATTCTGCATCATATAGATTATATAATGAATAACAGAATTCAGATGAAGAGAAATATAAATATAATTAGAATCATTTGTTTAACTGTTTAAACGAAAGTATGTATATATGCATGCCTGAGTAGACTCTTCAGGCCTACTGTTGCTCATAAACGAGTTGTAGCAACGTTGATATCGTTCAATTGTTCTTTCAACTCTGTAAATTCATTATCAGAAAAGGATCATTACACGAGAAATCATTGGATCAGTTATATATGAAGATCAATTGAACAAAAAGAGTTCTTGCTAGATTTACACAGATTCAAAAAAAAAAATCCCAATTTTGACTTTTTTTTTTAAAGATAAACTTCACTTAAATTTTGACATCATTAAGACTAAAGAACCAAATGAATCCAATATCCAGCTTCAAAATTCATACAACAATAGCTTATAAAAATGAATCCAAGAGAATTAAAATTAATATAGCGATGAACCCTAATTAATTAAGTTAGGATAAAAGACATAACCTTTAAAAAAACTCACAAAACAAAACTTTATCAGATTTTAGAACCATACGAAAGGAGCATAAATATACCCAATACTACCAAACTCATAGAGCTTGCCACGACTAGAGAAGACGATGAGAGCAACTTCAGCATCACACAGAACAGAGAGCTCATAAGCTTTCTTCAACAAACCATTTCTTCTTTTTGAGAACGTCACTTGTCTATTGATTTTGTTTTCTATCCTCTTCATCTCCACTCTCCCTCTCCCCATATTTCTCTCTCCTTTTTTAATTATGATTCTGTTCTTCTTTTCAACCTTAAAGAATATCAAAGGAATATATGTATATTAACGATACATATATATATATACACACGTTTCGATTTATATCCTTGTTGTTGGGTTACTATCGTCAATAATTAAATATCTTTTATCAATTAGTTTTCGTTTTTTCGACTGAAAGTATGTATATATGCAAGAAAAATAGATTTTTTTCATTTCTGTAATAGAAAACAGAGGTAAATAAACAAATAAATGGCGTCAAATATGATGGAACAAGATGATAACTCTGTCCTTTCAACTACAGCTAGATACCTAATAAGAAGTAAGAATGGAAATCTGCTTGTAACAGTCGGACCATTATAAATTTCTATTGTTTTCCCTTTTCAATTATCAGATTTATTTATTTATTATTTTATATTTTTTAGCTCATATTTCAAATTCAAACTAGTTCATTTTTTTCAAATGCTATAGCTCATGTCCATGGTCACTAATTGGAAATTTTTTGTTTAAATGATTACTAATTTTATTTGGTTGTCTACACTAGTGAAGCATTGATCTCTTAAATTATAGTATATGTCTTAGCCGTAAATATGAATTCCTTAATTATATAATTAAAAAATGAGGTTTATGTCTTAATTGCAGTATATTTAGTTAGAGTGTCTATTTAACCTAATATTGAACGAAGTTGATTACGTATGAAACTAATGCTGATTAACTTTTACTAATTTTTAATATTTTAATTGGTCAAACTGATGGCAGAGACTTCATCGTTGCTAAAAAAAACCGAACCTGTGGATATTTAGTTAAAAATAGTGAGATGTTAGGTCAAAAAAAGTCCTTTAAACGAAATTATAACTCACGCTTTGAAATGCTTTCCGATAAGCATACATGGATTCAACTTGTACGCAAGATTTTATCTAAACTTTAGTTGCTACCGATTATTTTAATCCGATATTTCTTTTTAACGTTAATCATCGAACCGGTAAATGATTTAATTTTGGGTTCTTAACTAATAAGTTTGTTTATTTTCATTTTTCCCTCAACTTACAACTTTTTATTGTTTGTTGAAGACTATCTGCTTATAGAATACATCATTGAAAGATTAAATCATTTGATATGTCAGTTCAACGTGGCAGTCTCTTATGGTCTTACTCTCTTATACGAAGAAAAAATATGTTCAGATGACCTCCCCATCATGTTAAATATATCAGTATCCGAGGTTTACAAATTACAATAATTAAAAGATATACCAATGGATCGTATCATATATGTTTCTTCGCTTATATTATTAAGTTTTAAGTATATGACGCCCATTTATTAGAGGAACAACAAACAAACAGAGAATGATCACACATATATAGATAAATGTACGTAAGGCAACAAGTAACAACAAACAAAATTACATATATTTAATCATAAAACCCATAAGCGGATGATATCTATAGAGCTTAAAACGTATATGTATTAACCTATCATGAGCTGTAAGCCTGTTATCTAGTAGTTTCGTATAACATTTTAACGTTATATATCGCATCCTAATATAAACATGCACAGATGCACTGCCTACTGCAATAAGATAATTTACCGAACGACCCATGAGACGAAAAGCACTATATTTCGAAAATAAGTAGATCGGACATGGACCAAACCATCCTCGTTATGTCCAATCCAAGAAAAGAAAAAAAGGAAAAAGTCGTACGTTGATGACATAAAACCATTTATGTTTGGACGAGTTTCACAATGCACAGAACATGGTAGACAAAGTTATAGTACTACTTTACTGTTTAGTATTTCTTTATGAGAAACAAATTCATATATTATATAGTCTATAGACCACATTACTCTACAGATATTTTCAAACAGAAACAAAAAAAAATAGTGAGTGTTAAATTATTTGATTATTTATAAAGACGTGAGGGAAGAGGTTGTGGTGGTGGTGGTTAGGGTCATGCCAAATACGGAAAGGGAAGCAGAGAAGATCGGGTAGTCTATATAATTTCGTACTTTTCACTTTCTAGTAATATCTCTACGTTTTTTTTTTTTTTTATAATTTCCTTACCAAATTTCTCTTTGTTAAAAATTTAATATCCTCACATTCTCGTGGAAATGGCACTGCAGCTTCATGTGAGTTGTGGGGTCATTGCGCCTATTGTCTGTATGCTACGCTCTTGACAGATCAAAACATTCAATGACCCCATTTTTCTTCTTTTCATATTTTCTTTCTTATTTACGTTCACCATTTTTGCTATAATAAGAATGAAGCAAAAGGAATTGGTAAAGTGGTTAACAACATCATATTTAATAATATTTTTTTTGGGATCCTAGGAGAGCGTTTGAAGTCATTATGCATTAGATATGGATTGATATATGTACTTTTTGCATATAGTTAGCTAATTCGATTCGATGTGTGTGGTAGTACACATATATTAACAAGAAAATTCAAAAAAAAATTTAAAAAATTTAACATTTTTTGTGTGTTAATACACACATCTTAGCAAGAAAATTAAAAAACTCGAATATTTAACATTTTATATGTGTGTTAACACATATATTCACAAGAAAATTAAAAAAAAACTCATAAATTTAACATTTTCTTATGTATGTGTTAATACACATATTTTGGCAAGAAAATAAAAAAAACTCGAAAATTGAACATTTTGTGTGTGTGTGTGTGTGTGTGTTAATGCACATATCTTGACAAGAAAATTAAAAAAAAAACTTAAAAATATAAGATTTTCTTGTGTGTGTGTTAATACAGACATCACGACAAGAAAAATTAAAAAACTCGAAAATTTAACATTTTTTGTGTGTGTGTTAGTACACATATCTTGAATAGAAAATTAAAATACTCGAAAATTTAACATTTTTTGTGTGTGTGATAGTACACATATATTCACAAGAAAATTTAAAAAAAACTAAAAAATTTAACATTTTCGTGTGTGTGTTAATACACACATCTTGACAAGAAAATTAAAAAACTCGAAAATTTAACATTTTGTGAGTGTCTAATAGTACACATATATTCACAAGAAAATTAAAAAGAAAACTCAAAATTTAACATTTTCTTGTGTGTGTTAATACATACATCTTGGCAAAAAAATTAAAAAACTCAAAATGTTAACATTTTTTTGTGTATGTCTTAGTACACATATCTTGACAAGAAAATAAAAAAAAACACAAAAATTTAACATTTTCATGTGTTTGTTAATACACACATTTTGGCAAGAAAATAAAAAAACTCAAAATTTTAACATTTTTTGTGTGTGTGTTAGTACACATATCTTGACAAGAAAATTAAAAAAACTCAAAAATTTAACATTTTCTTGTGTGTATTAATTCACACATCTCGGCAAGAAAATTAAAAAACTCGAAAATTTTAATTTTTTTTTGTATGTGTGATAGTACACATATATTCACAAGAAAATTTAAAAAAAAACTCAAAAATTTAACATTTTTTTGTGTGTGTTAATACACACATCTTAGCAAAAAAATTAAAAAACTCGAATATTTAACATTTCGTATGTGTGTGATAGTACACATATATTCACAAGAAAATTAAAAAAAAAACTCATAAATTTAATATTTTCTTGTGTGTGTTTTAATACACACATTTTGACAAGAAAATTACAAAACTCGAAAATTTAACATTTTTTGTGTGTGTGATAGTACACATATATTAACAAAAAAATTAATAAAACTAAAAATTTTAACATTTTTTTGTGTGTGTTAGTACACATATGTTGGCAAGAAAATTAAAAAAACTCGAAAATTTAACATTTTGTGTCTGTGTGATAGTACACATATATTCACAAGAAAATAAAATAAAAACTCAAAAATTTATTATTTTCTTGTCTGAGTTAATATACACTTCTTGGCAAGAAAATTAAAAAACTCGAAAATTCAACATTTTTTGTGTGTCTGATAGTACACATATATTCACAAAAAGTTAATAAAACTAAAAAATTTAACATTTTTTTCCTGTGTGTTAGTACACACATGTTGGCAAGAAAATTAAAAAACTCGAAAATTTAACATTTTGTGTATGTGTGATAGTACACATATATTCACAAGAAAATAAAAAAAAACTCAAAAAAATTAACATTTTTTTGTGTGTATGTTAATACACACATTTTGGCAAAAAAATTAAAAAACCCAAAAATTTAACATGTGTGTGTGTGTGTGCGTGTGTGTGTGTGTGTGTGTGTGTGTGTTAATACCAATATCTTGACAAGAAAATTAAAAAAACTCGAAAATATAAGATATTTTTGTGTGTGTGTTAATACACACATCACGGCAAGAAAAATTCAAAAACTCGCAAATTTAGAATTTGTTTTGTCTCTGAATACACATATATTGATAAAAAAAATTAAATACTCCAAATTTAACATTTTCTTTTGTGTGTGTTAATACACATATCTTGACAAGAAGATTAAAAAAAACTAAAAAATATAACATTTTTTTATGTGTGTGTGTGTTAATATACACATCTTGACAAGAAAAACAAAAAATTCACAAATTTAACATTTTTTGTATGTGTTAATATACATATCTTGACAAAAAAATTTAAAAATCTAGAAATTGAATATTTTCTTGTGTCTGTGTTAATACAAACATCTTGATAAGAAAATTAAAAAAAAAATCAAAAATATAAACTTTTCTTGTGTGTATGCGTTAATTGGCAAGAAAAATTAAAAAACTCGCAAATTTAACTTTTTTGTGTGTGTTAATACACGTATCATGACAAAAAAAATTATAAAAAATAACTCAAAAAATTGTCGTGTGTGTGTGTTAATACACAGATCTTGCCAAAAAACTAAAAAAAAAACTCAAAAAATTAATATTTTCTTGTGTGTTTGTTTATACACACATCTTGACAGAAAAATAAAATAAAATCAGTCCTGCAAACTTAAGAAAGAAAAATTAGCAGAAAGAAACTCGAAAATTTAATATTTTCTTGTGTGTTTGTTAATACACACATCTTAGTAAGAAAATTAAAAAACTTCAAAATTTAGTATTTCTTTGTGTGTGTGAATACA